TGCTGCTTGTACGCCAGGTTGCTGGTCATGATGACGGTGCCCAGTGTCACTAGCACTATGCTGTTGCTCAAACTCTGTAGTGATCCTGGACATTTCTGGCCCTGCTACCATCCAGTGTCTAAGTGCTCCTGGATTGCCAGTCAGTCCAATAGCCCCACCAGAACCTTTCACCATTGCATTGTTCTGCTCATGGCACTGGTCGAGTGCCATGGCAGAGAACTTGTTGCTGGTTTTGTGCACCACAAAATGTCCATACTTGAATTCTGCTAGGACATGTGGATGTTTTTCAGGGAGAGTCATCATGTCACGGATGTGTACGGAAAGCCATCTGGAGTATTGTGTGTGATCTATGGCAAACATCCAGGGCATGATCTGTGTCAGGGATTCCATGAATGACAAGACATGATCACAAAGTGATCCTCTCCATAAGTGGTTGGCCAGGTCCACTGGACTTCCTTAGCAAGAACATACAGTGGTTGGTCAGCTGCAAGGACAGGAATCTGACCAGGGTTCACGTGCTGAACTGCTGCCTTGACGATGTCCATGGAGTGACGTATCATTGCCACTGAGTGTGCATTGTCAAGAAACAGAGGCAATAGTGCGGTTATTGCTGCAGGTGGGATGACAGCTTGGTGCGCATCAGCGTGGTAGGCAGTAGTGTTAATTTCGTCAGCTATTTTTTTATTTAGTTTTAGTCTTAGTCCTGTGTTAAATTTCCTTTTTAGTTTTAGTCATATTTAGTCACCTTCATCCTGTTTTTATTTAGTCAAGTTTTAGTCGACTAAAAGTCTGAGCATTTTAGTCTTATTTTAGTCGACTAAAACAATAACTATTTTAGTCAAGATTTAGTCGACTAAAAGTCTGAGCATTTTAGTCTACTTTTTGTAAATGAAAACTGTTGAGTCTTTTTTAGTCATCAGATTATATAGAACATTTCAGTCAAAACCAATAATTTGTCATTTTAGTATATATAAATAAATAAGATTATATCTTGTCCTTATTTGATGAAAAACACAGGTTGAATGATTAAGAAAGCAGCTTTGCAGAGAGTATCTGGTCAGGTTTGTGGTGTTTTTACCAGCTGTGTAATGGCCACATTGCATCCCTTCTGATGAAACAATGCATTCGCTTTTTTTCTCCACCTCATTGTAGCGAAAATGGGCCCAAATATCACATCGTTTCTTTCTCCCAAGCAGTGGTGGCTTTAGACTTTTTCGGTGTCAGTCATTTTGACGGACAGGATTGTAACATTTCCGTCATAATCCATTATTACCCGTCGAGTGCACAATTTATCACTCACTCGCGCTGACGGGGGGGTATTCGGTTAACGCGAGTGCGACCACTGCTCCCAAGCCCTGTTGTTGCCATTTTATTTTCTGTTAAATAAGGTTAGTTAGACCATGAGTTAGACCCGAGTCTTCCTGACAGTTCACAGTGTGCCGCTGCCCGGTGTAATTCAAATGTACCGCCGCGCGCAGCACACACACACAGCTGCTGCCCTGCCGCAGCACCGGAAATGGAACTGCTGGGAGAAAAACTGACTATCAGAGATGTAACGTTATCTTTGATAATATTTCGTCTCCTCATTTTTCGTCAACGAAGGTAAAGAGAGATTTTGGCATAGTTTTTATTTAGTAAACTACATTTTCATCTCGTCACTTTTCGTCAACGATATTGCATGATGATTTCGTTACAGTTATTGTTTACTGCCGTCGGTGCCGTCTCGTCATCGTCTCGTTTTCGTCATGGAAAAAAAGATCGTTGACGAACATATTTTGTCATAGTCAACGAAATGAACACTAGTAGGCAGACCACGATATCCAGCCATCCATGGTAGACTTTTCAACAGCTGTCTTGACTTTGCTGAGCCATGCATACACATCTTCTTTGGCAGCTGCAGCAGTCAAGAGGTTGGGAGGTCTCACAGGACCTTGTACAGCCGGCGCACTGAAGACCTTTGTCTTTAGGGCTGCTGGTGGCACAATTGTGTAGGCTGATGGCAGAGGTGTCACTGACTTGGTGGAAGAGCCACCCTGACCTGAGCTTATTTTTTGTTAAATGTCTACCTTGTCCTTGTCCAATTCAGTTGGAAATGACACCTTAAATTATTTTCTACATCGTTTGGTTCCAAAATTTAAAAAGACGTGGACATTAAACACAGCGGACTGGCGGCCATCTTTGATTTGACTGTTTCTTTGATGTCATTTATCTAGCTGATGATAAGTTGATATCATTGGTAAATCGGGACCATAAGCTATAATTATCCAGGATTTATTTACCTGTATGGCTCAAGAAAACATAGAACTCTACAGAGAATGCATCTATACACAGTTAGTTGAAGCATGGATATACACAATACATAACTGCGCCACATCTGCCACCAGCACACATACACGATAAATAATTTGCAATTTTGCAAATTTCAACTGATTGACAGCTTATTTTTGGTCAATTTCTACCTTTATCTTCACCTAAATGCCTTTTCGTGAATTCTGGCGATCTCAAAAGTATCACCAAATGATTGGGCATCCCTAATTTAGTTGGATATGACACCTTAAATGTTTTTCTACAATGTTTGGTTCCAAAATTAAGCGTGTTTGAACATTTAACCCGAGAGACTGGCGGCTATCTTGGATTTGACCTCTCACGGTCCTCACAGGTCAAATCTGACTTCCCTCCACATCTGATAAACCTTATGGTATGCACTAACTATGCTAGAAATGTCATGCTTTTCTCATAAAATGCACAATTGTTGTGCTTATCCGCTGTACTAAAGTGGTTTGGTCCATTGCAGCGCGTATGCACCTGCCGGCCACCGTATTCTTTGCCTCAAATGCACACTCATCTGATCCACTGGGGGTTTTAAAGTAAGATCAAAAATAACATGTATAGAGAAAAAAGGGAGATTATTCAAAGAAACCATTCAAATGCTAAGGAGTTGGACTATTGTCACGTCTAAAGGCAATTCAGTACAGATGACCTCATATAGCCTTTCTGAAGGTGTCAGGTCTGACTTCGGTTACAATGTTTTTTTCATTGATTCCTTGAGGTCTATCAGCATGCTACACAGAGGTTGCACAGACAGCTGCGACACAGAGATACTCTCCTTTTCTTATCTTTTCTCACAGATATTTCACTTACTGTGTTTCTTTTCCATCAAGCTGTTTCTCTGTAATACGCTGGCCAAGAGAGAGTGAAAGCCTGAATGCCACTTTGTGACAAAAGACTATCCATTCAATCCAAACACAAGTGTGGGAGGCAGAGTCCTGCATCGGGTCGGTGACCCGCAAAAAAGGTGATTCGCGGGTGGTATTTTTTCAAATGCTTTTTTCCGGGTTCGGTTCTGGGTAAAACAAAGATGATGCGGGTCGGGTCGCGGGTATTGCATAATAAATATATTAAAATAATAATAATTTAGTTTAATGTTTAAAATCCTCAGACCTCTCCCCTGCATAATCATAACCTCTGCAGCGCATCAATCTGCTACTGTGCGCGCCACATTCGAAATGGCTGAGGTGAAGCATATATATGAGCACGTTTTCACTGCTCATATATATGCGGGTTCGGGTCGGGTTGCGGATCTTGTGCCGACGGGTCGGGTCGCGGAACTAATTGGCAATGTGTGCGGGTAGCGGGGCGGGTTCGGTATTGCACGTCGCGGGTGCGGGGCGGGAGCGGGTCTTGAAAATCAGACCTGTGCAGGACTCTGGTGGGAGGGCATGAAGATATATTTGACAGGCCAACCTGGGGGTTTAAAAAGGGAAAATAAAACGGCACCTTGTTTATCTTTAGTCAAGAGGATCCAGCCAACAAATTGTAACACATTTCTCTATTTTCCCCTTTAATGGAAATAATGCCCAGAAGCCCAAAAAATACGACTTTTAAAACAGTTTAAAATAGAATGTTATCTCAATATTCCTCGAAGCAATTGAGCCTCATACCTTACTACTTGTTCTGGCATGAGTTTTCAAATCTAAGCTATTCAGCTGTTCGTCAATAACTCTGCAGCTTGTTGAAACAATACCACTTACAGAGTTGTTCTAATGCGAGCGCTAGCCAGTTGAAGTTATTATAGTAGTATTGTAGTGTTGCACCTTTGTGCCAGTGTCCATTAGGCTGCATGGTGTACACTTAAAAACCTTTAAGATCCTGCACTATACATACAAAAGACGTGAACTGCATGCACCTACTTCAGATTTGCACCTCCATTTGCATATAGACATTTATATATATGTATTCACATTCATCTTCACTCATTCTGCATATATGTAAACTCTGTCTTTTGCCTATTTTCTAATTCTTATTTTTGTAATTTTTATTTTAACAGACATGTTTTTTCTTTTTTAGTTTTATTGATTTTCTTATGTGTGAACTCCATCTGTTCTATATTGTGTTTCACTCCTATTGCTGTTGGTGCAATGACACCTGGATTTCTCTACGGGAATTCAAATCGATTTATCTTAAAGGGCCCTATTATTATACACTAATGTCCCGCTCCTTAGGCTATCATGTAAGTGTTGGTCCACTAGCCAATACAAGTGTGCTTGTTTCATAGTGATGTCACTGGCTGGAACTTTGGTATTTTAGCCTTTGCAGACCATTTACATGCACAAAAACCTACACTCACTGGCCACTTTATCAGGTACACCTGTTCAACTGCTCGTTAATGCCAATATCTAAACAGCCAATCACATAGCAGCGACTCAATGCATTTAGGCATGTAGACATGGTCAAGACGATTTGGTGAAGTTCAAACAGAGCATCGGAATTGGGAAGAAAGGTGACTTTGAACGTGGCCTGGTAATGACTGAACTATAAATATGGATAAATACACACATTTTCTCTCAGCTAGTTCCCACAGCTAATCGTATGGCTGTGTTTTATTCCCTCTCAGTAATTATGTTGGGAATACTGTCCTCTTGGTTATAGCAATAGATTAGCTTCAACGCTAATCTGACACAAGCAATTTACCAGCATGATTGTTTTTGACTTAATCTTACCTTTTCCAAAGAGGAAGTCCCTTTCAGGAAGTACTGCCACTCGACATCGGAAATCTCGCCGCGCTGCCTCATGATCTCAACGCACAACATGAAGCTGTAGATGAGCTTGTGCTTCTCGAAGAGGCCGCGGGACACGTTGATGTACGAGTTGAGCAGGATCTGGTCGAGTAGGATCTGAAGACGCTCTTCTAACACGCTGCACTTCTCTGACGTCTCGATGGTGGAGTTAAAGAGCTGAGGGTGGAGGGAGAATATAACATAAAGAACAGAACAAAAAGATATTGAAAGAAAATTATCGGTGCTTGGAGTCTTTTCGTATTGTATTCCCTAGAAAAAGGTTTGTAAAGTAAAAACTGCCAACTCTCTGTTACCTGTTTGAAGTACTTGAGGGAGAATTGGTACATTGGATCGATCTCAGAGAGACTGGCAATAACAAAGTACAAGATTGAGCCTCGGGTGGCCACGGGTCGGTAACGCTCTCTTGCAGAGTTGATCATAAGCTCAGTGGCCTCCGCCTCCTCCAATCGATGCTTTATGGTCTCTGATGTGACCTGAGGAGACAGAAAAACACATCAGAACAAGAGTAGAATAAATGTTGTAGACGAAAAGGAGAGAAACTAATTTGGACAATATGTAATGTGTATATGTATATGTTTTATGTGAGGGACTGCGGATGGAAATGAGCTCAAAGCTGGCACTGTTACGCTTGACACATTTGAATGTTTTAGGTGTTCATTACTGTGCATTTTCCCTGCCAAAGAAATAAATATATCAAAATAACTTTTGCCTGTTCAAGGATTCACCTTTGACTCCTGGAGCGTCTGAACTAGCTCCTCATTGTCCAGTATGTTCCCCTCAGAGTTGAAGAGAAGCTTCAGGATGCGGTCTTCGATATCCTTTAGTTGATTGCGGTCGGCGTTGATGCGCACAATCAGCTCGTTCCTCTGTTCCTCCAGATGTGGACTCTCCAGACGCACCACATCACTGAGGAGGGAAACTCATGTGAGCTTACATGATATAACTATAGCTAAAAAAGACTGCCATCAAGATGCATTAAGTGCAACATGCAAATAGTCATTAAGAAACAGAGTTGAAAAAAGTTTGTAAATCTAGTTGTGGATGGATGCAACATTCTTTTTACATATAATTAATTAAGAGGTTGTTAAGCTTCAACCGTATCACGACAAATTGTACAACCCAGTCTCATGGCATTTCGTGTTCACCAACACGATTTTTAATCTATTGATTCGTGTTCACCAAAACGATTTTCCCCTTTTTTTCGTGTTGCACAGCACGATTTTAAAAGCAATGTATTTATATTGGTAGTATGCTTCGTGCCTGCAGCACGTCTTTTTCTCCGGTTCATAAAAACATGTTCTTTCTCAATATCAAGCCACAATTATTGCTTTTATTTTAAATCGTATAATTTCGGACTTTTGTTGCCGTCTGTGAGGAAAATAAATGGGGCTCAGAGCCTCAGAATACGGAAATCTGTATTTTTTAAATCTGTTTTTCCTTCTAATTTGTTATTCTTTTCAAAATAACACACTGTTATTTACTCACCAATAACACACAATTATCCTTGCTTTTATTTATTGGTTTAATTCCATAATCTCGGGCTTTTTTGGCGTCCGTCAGGAACTGAATTTCAAAATAAAAATAACCGGAAACAGACGTAGGCCTCAAGGAGTTTAGGATGGCCGAAGACACTACACTACCCATAATCCCCAGCTATCGTTTAGGACTACAGTCCCCGTGATTCATCTTCAAGCTACGAGCGTCAAACAGCTGTGTGAAATGGAACGAAACCACGCCAGACTATCCAAAACTGGAATCGAACGCCCCCCCAGAACTACACATGCTGGCTATTGTGTTTCGCAAAATGTTCTATGGGACGTCTCTACTGAACGTTTTCGTTTTTCCCACAATTAGAAGTTGCCAGTATTAAACACATTGGTGTTATCAAATGTAAAACATATAATTAATAAATGGGTGAAAATCGCTTGTGTCCATAATGCGCAGCATTAATATATACCCACATGACAGCTCATTGTTACTTTGTAATTATACTCCACTACAATTCAGAGGTTAACCTGGTATTTTGACTCCACTACATTTATTTGAGTTACTTTGCAGATTCTGATTAATGATGTGAATTATAAACAACCCTTAAATCAGACTTTAGTTACACCTGAGTAAAATGCAGGTAAGGTGATTGTCAAGTGCCAACAATCAGGAGAGATATTTGATAGTTGGTGCTTGAGAAGTCTAAACATGTATCTGCAATTGACATGAATGGAAACGAGTAATAAAGTATATTCATTACTCGTTATTCTCTACTAATAGTTAATTAAAGACTGTATATTATGGCTATTTTGTACATCCCTTTCAAGATTTCAAGATTTTCTAAGGTGTATTGACATATCATATACACAACTACGGTGTAGTTATGCAATGAATGAAACACTTGGGTCACAGGTTCCTCAACAGTGCATTACAAGACATCTATCAATATGTGTGTACCTCCACCATTAAACTGTCATATTCTGCACATTTCTTATACTATCTACATACATAAGAGTATAATTCATATGTATAATATGTTGTGGAATATTTTCCAAGGCCCATAACTTTGACCCAGTTTATCAGTTCAAACTGTCATGACTGAGCACACGCACCTCGTAACCTTGGCTGCTGTGCTCTCAGTGTTCTGTCTCCCTGTTCCTGCCTGTTGGCGTCAGCTGATAGAGGTGTTATGATTCTATGTTCCTGCCTGTTGGCGTCAGCTGATAGAGGTGTTATGATTTTATCTTGTTATGCAGCATGTTGATGATGCTCTCAGAACTAGCTAAATACATGGGTCTGAGGTAGAGTTCTTTAGAATTGACGTGGCAACCCACCCGTGCAGTCTCACCGTGACTGCTGTGACTTGTGATGTGAATTCTCCGGCCGAAACTCGTAATAAACCACCAGTGTTTGACATCAAAGCTCCTGCTCTACCGTGTCTCCTTCCTGAGTCGGTGACTCCCACTGCACTGCTACACAGAAGTTTCCCTTACATAATATCAGTTAAAATAAGTGCTTCAACATAGTTAACATTGCAGGAAAGCAATATATTAGACGTTAAGTACTTTGTCAGGCTTAATATTTATCTGTAGATAGATACCCCCAAAGTTGTTTTCTTATTTAAAAGAAGACCTTAATCTAAAGTATTATTTAATGTTTAAATAAAGGTTAATTAGTTTTTCTGTTTTGCACATCCTCCTATTAATATCTTTGTACATCCTGCACTAAACTGTTTTATTGTAGAGATCACTTATAGTATCTTCTTGATTTTTGATACTCTATATTTCTATCACAGACCTTCTACTTTCCCCCTATGAAAGTATGTACTCTAAATATTTTTTTAATCAAATATAACACATAAAAACAATAATTCAATAACGTGCTTTAACCACTAGGCGGTGCACACAAGGTACACACAGCCATAATAACTTTGTATTATTAGTGTAGGACACTTATGTATGTACAACATCTGAAGATGTGTAGTTTTATTCATGCTTTCACATAATTGTACAGCATATTGCTATACTATTTCAGTCTCAGTATTTACATTCTTATATTCAAAGAAAATCAGTAATATCTTTAAAAACTACAGTCCTTTTATATCAGCTGTGCACCGTTATGGTGTAAATATAACCTATCTACGAATTAGATCAAATGTAAAAGTCAGCCGAATTAGTGTTGATACTGCAAGGAGACGTATTGTGTGAAGAGAAATTGAAGATGTTATTTAATTGTTGATATATTTATGAATCACGTCAAGTATTCAGTTTCGGCGGCATTTCTTCCAGTTTTTCCAAAGGTCTTCTCATCAGGGCTCTATAAATAAAGAACTACGGCAGATCTGTAATATGTAATGCAGCCGAACCGTGTATTACAATGCCGTTATATGATGACTTTCAAAGAGAAAAGCAAGAACACTCGGAATTAAGTATTATTTTATTCTTTTAAAATGTTTTCCGGATTTCATATCATATAAACACCAAATCCCAGCATGCATTGCGGCTAAAACATCCAATCAGCGAGCTTAAACCATAGCTGAGGATCTTGGGTAATCGCTCGAAATGCCTACGTCTGTTTCCGGTTATTTTTATTTTGAAATTCAGTTCCTGACGGACGCCAAAAAAGCCAGAGATTATGGAATCAAACCAATAAATAAAAGCAAGGATCATTGTGTGTTATTGGTGAGTAAATAACAGTGTGTTATTTTGAAAAGAATAACAAATTAGAAGGAAAAAAAGATTTTAAAAATACAGATTTCAGTATCCTGAGGCTCTGAGCCCCATTTATTTACCTCACAGACGGCAACAAAAGTCCGAAATTATACGATTTAAAATAAAAGCAATAATTGTGGCTTGATATTGAGTAAGAACATGTTTTTATGAACCACACAGCTTCCGGTCTTCCACGACCTGACCGGAGAAAAAGACGTGCTGCAGGCACGAAACACATTACCAATAGTAGTATTGCTTTTAAAATCGTGCTGTGCAACACGAAAAAAAGGGGAAAATCTTGTTGGTGAACACGAATCAATAGATTAAAAATCGTGTTGGTGAACACTAAATGCCATGAGACTGGGTTGAATTGTAGGCCTATCCAGTTTTGAAAGATTACATGTTATGCACATTTTCAGGTTGATATTTGTATTTTGTCATTTTACTGTGACATTTTGACATGCTTTAATGTTCACATAGTGCTCCTCATTTTCCCCTCTGTCCAAATGTGATTGGTCAACCCACCGCTTAGTGATGTCCCGCCCCTTGGCCTATCATGTATAATGTGTTTGAGCGCTAGCCAATATAAGCGCGAATGTTAGATAGTAATGTCATAATGTTAAGGGAGTAAACAAAGGAGTCCAATGGAGGTGTTTCATGCAGGGGGGGAGTGTTTTGGCGAGAAACTCCTTCTGAAGGCAACTTTGGGATTTTAGCCTTTGCAGACCATTTACATGCACAGGAAAGGGAAAACCCCCCAAAACGTAATAGGGCCCCTTTAAATATGTGCGCCAGAATACTTTAGCTCAATTCTCTAAAGTCTTGCCTGACACATATTTTTCTCCATATGTGTTCATGCTGCTTGTGTGTACCTAAGCAGTTGATCCTCCAAGCCAGACGTGGTCACAGTGAAGTTGATAATTGTAACTTTAATGCACACCTAAAGGGAAACAGGAACACACACAAACAAGAACACACACAAAGTGAAACTCAAACCGCCACAACTCTGCATGCGCCCAAAGCATCAATTATGTTCCAAAACCTGCCATTTCACTTTAAATCTTTCATGTATCTGGCAACAAAACGACAATGGAACAGTGGAGTGGGTTCCGGTTGTCTACAGTAAGTAACCGCCTCCACGTTATGCAGCTTTGAATCAACACTGGAATAAAAGCTTACATTCATGTGTTGTTGCTGCTCTCTTGGGCCGCCGTTGAATAAAACAATGCCTTAATAGTCGATGCCATTACAGGAAGTCAAGCACTAATTGTACCAGGGCAAAAAGGTTATTTTGTGTGTCTGTTTCTCTTAAACATGTGGTTTACACGCCTATAAATATCAGCTGTAGTGTTTGGGGCAGGCAGCTGGTGTGTTGGTGTCCATAGTGAACTGGCGTGTCTCTGATGTACTGATGATGGTGAACCTAATGTGGAGGTTAACAGGAGTGTGTGTGCACGTCCTTACCTCTGGTAAGAAGTGCGGGTTGGCCATCTTGGTGGTCATATAGAACCTGAAGTTTTTGTCGTAGTCGATATCGGAGTCTCCGAGTCGGATCAAAGTCCGTCCGCCAGCCACAAATGTCTGCTTCAACAAGATGGGCTCCAAAGCTGGATCTACGGTCTCCTTTATCTATACATACACACAATAGAATAATTCAACAAAGGCCGGACTCACACATATACGGTATGCAACAATTATGCCCAATAATGGCCTCATCCCAGCGTCTCATCAAGAAAACACTCCCAGTGCTTTTTATCGTTTTTGGTTTTAACGATATGTCAACAACGTATCGCCACTGTTGTAAACAGACTAGCGTGGATTTTATTTTCTGTTTGTGCTACTATAAATACTTTTTTATTTGCAGTGAGCACCAACCGGAAGACTCTTGCTCTCACACTTTGTATAAATAAGGTTGTCACTGCTCTGTCCGACAGCCCAATCAGAGGAGGTCAGTACCACAATCACCAGCAGCAACATGCAGTGGTCGTCCGGCCGATCTGCTCCGACAAACAGGCTTTTAGATCTTTATTTTATAGTTTCCGTCGGACCGACACAGCCAAAAACAAGCTTGTTATGCATTTCACAGGTGCATTTAGTTGAATACCAAATGTGTAGGTTCTCAAAATAATTGAATACTACATAACCGTAAATCACTTCCTTTATGATGTAACGTGCTTCAAGTTCAAATTCTTTATTTATCATGTGCACAACAACAACAACATAGAGCCACACTGCTAATAACATGTGTAGACACAAACAAGGTTAAATCATGCAAGTAAATAAGAAAAAATATACAATATAAATAAATTCCGTAAGATAAATGATACATCAATTGAAATTGAATATAGTGCAAGTTAACAGAAATATAGTTAATGTATATGCATGATGACATGCATAAGTTCATATATAAAACCGTAGTAAAACAGTAAGGAAAAGTAAATGAAAGGTTATGATGTCATTGTGTGTTCCTACCTCCTCCAGCAGGACAGGCATGCCCATGCGTATGGCATTCTCCAGGGTACGGAGAAAGTTTGGGTCTGTCAGCTTGATCACCTTAAGACCATGCTTGGCTTCCTTGGAGCGGATCCATCGGTTGGCCTGAGGGAGAAAAAAAAAACAATAACCTTTATCCAATGTGATGAAACATATGTCGTATTTACATAATTGATATACAATAACAATGAAATACAGCACTTGATGTTATAAAGGGAAATCGTAGCGATGGTAGCTCAGGGATATGCAATACTATTTCTGATTGGGTTTTACATTGTGGGGATTGACAATTCATTTCATACATTGAATATGTAAGGCACAATCAAACATAAAAGTTTTATTTCTGTCAAAAAATATTTCTGCATCCCTCTGCCTATGTAAAGCAGAGAAAAAAGGGAGAGTTACGTGGATGCAGATGAAAAAAGTGACAGGATTGTAAATTGGACTTGTCAGTGGTCAGGAAGGCACAGAACAGTGTGCTAAATTGAGGCCTCAAAACTGAAGACGTGACAATATTTCCAGCTTGTGTACGTAAAGAGGCTGGTTGAGTCCTTTCTGTGTATGGTAGCCAGGACCTGTGTGTGTGTGTTTTTGTGTGCGTGTGTCCTGGGGGCAGGGGCCATTATGTGACTTTGTCTCTGACCGAGTCTGACAGGAAGTTCTATTTTGAGTTTTTTGTGCCTTTCTTTACGCTTGTTCTGCAGCCATTTATCCAATGTGTTAAGTCCAAGGGGCAACCTCCGGGGTCGGAAAAGTGAAGCCAATATGAAAGAGCCTTACAACTGCATTGTTTCTAATGGCCAGCACCGGGCGAATCCACTCAATAGTGTACAGAAGTCTATGAGAAACTGACACTCAAGTGAAAATGTTCCTAAGAAGTGTATGGTCTCAATGTGTGGTTTCCATTATTCCGGGTTTGTGTGTGTACTGTTCCCGTTTTATGTTTAAATGTATTTTCTCTTTGGGTCTTTTTTTGTTTTATTTCCCGCCTTTGAATTTTCCCAGATTTGTAACACCTGTGTGTGATTTCATTGAAGCCCTTGTTTCCTGCCCTCTCCAGCGGTGTCTTGTTAATTGAATTAGTCCTGTCTCCATATATGCCTGTTTGTGTTCTTTGACAGTCTTTTGTCATTGTACCCGTGAACGTTCCCCCCTGATCTGGTTCTTCTTCTCAAGGTTTCTGTCCATGTTTCCTGTCTGCGTTTGCGATCGGTGTAGATTTTGTTAGATTTCGTTGTGTCATGCTGGTTTTGTTGGCAACTTCCCCTTTGTTTTACCTGGCCTGGGTTGCATTCCGATAATCCAAAAATTAGCTCCTAAATTCTAACCCTATCTCCTATTCCTTGACCTCTGAGTGAAACGTCACGGGGTTAAGGGATAGTGGATAGGAGAATTCAAAAGGATTTAGGAGAAGAGACTGTGGTACTAGAGAATCCGAATGCACTTTCACTATCCGACGTGTTTATGATGCGCCAGCGGACGTCATGAATGTGCGTCTGCTGCTGTGGGGAAACTATGGAAACTACAGTTTTCTATACAGCGGACTACAACATGGATGTTTAATAAGAACGAGGGACTACTGTAAACTCATCTAGAGACTCTGCACCGTGCACTGATGCTGTTGCTTTATGCTTTATGAACGTGGACAACAGAGAAACATATTCTTCATGACCAAAGTTGGAATTGAAATAAAAAAGGAAAGTGAAACTTCTGCTCGTCACCCTCTCCCTCCGGTCCACATTAATACAAATGATCCCAATACGTATGATTGTATGAACTATGAAAATATCTTAAAATAAATACAAATGTATTTATTATAAACGTTAGTCCTTAACATCTATCACTGTGTACATCACCATTCAAACATCTTTTAAAAGTTGAACAAACCCCACACAGCTCAGTAAACACTGTGAAATGTTGACTTTATTTGATCATTTCAGTAAAAACTAACGTTCATATTTCTCTTTTTGATTATAATACTGATGAACGTTCAAAACAAAGCACTTTGGCAACTTACCACATATGTTTTAAAATGCTTAATAAGCACCGTAACTTTCATGATATAATTTCTCCCATTATCGTTTGTGTCCGTGAACGGCCGACTGTTGAGTGACGGCAAATGCTGCGGCTGCAATGCATTGTGGGGCAGCATTTTCTCCTCTCCTTTCGGCTAGGGAGGTCCAGTGGTTCCTAAGCTAAAGGAGGTTATAAAGGAAGTTTGAAACCTCCTTTCCTTTCATTTGGAGAAATGGAACGGCACTTATCATGGCTGCCACTGACGTACTTCCGGGTCATTTCACTTGGTTAGGAAGGTTCCTAAGCTAAATGGACTATTGGACTGGGCCCCTGCTCTTTGAGTTTTTGGGAACCATCTTTTTTTTAGTAAAGCTAGCTTTTTGTTCATACTTTTCAAATCTGCCTGCCCTCCTTTATCTTGCATGTGGGTCCTGATTTATTCACCCCTTGTGACACAAATAGCTGATAAAGCAGGGTATGCTTTAAGACTATTGATTTACATGTGGCTACCAGAGTGCTTCTGCCACGGAGTGTTACTGTGTTCAGTTTTACCAATAGACAGAGTAGGTGGTTCATTTGTTCTCCTCCGGTGAGTACATTTTGTGTGAAGCCTTTTTTTCTTTCGCTGTCGACATTTGGCATCCCCATTAATTTATCTGTTAACTTGAATACCTTAATGCGCCATGCTAACCAGTGTCCGCTGCTCGATTACTTCTGGTTAAAACGTCGAAAGCTAAGGAATATGTCGAGATATTATCCACTTGGGTTTTGTAACCCAGTTATTAACACATTTGATATGTTTATATTCCACTGATGATCACACATCACACTGATTAATTGATCAATCATAACATAACATTGACTAACACCCTGCCCTGAGCCCAGGTTTTGTAGCTCACCTGATCCTGCGGGTCGATCATAAGGGGCCAGCGTCGGCCCTCAGTCACCAGGATACCATTCTCCGTAGAGACGGTGTCTCGAGGCAGACCCTCTGCGTTCCACTGGCGGATGACAAACGGTTCGCCCAGAATGTTGATCAGGCTGAAGTTGGAACTGATGGGGATGCTCAGTTCCTGGCACTGTATTATCCACTGGTCAATTAGCTGGGGAAAGGGGGCACACACACACATCATTAATTCACTTTTTTCTACTGAGTTTTGTTTGACAGATGATTGGTTTAAGGCATCTCTTGTGTTTTTGTAAATGTCATGTTTTGTTAATGTTAATAATATACAAACAGCATCAATTCAGAGCCATTACCATACATCTACTCTGCTCTGGGAATTTCATCTCACAGCAGCGGAACAATTATAATACATATCAGCAAAACATACAATTCAACAGATTGGCCTCCAACAGTTTAGTAAGATTTGGCTTTGTTGTAGACGGTTGCTGTTTCCCCCCCTCTTTAAGCGTCAAGCTAAGCAAGGCTTACCACTTCTACACAGACATGATTGTCATAATTATTGTAACCTCAGTATTTAAAAAAATAAAAATAAAGTGGATGATGGTAACTACAACCTAACAGTGTACCGGAAACTAGTTCATTCTGCATATCACAGTAGTTCTCAAAGCTCATTATTACACGGCTTGGTTGAATAATCGATTATGATTGGTCAATTTTGACATTTCAGAGGTTGTTAATTCTCGCTAACAGAATGCTGCTAAGGAGTAAGGAGAACAGAACAATGCTAAACAGGATCAAGAGACTATGTGCAGTCATATCAATCCGCAGAAAGAAGTCAATTTAACGTCAGCTATGGACAACAAACATTAGTCTTCCTCTGTCAGAAAACACCATGGAATACTTTCTGAATATATTCTTTTTTATATTTGTAGAGAGCACAAACTGTCTCCAGCAAAGTAACAGAGGGCAAGAGAAGAACATAAGTTAAAAGACAGAGAGCTGGATGTCAGATACATCAACATAAGACAGACAGGAAGTAAACACTAAAGGGAACACACTGTTCTGGCACTGTTTAAAGACTGGTTAAAGAAAAATAAAATGTGAACAGACTTGGACAGTTACAGAACACCTTGATCAGTGCTGTGGTCATTTTAAGTTACGTTGTTGTCGCTGCAGTTCTAGCCATTGGTACTGGTTCTTAGCGGAAGCAATACGAGTTTCATTAAAGACTGCCTCCCTGCACATTGTCCCTTACTTATTAAATCTCCTCATCACAGAGCACCTACCAGCTGTCTGTAGTGGGAAGTGAACGCTCCATAGTAGGCCACACAAGCAGCTGCGATGAAGACATTGCCAACGACGTTGATGATCTCTTGCTCAAACAAGGTGACACTTTCTTCCCAGCGTACTTGCTCATCGCCCAAAGCAGAAGTTAGCTTTCCTGCCCGGGTTAACCTGACCTGTGTCAGAGCCATGGTGTTAACTTTAAGGAAAGAGAGGGGTCAGAAAGAGAGGGTCAGAAAGCTTGCAGACGTTTTTCCCTTCAGTTTCAATTTGTAATAAAACATGTGAATTCTGAAAAAGAAAGCAAACATTTAAGTATGGTCAATCTTGGTTGAATTTCCTAGATCTCACACATTAATATATTTATAAAATAATTAGTAGCCGGCCAGTTTAAAAATGAAGAAGTGTTTAAATATTTTGCCTCCCATTAAAAATTATCTGTGACAAGAATTCCCAAAACTGCCATGCATTATTATTACATTACATTACATTACACTTGTTAGACGCTTTTATCCAAAGCGACTTACATACTCAATACTGTGGACAATCCCCACAGGAGCAATTTGGGGTGAAGTGTCTTGCCCAGGGACACAACGACATGCTGACTGCAGTGGGGTTTGAACCTGTGCTCCCCTGATCCGAACACCAAGGCTCTAACCACTGCACCACACGCCTCCCTTATTAATATTGGTTTCAAATTCTACTGAGTTCTGGGGCCTCATTTATAAAGCTTTGCGTAGGATTCACGTGGGAAGGTGGCATACGTAGGACAAAGCAAATAAATACGCACACAAATATTCCGATTTATAAAACACTGCGCATGCACGTCCTACGCCGGTTTCCCTTTATAAATCACAATCAACTCGAAATGCGGCGCAGCTTTTGCGGGCTTAACGTAACGCGGCATAGGATTTGCCTATAAATAGTCAAAGAAACGCCCCGTATTAATATTCATTTTGACTGACTGCATGAAGAAGATTGCAAGAAATGACGACAGAACAGCTAAAAAAGACATCTCACACCGTGTCAGATTTTGGTTCTTTTGGGGAGGTGGAGACAAATCACATTGTTTGGTGGATGCAGAGTAGCAGCATGGAGGTCGGATCGTCACCAAAATAAATAAATAAGTGGTCCGAAAAAAGTTAATGACAAAATACACATAACCTTCCTTAAGCAGTGTGTCAGTGTGTTTGTGCCGGGGACAGGAGACCCCCCCCCCCCCCATGATGAGAAACTGTAAGAAAGTATCGGGGGATCCCTCCGGAGTGGAGTCATGACGACTGGATCTGAATTATGTTTTTGTATTTGGTGGTTTGTGTCCCAGCTGTCGATCAGCTGTGCGCAGCGTCTCCGCTGAAGCCTGTGCATCTCAACCCCCCCCCCGCAGCAACTCTATATCCACCAGTTAAAGGAAATACAACTCATGTGTTGTGTTATATTAGCTGTACAATTTACCATATGGTGTTCTTAGTTTCCATACCTCCTGTGTTTTATGTATAATACTTATCAAGTATTGGCGAACGGCATAAAGCATGATTAAACATGATAGTATATAAAACCATGCTCGTATCTATACAATCTTATCAGTTCTGGCTAAGGTTCTTGAAAGCCTAGTGAGTGAACAGGTAAAGGTGTTTTATGTACGAATGACATCCTGTCTAAACATCAGTCAGGCTTCAGAAAGCAACATAGCACCATCACTGCCACAATGAATGATGTGGCGAGTTTTTTAGATAATAAGCAGAGTTGTGCAGCTCTATTTATTGACCTTTCCAAAGCGTTTGACACCGTCGATCATCGCATCTTAAAGCAGAGGCTACTCAGTATAGGCATAGGCATATCCAGCCATGCAGTAGGGTGGTTTGTGAACTACCTCTCTGAAAGGTCCCAATGTGTTCACTTTGATGGGATGTCTTCTGAGTGGTTAAACATTACTAATGGTGTTCCTCAAGGTTCGGTTTTAGGTCCACTTTTATTCTCCATCTACATCAACAGTTTAGGTGAAAATGTCGATGGAGCAACCTTACATTTGTATGCGGACGATACCGTGATGTACTGCAGGTCCCTCCATTAAGGAGGCTGTTGTTGAATTGCAAGCAGTTTTTAACATTATTCAGACTCAGCTCTCTGAACTAAAGCTTCTTTTAAATGTTGAGAAAACCAAGGTAATGCTCTTTTCTAAAGCTAAAAAGACACCAGAGCCTGTTTTAGATATTGTAACTACGCAAGGAATAAAACTTGAAGTGGTTACCTGTTACAAATACCTTGGTATCTGGCTTGATGATTGTCTCACTTTTAAACTTCATGTCAATAACCTGCTTAAAAAGCTGAGGGTTAGGCTAGGTTTCTTTTACAGAAATAAGTCCTGTTTCTCGCTTAAGGCCAGGAAAAGGCTAGTCACTGTGACCTTTTTACCTGTGCTGGACTATGGTGATCTGATGTATATGAATGCACCTGCTAATTGCCTGGTCAAGTTAGATGCTGCCTATCACAGTGCACTGAGATTTGTGACAAACTGTAAAGCATTAACCCATCACTGTACCCTGTATGCAAGGGCTGGTTTACTTTCACTAATGGCGCGTTTCCACTGCAGCGGGTAGCCCCGTTTAAGCGTCCTTAACCGTCCTCAAGCGGCCAGGCCGGTTTTTGGTGGCGTTTCCATATAGCCTAGTACCGGCCAGCGGGTACTTTTTCCCTCTTTTTCCGGCCTCATAAAATCGTGGTTCCCTCAGACCAGGGCCAGGGCTGAACTAGTGACGTCAACACTCTCGACTGCTGATTGGTCATAGAGAATCGTCACAAGATTGCGCGCGAGTTCATCCCTAGCGTCGCATATATATCTAGAAGCAAGCTTGCAGCATTTTTATAAACAGCATTTTGTAAACGGAGGAGCTACAAAAATGGCTACTTCTAAGAAAAGCACAACGTGGTCGACCGAGGAGGTGACGACGTTCCTTCATCTCATTGGGGATGATAAAATCCAGCGGGAGCTCGACGGAACAACTCGAAATGTGAAGCCGATCGCCCCGCCTACACTGCGTTGCTAGCCCAGGTCCTAAACTGTAATGGAAATGCGCCACGGCCTCGGACGGCCAGCGAGGCAGCCCGAGGCCAGAGCGAGGACGCTTAGGGACGCTTAAACGGGGCTACCCCGCTGCAGTGGAAACGCGCCATAACTGTACGGAGGCTCAGTCACTGGTACATTTTCATATACAAAGCCATGTTAGGGAAACTTCCATCCTAAATCTGCTCCCTGATCTCACGGCGAATTGTAAGTGGCTACTGCCTGAGATCGAATGCTGTAGTTTTATTAAATGTGCCAAGTGCTAGGACTGTCTTAGGGAAGATAGCTTTTAGATGCGCAGCTCCTCTGTCTTGGAATAGTCTGTAATTGAAATGGAAACTGAGCAATATGGTGCCACTAAATGTTTTTAAAGCTCGGTTGGATGCTACTCAATCGGAAGCTGTTGGTACCTGCTCATGTGGATAGTTATTGTAAATTGTAATCCCTGTAATGATGCTGTAAAATGTCCTTTTTGTTATTCTGTTTATGTTTTTATGTTTCATGTGGAACCTACTTGAGCAGGTCTCCCTTGAAAAAGAGATCAATGATCTCAATGGGATACACCTGGATAAATAAAGGTTTGAAATTAAATGAAACCTTTAGAAATGCAAAACGGCATCAGTTTAAAGTAATTCTGTCCTTCTGTTTACCGCATCATTTATGAGAATACATTTCTTAACAAGAGAACATAATCGAGGGGTGATCAATAACATTTCCGTATTTATTTATTTCTCCAAGTTATGTTTTTGTGTGCACTGAGGAGTCTCAAACAGGCGTTTGTTAAATCATTTTAAGATTGGCTTTAATCAGTTTGTGAAAATACATTCTTCATATTTGATAAATGAGGGGTAACATTTTATTTATGGTATTATTTCCACATATTTCTCTCCATTCTTCCTTCTGCCAACGGTGTCGCAGTTTCTCGTCCCTCCCGTTGTTGTGCTTAGTGCGTACGCATAGGTTAGAGTTTGCGTGGAGGACCGCACATTTTCCCGTCAAGTTCGTTTTTTATAAATCGCAAAGATTGCTTAGAAACTGGCAGACGCCATTTTTTGAGTGTACGCAACGTTTATAAATGAGGCCCCAGGCGTTGAAGAGGACATGTACAGCTAATTTTCAGGTTTCATATTTGTATTTTGTGTCTCTACTGTGACATGTTTCCATGCTTTAATGTTCAAAAATTAAATACTGCCTGTGATGCAGCCCTTCTTTCACCCTCTGTCTGAAACCAGTGCCTAGTCTTCTCTGATTGGTTAGCTGGCCAGCTCTGTTGTGATTGGTCAAACACTCAGAGATGTCCCAAATCATTGAAAATGTTTCTAAATTTGACAGTGAACATCATTTCCCTCTTGGCATGAAGTGATCACAACCCTCACCCAATTGCTCCTTCTCATTAACGCTGCTTTCAAACTGATCCTGTAGGACTTGGATCTGGTTCTCCACCTCCTGCAGCTTTTCTTGCTTCTCCCTCAGGGTTTCCATGGTGGCATCCAGCTCCGCCTGCATTGGTTTGGAATAAAAGAAGAAAGAGCTGTGGACAAATATCATTAATGAACCACTCAGAGAACATTTAGTCCCCTTTTTATCCTCCGTATTTTGTCCAATGTTTGCAGAGCGATGCTCAGCGACACTAGAGAATGGATTCAGGAAAACAGTTTTGATTGCTAAAGAATTTGGCAGATTCAAGATTTAAATCAACAGTATATAAAGGAAATGTCCTTAAATTGTAATTTGAGATGGACAATTTGTACTTAAACATTATAATGTATAAAGAGTAACCAACTGTCTCACAATAAGCATGTTGTCGGTTATGTGGAAAAAGAGAGGCATAGCACACAGACATTTTTGGGAATGTCATTTCATACCTTTTGGGAACATATGCGGTTACTTGGGGGGGCTTTTAAAAGCTGTAATTGTAAAATAGATTTCAAAATACTGGAAAAGTAAGATACCCAATTGGATGGCAAAGACTTTTTTCATCATTAGTAAATCATATTTGCAAAACTGGAAAAGTAATGAGGCAGCTACACTTCTAAAGTGGAAAGTGGTGATGAAATATGTTAGGAGTTAAAAGAACAATGTCAAAAGACAGTTACAAGGGGAACACATGTCAGATAATATGGAGCACAATTTACTAAGCTCTGTAGATAAAAGTGGAGCCACACAATCAAATCCCCCAGCATCCAAACCTCTTATGAAAACACTTAATACCCTTTAGCTTGTCTGTCGCATGTCTCTGAGTCTCTCTCCCTCTATGTGTGTGTGTGTGTGTGTGTGTGTGTGCGTGCGTGCGTGTGTGCAGGGTCAGTTTGTGAAAAGGGGGCGGTGATTGGGAAGAGAGTTGGGTGTTTGATCGTTTTGCAAGTACGAGTAAGATGACAACGGTTTTTCATCAACTGTTTGTTGTTCTATGTATTTCTGTGTTTACTTAATTTGATGAATGTATTATTGTTAATATTTGTTCTGTATTTATTAATTACTTGAATTTATTATGATTGAATTTATTATATTTTTGGGGGAAGAAATGAAACTGTAACATGTTGAAATCTAAAATGTAGAGCATGTAAACCCCAACTAAAAAGAAGATTATGTCACAGTGGTTTATGCCTAAAGTGAATAAATATGAAATACATATTAAAGTTTAAAAATAATTGTAATAATAAAAGCGTATTCAGAGCACTCTCTACTGTGTGTTACTCACCTGCGCCTTGTTCAGTTTCGCTCTCTTGGGGCCCACTTCTTTGAGGACTCTGGAGTACAGATCCATGGCTCTGACCCACATGCACATTGATCTGCAGGCTTTGGACACCTTCTCCACCTAACAGCAGCAAAACAATACAGAATGTAACCACGTAGCAGATATTGACTCATACGTTTGTATGTTCCATAACTTACAATATAACTAAAATGGCATCATCAAAAACACATTTGTTAGTGTAATTCCTTTTGAACTGTGGCACTTTTTAAACCCCCCAATGTGTTTGATCTCGCATTTACTCTAATCTGACTGACGTTATCAGTGTTTGACTTGATATCCAGACAAACCTTCTCTGGGATGAAATCGGGGTTGTTGATGTGTTTCTGCAGCTTCTGCAGGATCTGAGGCTTGATATTGTCCTTGTCGTATTCTGTCAGTCGCCTAAGGAAGTTGGCATCTCCTAGTAACTGCTTGGCACCAGCCCAGTCCGGTCTGTGAGGAGAGGCGTGTTAGTGAGGAGTTGTGAGGAGAAAGAAAACGCCTCATTAAATGAATGTGCTCTGCTTATTCATAGAGACAAATTGCATATTTTAAAAAGGTTATAAACTGATTGCTTTAGATTTGATTGGTGTTTACACATTTATCATTCAGATTGCACAAATAAGCTAAATATGATATAAGATTGAAATTCAAAATACTACAAAATGCAATGCACTGTAAGTGAGGATACTGTGTCTATAACATAGGAATTGCACTCTGATGAACATACAACTGTTATACCAGTGTTGTATGACACAACCCAGAAAAATAATCCACAACATAATTATAATAAATTGATATTCATGTGACTTGTCAAAGTGCGAAGTCAGAGAGAGTTCTACAGAGTGCTGGTGTGAAGTGGGCTGAACTGTTAACGGTGTTAAAAGGTTGTTTTGTTTAAAGGAACTCGATTAGTACTACTTTATTAATGCCAAATTGGAAATGTTTTGTTACAGCATCATGTTAACAAGGCATTACAAAATGATAACAAATACAATAAATAAATACATATTAACACTTAAAATATATATATCTATAGAGTATCTATTCAAAATACAAAATATAAAATATAAAGAATAAGTTAGAGTACACCAAAAACACTAACCTACTAGTAGAAGTACATATACAAATACTATATAAGTTGCAGTTGCAGTTTTTTTCTCTTAGTCTGCAAGTGTGAACAAAATATGTACAAATTGTTTAAGGTAATTACGAGTAGAGTAAAAATAAAAAGTAAATAAATGATGAGAATGTTCTGCTAGCCAGAGGGTAGGTGTCGTAGAGGGTTATTGCTTTAGGGGGAATGATTTATTGTATCTGTTCTTGTACCAAATATAATATCAGAAGATGCCACCAGACTCCTTTGACAGTAACAGTTTTCTTTTTGTAAAAAATACAGGTATTTGTCATTTGTTCTGTTCTTTATGCTGATAACACAGTAAAGTAGTCAATGCGTTAATAAGTCCACTTGGTCTGAAAAGTGAAGCCAAAGTGGGAGAGCCTTAAAACGGCATTGTTTTCCAATGGCCAGCAGTGGGCGCCTCCACTCACCATTATATAGAAGACTATGAAAAATTGACAACTTAATTACCTCAGTGAACATTTTCCTAATAAGTGTATGGTCTCAATGTGTGGTTTCAAGTATGCCTCAATATAGCATGATTTATATTTTGTGTATTACGGTAATTTAAAGTATAGTAGATGATAAAGCAGGGTATGCTTTATCATCAAAAGGACTACCTTTTGGTTTACATTTGGTTACCAAAGTGTTTCTACCATAGTGTTGTCCTGCGTTTGGTTTTACTAACAGACACTCCAAGATTAGGTTGTTATTTGTTTAGGGTGAGTACACTTTGTTGTTTGCTAGCCAAAATGTGCATCTCTACAGATTGAACTTGAATTAAGGAAAATGCTTTGCAAACAATGCTATTGCTAACGTTAGCTTGTAAATTAGCAGGCCTTGCTCTTCCTCAGCTAAAGAGGTAAGAATATTTTAAACATAGCATTGACTGATAGTGATTTATTTGGGAGGGTACATTTGATTGGCTGCCGCCCCCGCCCACAGTAATACATGGCTTAGCTGACAGCCATCTACCTCGCACAACCCCACTTCTAAATACCTGAACTCTCCCTTTGAGGTAAACAGGATATTGGGAAGGATTGATTTTTATATTTGCTGTTGTAATTTATTGTCTTCTGTTTGCGATTGTAGTAATGTATTACTTATTATTTGCATGTACAGCACTTTGGCTCGACCAAAAAGCGTTTTTAAAATGTGCTATATAAATAAATCCTGATTTGATTTGATTTGAAGGATTTAGTGCAGCAATAGCGGTAGATGAATAACTGATTACAGTTAAGGGTCGAGAATGATGGGATGGGATGAGTGCTGAGTCATGGGATGGTGAGGTAATCCTTTGAGTGCTGACCCCAGAATATACGGGGATTAAAATACAGGCCTGAATCTCATACCTTTGGCAGAGTGATTGCAAAACAACACAGGAGATTGTGATTGTAATGATGATGATCATTTTTGGGATTGCTAAAATGATGGCCAAAATAATGACATTCATGCCAGGCTGATGAAGGTGACTCAGGGGAGGATTGTGATTAAAGGGATGGATCATTGGGTGAAACCATTTCCTGTTTGGTATTTTTCTTTTTTCTAATCATGTATCCTTGATTGACATTGGATTGGGAAAGCATACCAGCATTCTGTGTGTATCCAACAGATTTAGACTTTAGTTGGATTCAACTGTGTTTCTTACAACAACAAAAACAAAACAATTCATATTGTTCATTTACTAAATGCTACATGTTTGTAAATATATAATTGTATAATAACCAGGACTTTAGATTGAAAGCCTGAAGCAATACCATGCATTTACAAATAAAAGCAGGATAAGAAAGCACACTCACTTGAAGTTGAGCAGGATGCACACGGCCTCCATGACGGTCATGACCAGGTCGGGGGGTTTGGTGAAAACCTTGATCTCAGAGATGTCGGCCTTGTCCAGAGAGCTGAGCGCCTGATTGGCTCCCGCCAGAGCCGGCAGAGCCTCGTCCAGGTCCCTCTGGGCGTCGTCGGCTATGGCTTGCGTGTCCTCAGCTTTCACCTTGGCCAAAGCCTCGTCCTCTGACACTACTTTACGCACCTGGGAATGGATATGTTTGTAAGATACACAGAGGTGGAAGGCACATTGACACACATTACATTGCTAGGTACTTGTATTTCACGAGAGACTTTTCTTTTTCATGCCTCCTTCAAATTATTTTCCAACAACTCAATTGTATTTTTAATGGGTTTTATTTTTCAAAGAATATTGTAAAGGTCAGTTTTTCTCAAAACCTGACATGAATTGATCAGTGGTAATACATGTCTGCAAAACAACACATGATGAAGATAATGAGTAAGTTAGATAAATAAGTCGAAAATAAGCAAACATTATTATTAAATCCTGCTCTAACATGAATGCATGAGCAATTATAACAATATTTTAACTGTCAAAAGGGACGTTTGTATCTTCACATATAATACTTTAAGTACATTTTTCTACATATTTTAACTTCAGTAACATATTCAATTAAGGACTTTTGCGTGTACCTCAGTATTTGCATAGAGTAATATTAATACTTTCACTTAAGTAAAGGATCTAATTACTTCCTCTGAAAACACTCTTAAGCAATGAGAAGGAGTATCGAGCTTTTTCAGCATCTTATATAACTTTAGTTAGTTCTGTGTTAAGATTATAGAGAAGGAATAAGTCCAAAAGACCTGGGAATGAGTTAGCATTTTACCATATCTGGTTCTATAATCTTTAAAGGTCCCATGTCATGGCCATTTCTACTGATCATAATTCCATTGTTGAGGTCTACTAGAATACATTTATATTGTGCAATTTTCCAAACTCACATTGGTTTCTCAAACAGCATCTCTGTGTAGTATGTGTATTCACTCTCTGTCCTAAACGGCTTGTTGGAGCTCCTGCCCCCCCCTCCCTATGAGCCCACTGTGCTCTGATTGGTCAGCTCATCCACTCTGTTCTGATGAGTCTACCACCGTTACAGCGGAACATCAGTGATTATGTTTTACAATGGCGTTAGCAACCAGAAAATGACACCAGTAAGGACAAACAGATGTTTAGGTCCACTTTTATTCTCCATCTACATCAACAGTTTAGGTGAAAATGTGGATGAAGCTACTTTACATTTTTATACTGATGATACCGTGATGTACTGTGCAGGTCCCTCCATTAAGGAGGCTGGTGTTAAATTACAGGCTGTTTTTAACATTATTCAGACTCAGCTTGCTGAACTTAAGCTTATTTTAAATGTTGATAAAACCAAGGTAATGCTCTTTTCTAAAGCTAAAAAGACACCAGAGCCTGTTTTGGATATTGTTACTATGCAAGGACAAGTACTCAAAGTGGTTACCAGTTACAAATACCTTGGTATCTGGCTTGATGATTGTCTTACTTTTAAACTTCATGTCAATAACCTGCTTAAAAAGCTGAGGGTTAGACTAGGTTTCTTCTACAGGAACAAGTCCTGTTTCTCGCTTAAGGCCAGGAAAAGGCTCTGTGACCTTTTTACCTGTGCTGGACTATGGTGATTTGTTATATATGAATGCACCTGCCAATTACCTGAGCAAGTTAGATGCCGCCTATCACAGTGCTCTGAGATTTGTTACTAACTGTAAAGCACTTACTCATCACTGTACCCTGTATGCCAGGGCAGGTCTGCCTTCACTAACTGTACGGAGGCTCAGTCATTGGTACATGTTCATCTACAAAGCCATGTTGGGTAAACTACCTTTTTATATCTGCTCTCTGATCTCTCGACGAATTGAAAGTACATATTGCCTGAGATCTCATGATGTTGTTTTATTAAATGTGCCAAGTGCTAGGACTGTCTTAGGGAAGAAAGCTTTTAGTTGTGCAGCTCCACGAAATTGGAACAGTCTGCAAACATGTTTAAAACTGAGCACTTTGGTTCCCCTGCATCATTTTAAAACTCAGCTGGGTGACATGCTGTTTGATACTCATGGTACCTGTCTCTGTAAATAGAGTTTGTAAACTGTACCCTGCACATTATGTTGTATGTCATCCTTATTGTTGTTCTGTTGTTTTTATGTTACATGTGTAACTAATGTCCTGCAGGTCACCCTTGAAAAAGAGATCTTTTGATCTCAAGGGGCTTCACCTGGTTAAATAAAGGCTACACACAAACAAACAGAATGCTGCGTGGGGTCTGGGTGAGTGAGTGTGTGTGTGTGCGGAGCTCCACGGATTGGTCCATTTGGACGTCGTGACGTCAATATGCCCCGGAAGAAAAAAATGGCAGCATAGACCCGTTAACAAGTTTCTGTGTTAGAGTTTTACTCGCTACAGGGTGTACTTTGAGGGTTTTGACTCTGCACACCGTTTACATGCAGAAAAACCTTCATAACACACAAGGGGACGGGTGATAACCAGAAAAGCATATGATGGGATCTTTAAGCAAACTTACTTGATGTTGGATAGATTTCAAAAATAAGATATGTGGTTGACACAAGCTTGAGAGATTTTAAAGTTTTGTTCTACAACATAAAAGATGTCAGTATGTGCCCCACTCATAAATGTCTGAAGCATCAATGTGTCATAAAAATAGCGGTTCCAAACAAGTTACTAAATGAGACTATTAAACAACACCACTGTAGTGCAATAACACTTATGTGCATTTTGTAGATTATTACAAACTACTACGAATGTAACTTGTACATTTTTATATTTTTGTCTCGATCATCACTTTTGCTGTAACTATGTACATTTCCTCTCTGTGGGACGAATAAAGGTATTCTGATTAGACATCATCACACCCAACATTAGCCGCCTTTTGTTTAACGGTGGAAATGTGCTGCCATGCAAACGTTTATAGCCTAATGTAGCTTTCTGGAGAGTTCATTTACACTTCAACAAAAATAACACTGATGGTAATGTGTGGAGATTATCCTGCTGAACAAAATGTGTAAGTATCATAAACGTTCCGATCTGCAATATTCAAAATCCAATGAAATAAATCTCATTGCTTTTTGTCAAGGGAGAAATCGCGACGCTAACCTCAGTTTACAAAAAAACATAATCTCTGTACCACTCTATAACACCTCACTCTCTTGCACACAAAACGTACTCTTGCACACACACACACACACACACACCTCGTCAGCGCTCTCATGGTCTACAGCCAGTTTCTCCATCAGGGTGTCAACATCGCTGGACTTCTGTTTCAGGATAGGCTCTAGTGCAGACAGGTCCACTTTCATTTTGTCCACGAGCACATTGGTCTCCAGCAGTTTGGTCAGACCGTTTTTCACGCGATCCCTGGCCTATATAGAACCCCCCCCCACACAAAAGGTATGTTATCCTCATTTTACATGCAGACAAAATCAACAACAAAGAAAAAATTGCCATAACCACATCTAACTAGCTGCTATGGTATTTCCTCTGAAATCTCAGGTAAAGATCCAACACTTGTACAGATAACAACTTGTGCATTTTGATGGGGGGACTTACAAGAATGAGCTGCTGTCTCTTGTCCTCTAACATGGACAGGTAGAGGTTAATGAGCTCCAGGTAGGAGGTAGGCGTGGTGTAGTATCTGCGTCTCAGCTCAGAGTAGAACCGCTCGGCCATGTCAGTGACGCTCACGTGGATCTCCACGCACATGGCGGAGAATCTCTGCTTCAGCTCCTCGCTGCCAAAGTCCACGTTCTGGAAGAAGGCCTGAGAGACGGAGAGCAGCGCCTCACGCGGCCACTGGACAAACACAATGTTTTTCAGGCATGTGTGTGTGATGGAAAGTAAATGACAAAACAAGATTTGAATTTCCCATGGGGGATTAATAAAGTTTGTCTTAATCTTAGAACAAAGGCAATAAGAAATAAGGGGATTAGAAATGGTGTCAGAGTGGAGAAGAAATGACATTTTGGTTATCTCTGCCAGGAGCAGATACATAGATTGAAAGAAAAATGGAGTGCTGTAGACTCAATACAAGCAGAGCGATTCATCCTGACTGCAGATGATCCCCATGTACCAGTTAACAAATGCATATATGTTCTAACTCTTTTTCCAAAAAATAACATAAAAACAATATGAGTGATAATATATTACTAGATATGTTCAGTGAAAAAGAGATATGTCAGCGTACCTGCACAAACCAGTCAATAGTGCAGCAGTTAACCAGGGAAGGGAACATACGACAGCGGGACCTGAAGGAATCCCCCACTGGACTCATACACAGCACGATGTGCAGCTTCTCCCGGACACGAGAGATGAAATACTGGAACACCTGAGGGCCAGGGCCACACACACACACACACACACACACACACACACACACACACACACACACACACACACACACACACACACACACACACACACACACACACACACACACACACACACACACACACACACACACACCACACACACACACCACACACACACACACACACACACACACACACACACACACACACACACACACACACACACACACACACACACACACACACACACACACACACACACACCACACACACACACACACACACACACCACACACACACACACACACACCACACACCACACACACACCACACACACACACACACACACACACACACACACACACACACACACACACACACACACACACACACCACACACCACACACACACACACACACACACAGAGAGAGAAATTCCATATTTCTGGAGGTTTGGTCTCAGCCGGCAGATAATATTTATCTGATGTTTTCCTACAGCTCGCCTCGGGGCACTGACTTTTAGTTCACTGCACTTGCCCAGACTCTATGGCTATTTTCGCCCTTTCTGGGACACACTGTGTATTTCTGTTGGTTCTGAAATGTTACGCAATAATACTAGCAGCTTTCAAGAAATGCTTTATAACAAGAAAAGATGACATATAATGAAATCAAAGATGGGATAGAATGCCATCATTTTATTGATGATACCATAACATGAGATGAACAAATGTAAACGACTGAATAATAATAAAACAAAACTATAAAAATATATATATAATAAAATCATTATAATAATAATTATAAAATCAGTGCCCATATTATCCATCTATAATCACTGCAGCAGCATCAAAGGGTCTCAATTATTTTCACTCTACTTTATTTGCATAAGGTGAAAACTAAGTGTTTTGCTTCAAAAAAAATTGTTTCTTCTTTTGGTTCCTGACAGTTTTATAGCCAATGATGTATTGATTTAATGTGAACATATCAGAAACTCATATCTGGTAATATCTTAGATAGGTTTATTCATTTATCTCTAAAGGACCCTTGTACGTGTTTAATCTGTATGACCTTTTTTACGTTGAATGTTTGTGACGGTGTACCTCATCCCTGTTCTCCTCACTGATTCCCGCCTCTTTGGCCTTAGGGCGGGTGGCAGCTAACACTTGTTCCAGCTCATCTTTCTCAAAAAGGTTGGGCACCTCGCCAGAATTCAGCATGTTGTTGACATCCTCCAAAAAGCCCTCCACCACAATCTACAATAGGAAAGAGAGAGTGGAAACCTCTAAACACTCAAAAAATCATCCAAAGACTTGAACATGAGAAATATCTCCGTATCGAGTCCTTCTATCAAACCTGAGTATCTGTAAAGAGGAACACCATGTCCCTGCCCTCCACGCCGGCCATCTTGTAGAGCCTCCTCAAGTCTTCGTGGAAGCTGTCGTAGCTGTAGCCGCGGCTCAGTTCGATCTCGAAGCAGCGGTAGCCGCACATGTGGGAGGCCAGCCGGGTGAGCGACTGCTTGCCGGTACCCCCCACCCCCACCAGCAAGGCGTTGCCTCTCTCCTGGCGGATCATCCGAGAAATCCTAGAAGATGTGAACAAAAATGATTATTATTATTTGCAAACAAAAAAAGGAGGGAATGCTTTGGTCACATTGTGTGAGTCATGTATTCTTGCCAATTGAGTAGTAGAGCTACAGGGCTTTTGAGCCACTTTCTGTACCTACTCGCTACTCATTTTTATTGTTAAAGGCAGAATGAGTAGGAAACAAAAGCATGTTTATTCAAATAATGCTTTGCATACTCTAGGGCAGTGGTTCCCAAACGGTGTGCCGTGAGGCAAGTCCGGGTGTGCCGTGGGATTTTGTGACAACCATACATTATTATTGCAATATACAACTACACAAAAATAATTACTTTTTAATTTACTATATCAGTACTTTGTAGGTTTATATGTACGTAATCTGCGCGACTTGTGTGTCCACATCTCCACATGCAGTGCTGCATAAACATGGCTGAGTCAGCGATAACTTTCGAGGGGTGGAGGTATGCCCATTATTTTGAGTTCGTCCGAAGAATAGACAGGAATGTGACGGTGAGGTGCAAACTGTGTCCAGGCCAGAAGCTGTTATCCACTGCTGGAAACACCACGTCAAACCTCAACAAACACCTGCAAAGAACACATGCTAAGGTGAAGCTACCGCACACGCTATTTGTTGTTTGTTTATATCACGTAGTCTGTTCTTCTTCTCTGTCTTCCGGTTGTTGCCTGTTTTGAATGACAAATACACACTACCGCCGCCTGCTGGTAAGGAAAGTTATTGCCACTCACGCATGCGCAGTTCGTACGTGCTCGGCGAGTAAAGTAACGAGTTACTTTATGTAGATAGTAACGAAGTAGTGTAATATATCGGCAAAAATATTTACAATAGCACATGTTTCAATGCTGATTGCTGAAATGTTACATTTATAATTTGTAGTTCAGGACCATGGACAATGCAGCTTCCTTGCATTGACAGTTCTCTGTGCTGAATTTCTGCTGAGTTTCCTTTGCCTCATTTTTTATTTTGTGACCTGTCTGGTTTAAATGAGTGTGTTGCTGTTTGATGAAGCCTAATTTGATAAAGTTTCAAATTAATTTCTGAAATATTTCGTTAATAAATATTTCATGAGACATATAGTTGTCTTTGTCACATTTTATTTGGCATTAGTAAATAATTATGCACATTTACAGATATTTTACATGATATGAGTGATAACACGTGTTATAAGGGTTATTTTGCACAATAGGTGTGCCTTGAGATTTTTACTTGTCCTTTGGTGTGCCTTGGGCACAAAAAGTTTGGGAACCACTGGTCTAGGGCACCAGCTATTAAACTTGACTTGCCAAATAAACAGTTTTCAAGCTTTTGAATGAGCTGTTATTAAGTTATAACAGTTTTTCAGGCAAGATGAACAAATATTTCGATGAACAATATATGATTACTTTATCCCCGTATATTTGAGGATTTACTGCAATGTTTGGAGCTCTGAGGAGCTGATGGCTATATGAAGCCCGGTCTGCTTAAAGAAAACACATCAATCATATTTTTTAAATTATTCTCACTGCCGGAAGGGTAGAAACGGGTCCGCACTGCAAGTCAATTCATAGCGTGTTAAATAATCATTCCAATTAAAATTACGAGAGCCACCAACTTGGACCTTTGTCTACCCTTATGGCAGAGTTATTATAAAGTTACACAATAAACTACACACAGTGCACAGGGTCCTTTCTAGACTTTCCTCTCTATAATGCACCTTCTTTATTTTGGGTAACCTTTGTTAGAGTTTGCACCACCTGCACCTTCCACCAAGTCCGAATTCCCCTTCAATAAAGTCAGTAATTGGTAGTTTGAAAGTTCACACCTGGAGACGTGTTCGACGGCATCCTGGAAGAAAACCAGCTTGGTCTCCTTGGAGAATGTCATGTTGTAATCGTCCAGGTAGTCCTGGAGAACCGTCTGGATCTTTTCCATGTCTGTCAGATCCTCATACAGACGGTCTTCTTTCTCTGCGCTCACCTACAGGGCGTTGTTAGATGGAGAGCAATGGGAATAAGCAGATATTTCAAGGTATTTTATTAGTTGTTACCAAAACAATCGGAGGTTTTCTCAATACAAAAAGTTGAAAAAAGACTTTTACCTTGATAAAGTCGCCAAATATAATGGGCTGAGTCACAAAGTACGAGGGTTCCAAGTTAATGCTGAAATATTTGCCTAGCAAAAAGAAAGAAAAGGACCAGTATTGCAAATGTGTGACACTTAGTGGTTCAACGCGTGCAATTATCAATCAGTTTCTGCATTTAGAAAACTGAGTTTTACTGAGGATCTTTTTGACCGTTGTTCTTACCGGCCATCTCAGAGACGATGGTGTTAAAATAGGTTTTATCTTGGTTGTTGATGAGTCGGTCGTGGAACACTCGCTGACACTCGTGGCAGAAGAGACGGAAGATCTGGGTCTTGTCTCGCACTTGACTCGGCTCACACTGCAGTATGCCTGGACACCACGGGAGGGAAGCATTATGGGAAGGAGATTAGTTGTGTTTTAGTAACGTTAAATACATGTGAGGGTTACATGGATACAAAGAAAAAAAAAACAACACATGAAAAAAGTACCTCAAAGAAAAACAAAAAACAAAAGGGTAATGCTGCATTTATGCGTTGACAGAAACATTGGAAAATTAATGTGAATGCCACTAAAAGTAGGAAGAAAATAAACTATAGGTTACTTACGTAACCCCAGTTCTCAGAGTAAGATGAAGTGAGATGTCTCACTATGGGATGCGCCTCAACGCGTATGCAAACAGAAGCATCAATCTCATTACGCCAATCCTGATTGGCTGGTGATCTTGACGTCTACGTCAGGGAATCCACTCACCCTTTAAGTAGCTTGCGCTACGTCGCAGCGTCATTCAAAATAAGCACCTCTTCTCGCTTCGCCTTAGCAAGAAGGGCCGTCTGGTGAGACATCTCACTTCATGTTACTCTGAGAACTGGGGTTACGTAAGTAACCTATAGTTCTCATTCATAACACTCCGTTCGATGTCTCACTATGGGATATTGAAACTCCCGTATTGCTAGACATGCTTATCTCGAAAATCACCAAAGACAACCAGAACTTAACAGGTAGAACCCTGTCTCAACACGAGTCACAGCACTGCGCGGGCCACACTTGGAGCAGAGACATCTAGCCTGTAAAAGCGGACAAAAGTGAGCGGTGAGGACCAGCTTGCTGCTGCACAAATGTCTTGGATGGAAACACCCTTGAACAAAGCCCAGGATGTAGCCAGTCTACGAGTAGAATGAGCACGCAGGCCCGTTGTTGCCTGCAAACTCTGACTCGTATAAGCCAGAGCAATCGTTTCCACAATCCAGTGGGAGAGCCGTTGCCTGGTAACGGGCTTGCCCTTATGAGGGTTAGCCCAGGATACAAAGAGTTGGTCATTGCATCGAAACTCTTTTGACCTTGGCAAATTCGGCCGCTGTTCCTCAGAGGAACACAGTGGCGTAGGAAATGCCTCAATGTCAATGAGCCAACCACCTTAGGTACAAAGGCAGGGTTGGGCTTCAGCAACACTCTCGTTTGCCCCAGGGCAAACTGAGTGCATGAAGGATGTACAGAGAGCGCATGAATGTCACTGACTCGCTTGGCAGATGCCAGAGCCAGTAACAACACTGTCTTCAGTGACAGGTGTTTCATGTCAGCTTCTTCCAGGGGTTCAAATGGAGGTCGAGTGAGCCCATCTAAAACCACTGCCAAGTCCCATAAGGGCACCAGTGACCTGGAAACAGGGAGGAGCCTGCGAGCCCCTTTCATAAAACGGCAGATCAAGGGATGTTGGCGAGCCGTCTTTCCCTCAAAGCCCACATGGCATGCAGCAATAGCAGCCAGGTACACTTTGATCGTAGAGAAAGCTCTGTGTTTATCAATCAGGTCCTGTAGAAATGATAGAATCACCCCGACAGGACATTGAAAAGAGATGTGTCCTTTTTGAAGGCACCACTCCTCAAACACCCTCCACTTACAGTCATAGAGGGACCTGGTGGAGGAAGCTATTGCACTCTGAATAGTGTTTATCACCTTCTGAGGGAGTCCCACTGTATTCAGGTTATACCACTCACGGGCCAGGCCCATAGTGCCAAGCGCTCTGGGTGTGGGTGAAAAATAGTCCCCCCCGCCTGAGACAGTATGTCCCTGCGTAGCGGAAGCTGCCACGGCTGCCCGCACAGCAGCTGATATATCTCCGCCAGCCAGTACATTGCAGGCCAGTGTGGAGCTATTAGGATCAGTGTGTGGCGTTGTTCTCTCACTCTGGCCAGAGTTGGGGGTATCAGAGCCAGGGGTGGGAACGTGTACAGGAGGACCGGAGGCCAAGCGTGCGCGAGCGCGTCCACGCCTAACGGTGCGTTTAAATCGCGCATTGAAAAGAACAGCTGACATTGAGCGTTTTCTTTTGATGCGAACAGATCCACGCAGCTCGGCCGTAACGCACCCACAGCTGACTCACAATTATTGGATGTAGAGTCCAGTCTGCATATAGTGGTGCACCTCTGGACAGCAGATCTGCCCCGAGGTTCATCACTCACATCACATCTTCATCACATGCGTCTGTGGTGACCACCTTCCGCGATAGGACAGCACCCATAGGCACGCCCCGTACTAGAAAAGTCGGGTGCAGCCAGTGGCGCAGTGCCATTACGCATTTCATAGTGACCATCACTCTCCACGCGCCATGACGCACGGGGTCCAGTCTGAGGGCAGCCACCCAGCGCTGAAATTCCCTAATGTGTAAGCGTCCCAGTCGTACCACCAGGATGGCTGACGCCATGAGCCCCAGTAACCGCAGACATGATCTGAAGAGAACATATTTGCGTGGCTGGAAATGAGCAAGCCCTGAAGGCTTTCACTATCTCCGCTGACAGGCGGACTGTAAAGGGCACCGAATTCAGGCGTCGGCCCAGGAAGAGTACAGTCTGGGCTGGGGACAACATGCTCTTTTCTGTGTTTATTACGAAACCCAGGTCGAGCAGGTGTTTTACGAGGACATTCGTCTGCGTAATAGCCTCTTGCTCCTACTGTGCGAGAAGGAGCCAATCGTCCAGATAAGTTGCCAGGCGAATACCCTGTTGTCTTAACGGGGCTTCCGTACACCGTACACTTGTGGGCTGAGAGATAGACCGAAGGGAAGTACTCTGTACTCGTAACAGACACCCTGAAAGGCGAACCTCAGATATTTCCTGTGTGGATAATATACAGGGATGTGGAAATACGCGTCTTTCAGGTCGACTGATGTGAACCAATCGTTTTGGCGCACGAGACGCAACAGAGATGTGTGAGTGAGCATTCTGAATTTGTATCTTTTGAGATATTTGTTCAGAGCCCTCAAATCTAGTATAGGACGAATCCCGTTCCCTCCCCGTTTGGGAACGAGGAAATACTTGGAATAAAAGCCGCTCTGACTCTGTTCGGAGGGTATTATAGATATAGCCTTCTTGTCTAGTAGCGAGAGGATCTCTTGCTCTAGAACAGGGGTGCCCGACCTGTCGATCGCGAGATGTGTCTAAAAATAGAACAACAATATTCAGTTTTATCGTTAATGTCCTATAACATAATCTTCCTGTGTCAGAATAATGCACTTGAACGCATCAAAGCTTTGTGATTGGCCGGCGTGACCCCATGTGTCGGGGCGTGGCTTGTGGGCAGTGGGCACTAGTTCGCTGACGTTGTCCGTGTCAACAGGAGTGACAGTCCGCACACACACAAGCCCGCATTGGTAGAATAAAAAAAGACCCAAATATATAATTTTCACTCCGAGTGGGAGGATGATTATTCCAATTCAAAGTCCATCTGTCTCATCTGCAATGCGAGCGTGGCTTTATCGAAGAAGGGTAATTTAGGAGCGGCATTTCAAAACAGTGCACAAACGCTACGAGACGGAATTCCCTCCTAATTCTGCCCTACGCTCCCAAAAGGTGAGGGACCTGAAAGGACAGCTAAATGCACAGCAGTCCATTTTCACCCGGCCCAACAACAAGAGCAAGGCTGCTACCATAGCATCTTATCGTGTCAGTCACGTTCTTGCGAAACACATGAAGTCTTTCAAAGATGGCAAAGTTGTGAAAGAAGCATTCCTGGAGGCTGCCCACGCGCTTTTTGGGGACAGTAAAAATAACAGTAGCATTTCAACAGGTTTTTGATATAATAAAAACTCAAGTTAGATACCGTTATTAATCAGCTGTAAGTTTTAGTTTGTTTGAACTTATGCATTATAATTATTGTACAAAATGGTATAAGAATGCAAACATTAAGATCTGTTCTGTTTAAATTGATTATAGTCTATTATCAATTCAGGTTAAGAAACTAGTGTTGCTTGCATCCTATTTTAAAAAGGCATTTATTTGTATACTCTACTAAAATGCAACAAAAAAAAAGGGTTTGATTCTATTAATTTTGTCTTTTTTAATGCACTTTGGCAGCAGATTCCTGTGTAGCTTCAGATCTGAGTTGTCTTATTAGTAAGCCTAATGTATACTTTTGTAGCAACACTATTTTTATATAATGGCAAAGAAAGGAGTCTTTTCTTTTTGTCCTGTGTCATATGTGGCAGCACTGTTCAATGCTTCTTGAAAACATTACCCACTGTAGTATGTGACGTGTGAATAAACTCCAACTCTGTATCAACAACACTGTTGTGTAGCTTCAGTTAAATACTTGTATGTGTGTAGATTAGAAAGAGGTAAGATAAAGGATCTGCAGTATTTTATGAAGTATTAATCGTACAAAGGTCAGTTTAATACAAGTAGAAGTGTGTATTCACCTGGTAGTAGGCTGTCAGTAATGGCTACGCCTCTCTATTTGGACTGGTAGATCTCGGCAGACTGGCAACTTTAAAAGTAGCTCTCGGTTCAAAAAAGGTTGGGCACCCCTGCTCTAGAATATGGGCCGACTCTCCTCGGGCTTGCGAATGCAGAATGCCCGAAAAGTGAGGGGGGGTGACAGCGAATTAGAGTCTGTAACCCCGTGTTATTGTCTTGAAAACCCAAGCAGAATCTGTGAGCATCCTCCACTTTTCGCTTCTCAAAGCGAGTGGAGATGTCACATCTCTGTCGTCTGCCCTCTGTGTCTTTATTTGTTGTGTTATGGGGCTCTCTAGTGTCTGAACACGATGGTACCCCAGGTTGACAACCCCGGTCGACACTGCGCATGCGCGTGGCGGTGATGCCTTCACAGCCCCACCATCGTCCGCCTTCTGAGAGAGGTAGTAGCCACTCTTAGAAGGGGGGTAGACTTCAGACTGTTTATTGTTTTTATTGTCTTTCTTTTCATTTGTATTGACTGCGCCCTTGGCTTTAAGCCTGGAAACGACAGTGGAAAATGATTTATTAAAAGACAATATTGATGACATGTGTTTGTGTGACTTAAACGAGCAGCGGAGCTTGCTGTCGTTGATGTTAAGTCCATTTCCTTCATGGCGCGAACTTGAGGATGACGTTCTGACATCACTCGAGGCGGCGGGAAGATGGGGGCATGGTTGCACCCCGGAAACACATGAGCATCTAACACTGGAACGTGTTCTGGAGCTGGGGAACAGGGAACCACCAGCTCTTTTATCAAGGAGAGGAGAGGAGGCTGTCAGGCCGCCCTCTTCTTCTTCCTCGTCTGGTGACTGAAAGTCTGGGCCGGCTGTGCCTGAGCGGCTGCTGCCGGAACCGGAGACTTTCTTGGCCAGCCTGTCCTCGCCTCGTGTCTGGGCTGGAGACCCGGGGCGGGCTGTGGCCTCTGCTGTTTCGGGATCTTGAAACGGGCAGGACGTGAGGCAGCCTGAGCGAAGGACTGCCGCGGGGCCGTTAAAGGCGGCGGCTGGACCCTTCGGGGAAGACAAAGCTGGAGAGCCTCATCTTCCTTCTTTTTGGACTCACACCGCTGCTGCATCGAAGCTAGAGCGGAGCCAAATATGCCCTCGGGAACAATAGGCATGTCCAAGACGTCCTCTTTTTCCCGGTCTGGAAGGTTCGTCAGGGTAAGCCACCTGGCTCTCTCCTGTACCACCATTATCCCCAGTGCTTTGCCCGTGGCTTGGACTGCACAGAGCTGCACACACAGACAAAGGTCCGTGTTCGCTGCAAGTTAGTCCCACACGGCAGGCTCAGGTTTGACCGTCATGTCCTCGCAGAGCTCCGCCTGGTAGGCGGTCAGCAGCGAGGAGACGTTGAGTGCCCTGGCGGACAAAGCTGCGGCTTTATAGGCTCGTTCGGTCATTGCTGACTGGAAGCGGTCTGCCTTTGCCGGTAGCGTGGGGTTCCTGCTTGGTGCCGAAGCCAGCCGCGGTTGGAGGTGGGCTGCCACCAGCGGCTCCATGGGCGGCATGCGGAGCAGGCCAAGCTTCTCCATGCCGTCACAGTCCAAAGAGGAGGCACCCTGGATTGGGGCCTTGTTGCTGAAAGGGGGGTCTTTCCACGAGACCGACACCTTGTCCAGCATCTCTGGAAAGACTGGGAGAAGCTGCTTCCTCATCCTCGCTGCAATGGGGCAAGTTCTTCCCCTCATAGCGATATCTGGAGGTCTCCTTGGCCACTTCAGGCCAGGGGATGTCCAGCCTGAACGCAGCGCGTTGGCACACGGCCTGCAAGTCCATACTGAGGCAGGGCGAAGCTGGTGTGCTTTCGCCCGGGGGAGCGGACATCGCCTCCGGCTTGGCAGCCTGGGCAGATGAAACGAAGATGTCATCTTCGTGCTCATCCGAGTCGGATAAGAGGAACTGAGAGGCATCCTCTTCATCCTCCTCCATATAATCCAGCTGTAGGACATCCTCCGCGGGTGGAACCACGGTGAGGTCCAGCTGGGAGCCCCAGCTTGACACAGCGCGGGGCTCCGCTCTCGCGGCTCTTGCCGCCACCGGGCCCCAGCCTGACACGGCGCGGGGCTCCGATTCCGCGGCTACCGTCGTTGTTGAGCCCCAGCCTGACACAGCACGGAGCTCAATCTCCGCGGCGGTCGCCACCATGTCCCGATTGCCGGCCGGCGAATCAACGGACATGAAGGGGTCCTGTCCCGACAGGCTAGCTTGGCGCGCTAGCCGTCGGCAGAGGCTCTTGATGGTGAAGCGGGCACAATGCCCGCACGAACCGGGGGTATCGATAGCTTCCTGGGCGTGTTCCAGCCCAAGGCAGGACGAGCAGACCTGGTGTGAGTCCGTGCTCGAGATCTTAAACCCGCAGCCGCAGAGCCGAGCCTCCGACTCCTCTGGTGTGAGGGAGAGAAGGGTCCATCCTCGTTTGCCGGGGTGTCGGCGCGGAGGGACAAGCTTGTAACAGGTATGTTACAAAGAAAATAAATCCAACCTTATCGTTATTCCGAAAGGAAAAAACGAGGGGGTAGATTTTTTTCCCAAAAAATATTAACTGGTGTGTTAATATCTTTCTTATCTCCGTCTCCTCTGGTGTGAGGGAGAGAAGAGTCCGTCCTCGCTCGCCGTGGTGTCGGCGCGGAGGGATAAACTAGCAACAGGTATGTTACTGTTTGAAGAAAAAATCAAACCTTACCGTTATTCCGAAAGAAAAAACGGCAGGGCAGATTACAATATTAACTGGTGTGTTAATATTTGTTCAATTCTTCTGCAAAGCAAAAAAGTAACCGGCAAGCGCCCGTCGACCGAATGTTAGCTTGGGTTCAGTCTGTGGACCGTTAAGCTAGCCCAGCTACTGATATTCGAGATATGCTCTGAAGCGAGAAGAGGTGTTTGAATGACGCTGCGTCGTAGCGCAAGCTACTTAAAGGGTGGGTGGATTCCCTGACGTAGACGTCAAGATCACCAGCCAATCAGGATTGGCGTAATGAGATTGATGCTTCTGTTTGCATACGCGTTGAGGCGCATCCCATAGTGAGACATCGAACGGAGTCTTATGAATGAGAACTCGGAAAGCCTGTGAAAATGTTAGCTTTAGTACACAGCTTGCCGAGTTAACTAAGCAAAAACATGGCGGATGGAAGTATATGTTAGATTGATGGAAATCATTTTGCATATCAATTATTTGCTAACTATTAATATGTGATATGGTTTAAGGTTATAATAGTTGATTGTGGTAACCTATATTAGTTCCACAGTTACGTCATGTATTAGCATTCACCCTTATAAGGCTTAACCTGAAGTCGGCTGAAGAAATATTTGATATAAAAGAAATAAGACGTTCTGATCCGTTTCCTTTGCTGCAAAGTGTTGTTTTTGAAGCTCTTAGCAATAAAAAACAGCTCATATGCTTCATAGTCATTCATAGTCTAAAAGTGGGGAAATGGGATCGTCCGAGGAGCACTTGAATGCAAAGCTAATTTAGATGATCTGTGACACTTGTTTGAAAACATGTACTGTCAAATAACAGAATCTGAAAAACTACATTTCTGCTGTAAAAACTGTCACTGAACAAACCTTCACATGTTTTCCAAATGCCTTATGAAGATAACTGCTGATATGAAGTGGGGGGAACTGCAGAAGAAGACATTGTATTGTTGTGTCAGCGCAAATAAGTAAATGGGAGGAGTGGCTGTACGTTCATTACCACTGACCAATCAGAATGTAGTGCTGAGAGGAAATGTGTGTAAGAGTAATGCATTGTGGTTATGCTGAACAAGTGGTGAACAGCAAGCAGTCGCAGAAGTCACTTCCGCTCATCTTGATGCAGTAATGATGCCTGCTGGGTAAAGGAGAAGGGGGAGGGGGGTGTTGATGGTGCAGACGATTTGAAATGTTGTTAATGTGGCTTGAAGAGATAAATCATAGCCGTGCCTCAAGCTGTGCAAGTACAAAGACTTCTTTCATTAAAGTGGAGTTTCTGAGTTGGAGGAAAGAGACAGTTTGCATGCTGTATGCCTGTGCAACACATGTGTCTCGATAACAAACATGAAAATGCATCATTACTGATTGAATCACTTGCTGAAAATGCAAGCATGACCCAAATATGAACACTCATCAAGTCAAATGTTAATCGGGCCTTGAAAAAGCATTTAAAGGCTCAATGCAAATAAGGATTAAATATACTACACTGTTATGGTGCATTTCCACTGCAGGGCCTCGCACGGCTTAGTACGGTATAGTTAGGCCTTGGTAGGCCAGGCTCACTTTATTCTGCGTTTCCATTACAGTTTAGGAACTGGGGTAGTAACTATAGTAACGCAGTGTAGGCGGAGCCGTGATGAAACACAAAACCAACATCAGCCGTTAGCTGTTAGCCCTCAGAGCTCACAGCTCCTCATATCTGTTCAGAAACTAGACAAAAGTTAAACAAGTACAAACCACAGACTGTCTGTGTCATGGTGAATACAGTCGCTGGTTTATTTATGTCTGTAGGCCGTTGTTGTGAGTGTGGACGGTCAGAGCATAGTGCGTTAGCTTAGCCGGTCTCCATTCAGAAAACACGCATTTTAAGGTTTTTCGCCTGCCGTCTGTCTGCAGACTTGTCAAAGCATTCATTCATGGTTTTTACTAACCGGTATCAGTATGTTGTTACTTCGGCATCATTTTGAAAACGTGTATTACAATTAAATCACGGTCAAATATATTCATTTTGTTGGAGTTGCCAGCGATTCTCTCACTAGTTTAGCATACTCAGCCCGGTTGTTGGCCCGGAAAGAACCTCGATTTTGGAGAGCCAGAAAACTGTGAAAAAGTACCTGCTAGCCAGAACTACGACTAGTGGAAACGCAACTAAAAACGGGCCGGGAACGGCACGCTTAAACCGAGCTGTAGTGGAAATGCGCCATTAGGGGCCTCGCTGGGGACAGTTATTTGATGAGATGGGAACATTAAATATGGGAGAAGAAAACAAAGGCAGAGTTCAAGGTTTTAAAATGTTTTGGTTAGTTTAAATTCATATCGCGCAAAAAAACCCATAAAAGCACAGTGCTGCAACACTATCAAAAATGTTATCGTCAGACACTACTTTCAGAGGGGGGCCACATGGGGGACAAAGCCAGAGGGGCACAGGCCACAGATGGACCCCCCATAGAACCACCAATGATAGATGCTTAGTATTTGTTGAAGGTGCCTGCCCCTTTCAAAGAGTTTTCATTGACATAAACATTTCATTCACATTCTGTGTAAACAAACCATCAGGTTCGGACCATCACGCCTGCTCCAATTGGTTTCAAATGCCTCACCTTGGACACACTTGGAGAGGTCCCTGAGATTGAAGACATAGTGGGATTTAGCTGGGGTGGGCAGCAGATCTACGCTCAAACGGTTGTAAATCTCCACAGCTGCATCCACAATCTGACCCGCACAGTCCTTCACCGCCTGGGAAAAGACATTGAGGAAACCGCCCAGGATGGCCTGGAGGAAGGTGGGGAGGGGGAGGAGATCAGAACAGATGGAGTTAAGTGTGAACCATATTTTGGAGAGGAGTGAGAAAGAGTGAGTGAGCAGGCAAGAGTCAGATATCACAGAGAGATGACCACATAATAATGTTCCTTCACCAGATAGAACATTCATTATCATAGGTTAAGTTTTTTGACATTAATGTGTACTTTTTAGCACGCTAATGTATAACATGTAGGCTATATTAATGCATATGGCATCATTTTGGCAAAGGTGTTATTTTGGAAGTTTACCTAATATCCGATAAGTCGTGTTTTCCACCATTTAGTTATTTGTTCATGTTTTACCCAATAGATGCGATGTTGCTGGTTTTCTACTAGGGTTATAGCTGCTGTATTAACAATAAGTCATGCATGGTTTGAGGGATGGGTTTAAAAGTCTTTGCTAATCATTGACATATCCTAGACTGTGAAAAGAGACAAGAGCATACAAACAAAGTACTTCATTTAAAACAATATATATATATATATATATATATATATATATATATATATTTAAACAACAGTGTCATTGTGTAAACAGAAGGATTAAAATGATTAAAATGATCAAATATTTGGTAGTTATGATCATGAGTGGAGTTGCCTAAAAAATGTGGGAAGTAATTTAATATATCAGTTTTGTTGTAGAGGCACAAGGGTTAAAGCAGATATATAATAACAGACATGACATCTAAAGAAAACTAACTGAAGTGTATGTCATATCATCGAGCCAATTGTGGGTAAAAGCTCTTTCCTAATTATTCCTAGAAATAAGAGTAGTAATAATTTAACATTTTACAAGGAAATGGTTAAATGTTGATTACATAAGAATCTGTAAATGGGCGGATCTTGTGAATGAAATATATGGACGTTTCAAAATCCCCATGAGAATTGAAAATCAAGTTTAACTGTTATCTGTAATCCATATCCAATTAACTCATTTGTTGGTTGTTATTTAAGTACTATAATTTTAACTTTATTTCATCTTGTTGTGTTTGCCCGCTAAAGATATATTTTCTTAAAATGCACCAAAAAAGCCTTTCAAAGTCTTTGTGTAGTGATGTGTGTGTGTGTCTACTCACTTTGAAGATCTGCTTGAGGCTGTGTTCAGAGGGTGTGGGCAGACACAGCATGCTGAAGTGACGGATGAATCGGGGGGTCACGGGATTGCGCCCCCCTCCCGGAGGAGCACACGCTGCAGCAATGGTCATTTCCTAGAAGCGGGGGAAAAAGGAGGAAGACAATAAAGGGCAATTAAAAGAAAGGAAGAGCAAGAAGATATTTCTTTATTGGAAAACTGAATGAAATGTCATTGGCTGGAGAACTGAATGGCACTGGGATTCTGTAGGACCTAACATGAATGGTTCTTAATCGAAAGGCTATTAATGTGTGAAACTGCGGCACTTTTGGAATGACTTGTGTGGTTCTATGACCTCTATTACAGCGGTCTGCCTAATGGGGAGGGACATAACTCTGGGTTCAGCTTTAAGCGCATTATACAACCTTTAGGACAAATGATTCAAATAAGCGCTATAAGAGTGGATGGACTTTGGAGTTGATTTATCTTTAAATTAATTAGATTTAAAGATGTCTTTTTTCAAATGTAAGTCAATGGGGAAACATTTTTGATTTGAGATATTGGGCTTTATAAATAAGCTTTGTTTGATTTGAATTTGAGTCATGTTAAGTTTTGATATCTTTTTAGACATGTGACTTTTTTTATATTCTTTTAGAGTTTAATTTGTAACAAGGGTTTGGGTAAGGCAAGCTGGTCTTCTTTATTAGTATTCTGCTTAAAATAGAAACCCAAACGATACATAAAAAAGCGTCACTCCTTATGTTCTCCTAAAAAGACTCATGTTGTCAGTAGAAGTAATAATACTCTCTACATAAGCAAGCTGCAGGGGTGTGGAGTTTCCTGAATATAAATGTATTCCTTATGTGTAATCTGAACATCATTCACAAACACCAATACACACTCATTATACTGTAAGACATTGCACGCAGTCTAAAGTGCAATCAGTCTGGTGTGTTTGTGTGGTTCAAGTTAAATGCAGGAAACGATACATCAATGCATGATCAAATATGGGTCCAACACACACACTCTGAGAAGCACACAAGATGAATGGGTTACTTATATAAATGGACTAATTTCATTGAGAGTCCAACTAGAAAACAAATGGAGTAGTTGATGCTGACTGTGTGTTGAAGCTATTTGAATCTCTGTGTGATGCAGTGAGTACAGCTCCTGGACGACGCTTTCGCCTTACTAAGCATAACGACTAGAAACAGGAAGAAACAGCGTGATGAATATCAGTGTCCCAAAACAAAGCCATAGTTTATGCAGGATGTATCTTCTTTAAAACAACTTATAATAACCAGAGGAGAAAAAAAACAACTAAGAGTTACACTTGTAAATCTATACTAAAAAAAGGTATATCTTTTTTTCTCGTAAACTTACAACATATCTTTTTTCAGGATCATAACACCCCTCCTCCAGCATTATATATATATGTCTTGTTTTAATGTTTTGCTTACAAACCCCCCTATATGCTGTACATATATACAAACTGTTTATAGATGTATAGGAGTAAGAGCTACAGTACCTGCTGAAATCCCGGAAGGGGAAATCAGATTTTAAAAAATGGCATTATGGGTATTTGTGTACAGTAAGCAGCATATAAAGACTTATATTTACGTATATTGTTAGGGGGAAGCCTCGCGGCTATAGTCATTATGATAGGGTAAAAGACGGAATTCAGGTGTCATAGTATAAAGAGCAACAAAGGAGGAGAGCAGGTTGGATGGATGGGTTGAACAAGAAAAGGACTTTTACCCAGGAGACCGCTGTCTAAATCACATGTGAAACCAAAGATGACAAACTAACATAGCTTTTGTAACATACTTAACATACGTGACCTGATCTAATGTTATATGTATACCTGGATCTCCTTCCAGAAGAACTTGGTTCTGTCGTAGAAGCCAGAAAAGTCCTGGAACTGACGCAGCAGCTCTATCGGCGGCTGAGAGCCATAGCAGTCCAGTTTGGGCATATTCAGGTCATCCACAAAGACCAATAGCTTCTTGTTACCAGGAGCACCTATAATGGAGGGATAGGGAGAAGGATGAGGAGAGGAAGAGAAAAAGATTAACAGATGTACAGACTGACAGATGGCAAGGAAAGTCTGAGATCATTGACTGTACGCCAAAAGAGATGGATGGATGGTTTGCTAGAAGAAAACAAATGTGTCTTTTGCAGGCGCAGTTAAAGCGGTTTAGCAAGTTTTTTCAAAGATTTTCCACATTGCAGTATCAATCAATCAATGTTTATTTATATAGCCCAATATCACAAATGTTACATTTGTCTCAGTGGTCTTCACAGTCTGTACAGAATATCAGTATGACAATACGACACCCTCTGTCCTTAGACCCTCACATCGTACAAGGAAACACTTCCAGAGAAAACCCACAGTTTAAAGGGAACATGGGAGAAACCTCAGGGAGAGCAACAGAGGAGGGATCCCTCTCCCAGGACGGACAGACGTGCAATAGATGCCGTGTGTAAATCGAAGAGATAATACATTTGCAACATAGGTAGACCAAATGTTTGGAAATACTTGTGTCTATAAGTATAGCAAATACCCATGATGTTTTTCCTCTTTTTCTCCAGTTTAGACTCAATGATCTCCTGAGTGCGGGCGGAGGAGGTCTGGGCGGAGAAGTTGATGTAGACAGGGAGGTATCCTTCCTTTTCCTGGACACTGTTAAGAAGCCCTCGAGCAACCACTGACTGTAAGGGGAGGACAAATACAAATAGTTAGAAGGACTTTCTAATGCTGTCTACAGCCACTGTAGATCGTGTATTGTCCAGTTAACCCTGAAAAGGGACATTCACACATCAATATTTTGTATTTAAAATTACACAATTTACAAAATACACATCCTGTAACAGTTCTGAAGATATAGCAGCCAGGTATATATTGCAGTTATTAACGGCATATATATATATATTGCACATCATTTTTATTTCACAGCAAGTGATGTTATAGCATTGTCTGTGTTGTTGTGTGTGTGGGGGTCTATCAGGGGCCGTGTTACACATTATAACCATGTTACACTGTTATTAGACCAATATTTCAACAATTTCACACCAATATAATTAAGCAATAGCTCACGAAAGGCCGTGGTATATGGTCATTATATCACAGCTAAGGGGCGTGGTTCAGCCCGATGCGAAGGCTGAACCACGCCCCTTAGCTGTGATATAATGACCATATATCACGGCCTGAAGTGAGATATTGCTTTTATAAAACGGTTACCAAGTGTGGTAATATGAAAGAAAAATACACACTCTAATTTAAATAACACTAACAGCTAGCGAACATAATGAGAGCGTTGATAGATTATTTGGCTATTTATTACATTCATTTGTATGTTGCCATTTATTGTGCACCCACTGAAAAACTGTCCAGCATCAGTAGCATGGCTTACGAGGTTACTTGTATAGGTTGAGGTTGTTCTAGGGCTGTTGCTTGGTGTGGTGAGAATATTGCTCCACTTTCTCCGGTCTGCGAGATTTGGCTTCCAGCAGCTCTGGAGAGAGCTTTTGCACCTGTGGCCACTAACGGTCATAATCTCTCTGCTTTGTTTCAAGAGCCGCATCAGAAAGCTTTTGAATGGTGGTACTTTTCCAGTTGGTCTACCTGCTCTTCACGTAGCTCTGCATGTCGTCGTTTAGGTGCTTTTTTTTTCTGGCGATAGGCACTCCTCAATCCACTCCTCCATAGTAAGACCACCCCGGAGGTCGAAGTTAAGTAAGGGATAAAGTGCAGCGAGGCGGTCATTATGGTTAAATGAACACCCGACAGGCAGATAAAAAATAGTCCATTGTTAATGTTTGAGCTACGTAGCAACGGTAGGAACTGCTTCGATAGCGTTTTTGCGGACCTTTTTGATTACAGATTTGAAAACATCGTTGCTTGCTTTAAAAGTAGCACAATTCATTATGTCAAACTGGAAAGTATCTAGATATCCCTGCCCTAATGCCAAAGGAACTGCACACTGAATATGTTTGATGTATGTCTGGACCGTTGCGTAAAAAGGAGGGTTTCTGCCCCGTTACTTCTCCACTGTTTTCTTGTTTCAGTTTGAAAAGCAAACTGAATGCAGTTTGATGTTCAGCCCAACTGTATAGGCTACAGTTAAATCGACCGGACTTCTTTCTGCAGATGTGAGCGTCCTTTAACAACGGTCAATAAGTCCTTGCTGCACATTATCCCTTACATGTTTCCATCTTAAGTTTTGTTAGTTAGTTTCGTAACGGACGTAATGTAACGGTTGTAGCTTTTCTCAGACGCGGAGGGATACTGACTTCTTGTGAAAAGTACAACAATTATACCAGTGATATACACTCATTATATCACGGCTAAGAACCAATCAGATTGCTTGATTTGACTTGTCCGTTTTATAATACCCATTTTAAACATGGACGCCGCCTGTCAAATATCTATAGGCCTATCCCCCAGGTTACAGAAACCATTTAAGGGTGAACTTGAATAGAGAGTTGCAGTAATGATTGCTTTATCCGCAATTGAGGTAGCATTTTACAGGACAGCACTTCCGTCTTTCCCTTTCTCAAAATCAATGGTTTTTTGAAAGAGTATCTAGTTAGATTCATTAAATGAGGTCTGTGGTTCAGACATGCCTATGAGATGTTCATGTTTTAGACATAAAATTAGTAAATAACCCAGTGGTGAAAGTCTTAAGCGTGTGTCTTAAAAACATAAATTAATGAAGTTATGCAACCGTAATGAAGTTTGTTTATAACCATCTTGTTTGTTCATTTATAGACATTCTGTTCTACAACATACAATACTTCCCTAAATACCCCACTAATGAATGTCGGAAGCTTGTATGTGTCATAAACACAGCGATTGCCAAAAAGTGACTGAATGATACAACATTAGCAGCCTTCACCTTAGCGGTGTTGAATGGAAGTCATGTGACTGTGATGTAATTTAATGTGGGGAACCATGTGTTGCTACTTGCATTGCTAATGTAGCCCTTATTCCCTACCTTGCCCACTCCGGTGCTGCCAGTGAAGAGCACAGAGCGCCGCACAGATAGCAGCTTCTCCATCAGGTAGCCGTAGCGCACGGTGTCTGTGGTGGGGACCAGCATCTCAAAGAAGGCCTGCTCGCTGTTGTATTTAAACAACGGGATGATCGCCTCCCATGGCTCCAGGCGCTTGTGGTTGAAGTTCATGTACACACTCCACAGGGTTCCATTCTTAGGGAGCTAGAAGGCACACAAGAGAAGATAATCTAAAAAATATGACGAATTTTATGATAATGTATAAGGTTAGAAGGATCATTTTGTTTTTGTTATGAAGCTAGGGAATGGGGGTACTTTGTGACTTATTTTACAAGGCAAAACGTGGGTGTTCTCTGAGATTAAAGTGCTACATTTACAAGAAGAAATTCCAGAAATAATGGGAAAAAAACATTAATAATGTCTGAGGATGAACAGTCATTAATTAGTGAGTAGAACATTTAACAAATATTTACTTATTTGTTAAGGAACCACATATTTTAGCATCAGGAATAGATTAAATATATCACTGTCTACTAACTGTTACCTTCTAATTTGCTTTTGGCGATCTGTGAGTCTGTAGTTTAAATTTCTAATATAATTTTGTGACTTAAATCCCAGATAGAAAAATAATTCTTGCAGATTTACGATTTTAGGATCTCAAAAAAAAATATTACCACCTTTCCCCAGACTCCTTTTTGACATATAGTGGCCCTTATACACATACATAAAAGCCTTTGTGGAGCTTTACAGAAATGTACATGCATCCATTAGCCTGTATTTCATTAGCTATAAAACCTTGTATGAAATCTGGCATTAAAAACATATTGTACTCTGCAGTTGATTGTAGTCTCTGTTATGTGGCACTTTGTGATTTTCCCTGCAGAATGTGAATTAGTATGTGTCTGCTGTGTTTGTTTCCCCGAGTCCTGCTGTCACTGATGTATTCCACAGCTGGGAGCTTACTCATCTCATGGTAAACACAAACACATCTCGCTGATTAAATTGGAGGTATAATATCAGCTGCTGAACAGATGTGGTAGCATGTGGGGTGTTGGAGATTAGCATTTACCTCACATGCTCAGTCCACCTTAGGTATGTGAGTCATGTTCTACCCCTGCTAGCTCCTGCCAACGTCAGTAAGGCATTCCCTCAATCATCTGCCACTACTGGCGGCCGAGACAAAACCTCTCAAACACTTAACTTTCCATTTCCTGTCAGGCTAAATTACTCATAATGTTAGCCCCCACTTTCTTTCATCTATTCCTCACCACCATTCTATAACAACCGATTTATAATTGGCAAGGAAGGATATATGCAATGGCTTTTACAACCCTTGGCATAGAGCAAGTATGGGCATATCCAGCCATGCAGTGGGGTGGTTGGTGACTCTCTGAAAGGTCCCAATGTGTTCATTTTGATGGGCTGTCTTCTGAGTGGTTAAACATTGCAAATGGTGTTCCCCAAGGTTCTGTTTTAGGTCCACTTTTATTTTCCATCTACATACACAGCTAAAGTCAAAATGTGGATGGAGCAAGTTTACATTTTTATGCGGACGATACCGTGATGTATTGTGCAGGTCCCTCCATTAAGGAGCAGTTTTTAATATTATTCAGAAGCAGCTCTCTGAGCTTAAGCTTATTTTAAATGTTGATAAAACTAAGGTAATGCTATTTTCAAAAGACAAAAAGACACCGGAGACCAGTTTGGATATTGTTACTACGCAAGGACAAGTACTTGAAGTGGTTGCCTGTTATAAATACCTTGGTATCTGGCTTGATGATTGCCTCTCTTTTAAACTTCAGGTCAATAATCTGCTTAGAAAGCTGAGGGTGAAGCTAGGTTTCTTTTTCAGAAACAAGTCCTGTTTCTCATTTGAAGCCAGGAAAAGGCTAGTCTCTGTGACCTTTTTACCTGTGCTGGACTATGGTGATTTGATCTATATGAATGCACCTGCACAAGTTAGATGCCGCCTATCACAGTGCACTGAGATTTGTTACTAACTGTAAAGTATTAACTCATCACTGTACCCTGTATGCCAAGGCAGGTTTGCCTTCACTAACTGTACGGAGGCTCAGTCACTGGTACATGTTCATCTATGTTAGGGAAACTTCCATCTTACATCTGCTCTCTGATCACACGACAAATTGAAAGTAGCTATTGCCTGAGATCTCATGCTGTGGTTTTGTTAAATGTGCCAAGTGCTAGGACTGTCTTAGGGACGAAAGCTTTTAGGTGTGCAGCTCCTCTAACTTGGAACAGTCTGCAAAAAGAATGGAAACTGAGCAATTTGGTTTCACTGCATGTTTTTAAAGCTTGGATAGATGCTATGCAATCTGATACTGTTGGTACCTGTAAATGTCGTTAGGTATGTACATTGTAAATCCCTGTACTCCCTGTCTATGTTGTATGATTACCTTTTTGTTTTTCTGTTGTTTTCTGTTTTTCTGTCTTCATGTGGAACCTACTTGCTGCAGGTCTCCCTTGAAAAAGAGATCGATGATCTCAATGGGATTCACTTGGTTAAATAAAGGTTTGAAATGAAATGAAAATCATTCTGTCTGATTTACCTTTCCAATATGGTATTACTGAAGTTATTTCTAGAATGTACACTGTTAAATGTGATCTTTCTTGAAGGGAATTAAGGGTTTTCTGAAGTTGTCAGTGTATTAAGTGCAGTAGATGGAGGTCAGCACTACCCTATATTTTCAGTTTTAAACCCAACCTACACTTTAAAAAACATACATTTACCAGACATGGGGAGTAAAGAAATACATGTAATGTAACTATTGATGTGTTTTCCCCTTTCCTGTAGTGTGTTATATAGGTTTTTGTAAATGGTCTGCAAAGGCTAAAATCCTAAAGTCACTCCAGTGTGTTTTTTCAAACTGGAGATGTGCTGACCGCCATCTACTGCAGAATAAGTTACACACGCAACTCCACTTCAAGAAATCGGAACTACCCCTTTGGTAATGTCTTCATTTTAGAGTGACTGATATCATAAAGAATAATTATTTGTCAGACTCCCTGAGCACCCGCTCGATACATTCTGTGCCAAAAGTACTTTGATGTAATATAATATGAGCCTTCAGGCTTGTTCACATATTTCATGCTATTACCAGCAGATGCTTTGGTAAATGGATTTGACTTTGTTATAGCGATGAGGGGGAAAAGAGAAATGTCCTGAGTGGCAGAGAAGAGTTTTACAGCAGCTGTGTATGGAAGCCCTGAGAGGCAAGTATGGAAAATAAAAAGTGGTGATCCATAGATAGTTTTGATATATTATTAAAACAATGCTGTGTCTTCTTAACACAGAAGTAGATTTAAAAACAGTTAATCTTTTCAAGATACTGTTATATATATTGTTTAATCTATGAAAACAGTTATTATTCTATAGAATTATATTGTAATACTCATTCTAGCCACAAGAGGACCTCTACCCTAACTTAATATGTCTAATATCATTCATGTGTTCTGCGTTAAGCATTGGAATATTACTGTCATGTCTTTGTTTTGGCTGGAGATGTTTTCATCAATAATCTTTAAAGATAACTTAGAAATAATATGCTCGCAAAACTCCATCCTATCTTTGTATGTATATGTATGTTTAAGCGTCTTTGAGCATTAGAGAAAGCGCTATAAAAATCCCATGTAGTATTATTATTATTATATGTACCTTAGCATTGTTGTTGCCTTCAAACTGATCCCTGATGAACGTGTCAAAAGCATCCCAGTTAGAATTGGTCAGGTTTCCGCCCACTGCCCACAGGTAGCAGAATATGAAGGTCTGACATAATACACTGTTGAGGTTCTTGGAATCCTGAAACACACACACAAACATAAAAAGGCATAACATTGGTTAGTAGGCTTTTTTTTAATCATTCTCTTATCTTAAAGTGACAGTTAAATATTGTACCATTTTAAGATCTGGCCCTCCTTTGCCCAGCAGCAGCGCCTCCAGCAGGGAGCACAGAGAGGCCACTTTGCTGATGTCCACCTGTCGGATGGCCTGGGTGCAACGCTTCAACACGAACTGAAGACCCTTCTCCACATACTGCTCAAACAGCTCCAGCAGGTATGTCCGCACCGGCTCTGGGAGCTTGAGAGATGACATGGAGAGAAACAATTGATAAAAGAGAGGGAGGAGGGTTAGATTATTCAATAGTTGTCTGTCCTCATAATCATTGAGGCAACTTAGTTAGTTCACTTTAGTTATGTTCATGGTTTAAACAATTCTCTTTCAAATCCACTCAGAAATAAATGTAAGTACAACTTTACAATAAACACATTTGAAGGAAAATAATATATTGTTTAACTCCTCATTCAGAGCGGCAGGCACATTAAGTCAAAAGACGTAATGCTAATATACTGCTGTAAATGTGTAATATACATGTTTTATATTGTAGTAAAATGTGCACATTTTTACCTTAGCTTTTTATGTTTATATTAATATTTGTAATCTTGTGTTTAACTTTAGCTTAATGGTGGGGTAGGTAATTCTGGAGAAATCAGCTCGAGTGCGCTAGAATTTGAAAATACACAGCCGGAAAAAATCTGACACTTCCTTACAGAGCCCCTCCTCCAACACACACGAACGCGCACATGACCAATGAGGGCACGAGATAAGTTTGTGCACGAGATGGAAGGCTGACAGGCAGGTAGGCCATCCAGTTATTTTAGCCGGGCCGGCTAAAATGATTGGTCGTGCTTTTTACAGTACTACGGCTTCCACAGATGACTTTTTTTTTATGGAGTTGTTGTCAAAGCACTTAAGATATTCATTGCTATCGGATGTTAAGAGCATTCCATGGAATATAACAACAAGTGTATCTCGAGCCGGTTTCTCAAACGTACCTACCCCACCTTTAATTGAATATTTTACTTTATCTTATGTTAATATAAATATTTTAGCACATTTTTCACCAACAGCCTGAAAACCTGGACGTCAACAAGCGCTCGGTCCCAGGTGTGTGCAACAGTTCTTACTGTCCCCGTCACCGTTGTGTTTGGAGTGCCTTGCTGTGTTTTGTATTCAGCGTAAATATCTCATTAATACTTAATAATATGAATAAACCACTGTATATATTGTAATATACATGTTATGTATTGTAGTACAATGTGCACATTTATACTTGTACTTATTATGTTTACATACATTTATTTTGACTTTTTTAACATGTATCTTTATTTGAATTTGTTCTTTGCTTCTTATGTTAATATGAATATCTTTATTTTGTATACTGCACATTCTAACTTGAACTTGTTATTTTTATATTAATGTTCTTTATCATGTGTTTTTTTTTAATCATTTAAGTTTATTTTAAGCAAAAATGGAGCAACTGTCAACAAACACAATTTCCCCTGGTATGAATCAAGTACACTTATTCTGATTCAATGACTTGAGGTTACTGACAGTTTGGCCAAAATGTATAATTTTACATACAAGATGTGCCCCTGTGGTTGCTACCTAGCATCTGCTCTCTGCAGTGAGTGATGGGGGTTGTTTTGTGCGTGACGTAAACGCAAGAGGCATTATATAAAATAGCGTATTTCCAAAAAGGTTCAAATAGACGTTTCCTTGAACAGGTATTGCACCTGGAGGAGAGTGTGGGACAGAGCACAAAGAAAATGAAAATTAGAATAATTACGGTCAATGCGCTTCTAGTCCCAAGAGATACAGGGAGACAGCCTCTCTCAGTCAAAATGTTTTTTTTTGGAGAAGGTAGTTTTACTTTAGGGGCCCTTTTAGGCTTTCTGGGGTTGTCCCTTCCCTGTAGCTCTATAGGATGTTGTGCATGTAAATGGACTGCAAAGGCTAAAATCACAAATGTCCCTCCATGGGGAGTTTCTCTCCCACACACGGCGGTTCAATCTCACTTCCTGCAGTCAACATTTCCAAATGTTCTTGGGCAAGGTACTTAATCCAACATGACATGGTATTGAAGACTTTGGATAAATTGTCAGCCAAATAAAAATAATGTAATGTAAAAATGACAGCTTTAGATATGTATACTATCATCAAACAGATTAGTCTCAGTCAATTAGACAGTGAGACAGAGTTAAACAATAAGAGAGAGATAGAGAGTTAAAAGTTAAGAGGAAAGCTGACTGGCTCTCACTGCGAAGCCAAATCACCCAGAAAAAGCTGCTGCAAGCTATACACTTTGATGTTCTGTTCTGTCATCAACGTTTAAGCTGAAGCTTTAGTTTCTCTGCCTGTAATGCCTGAAAAGGCACATTACCTTGCTCAAACAGCCAGATTCACACACAGAGAATACTAAATTAGATGATATCCTCTAATGCAGTGGTTTTTCACCTTTTTGAGCCCCAACCCCTAAGAATAATCAATGTGACTCATAAACAGTGTGCACATACTGAAGTAAATGCATTATAAGCTGGTAAGTGGTTGTCTATTTATTTTTGTAATCCTGAGTTATTTTCTCACATCACATTAGTGTCATCCCTAAACAGATACTTGCTGTGACAAATTGAATTGGAAGCGGGGCTAAAACCCCTGTCACACTGTCCCGAAATTGACACCACAAGAATATGGAATTATGAATTCCGCACGAAGATGACCCCGAACTACACACAAAGGCAACATTTACATTACATTTAAGACATACAACTGCAACGAAAGTAACAAAAACAATTATGTTAAAGTACTATGATACTGTGCTGATATTTTCAGACTTTGTTCTTTACTTTATCCGTCTTTATATGTAGAAGATATTAAGTTTTCTCTGTTATGTTGTTTCCATAGCAACAACAACTTCCTGTCAACCCGCCTTCAAAATAAAAGCATCTAAATAAAACAGGAAGTTAACCTAAATTACATTTAAGACATACAACTGCAACAAAAGTAACAAAAACAATGTAATATCCTCTTCAGTTTCACAGAACACAAATTGGGTTATTTACATAATATGTTTACATGATTTTGTTGTGCAATAAAACAACGAGATGGACACACGATAATGGAAATGTTCAAATTCGGCTCTGATCGTAACAACATCGGGCCATTTGTGAGGGCATCTCAAGCCATCGTATGACAGCTGGTGGAGTTTCTCAGGCTCACCTCATCGGTGCCATTGGGCATTTTTCGCCCCGATGATCAGACGAAGATGACACTATTTGATAAGATGCCCTCGCGGGTGCCTTAGGGCAAAATGGACACACAAATTCAACACGAAAATGAACCTTCGCAAGGTCTTTCAGCAATTTTTTGGCATGCCAAAGATTTTGCCACCGCTCACGAAGTTGCTGCCGGAACCTGAGAAACTCCACTGGCGGTCATACGATGGTTTAAGATGCCCTCACGAATGGCCCGATGTTGTTACGATCAGAGCCGAATTTCAACATTTCCTTTATCGTGTGTCCCTCTGGTTTCAATTTCGGGACAGTGCGACAGGGGCTTTAAGAAAAGCGCAAGTGCTCATGCTCTACAGGCCAAGGTCCCCGTATGATCAGAGAACTTTTAGTATCTACAGTCAGGCCTTTTTGGGCTTCATGCTCCACTGAGCAACTCTCATAGATATGAACAAGGTCCCTCCTCCATCGCTGTATCCAGTTCACTTGACACATCCATGATTGAGCCCCAGTTCAAGTGTGAGTGGCAAATGATTTAATGTGTATACTATGGTGTTTGATTTAAAATGTCATTTTCTTTCCTTCTAGAAAACCATCTGGAGACTCGCATTAATGAACCTCCAGGCTGAGAATCTCTGTTCAAATACAACGAGCGTGATTTGAGCCAGTTTGAAAGGCCTTTTTTCCTCACTGATGAGGAGTGTCCTACCTTGGCTTCTAGACCGCTGATCCACGTCTGGACATAAGGCATCCACTTGAGCTCATTTGGGTCGATATACACCATCCCACAGCGACTGACGGTGGCTGGAGATGCTACAGACAAGTCCTGGACCTGAAAAACACAGTCATTTTAAAGCCAATTACCATCTTTTAGTATAAACCTATGCTTAAATATATTCAAACAAATTCAGATAGAGAAGCTTACTACAGGCCCTGTGCAGGATACGAGAATGGCATGGCTTGAGAATTGGGTGTCCTGGTTGTTTGTCATTGTCACAAAGTGGTGCGATCATTAGGTCTCAGATTATAAAAATGACATATACAGTTGCAAGAAAAAGTATGTGAACCCTTTGGATTCTCCACACATAGCGTTGTGTGTTCCTTCCAAACACCTCAGCTTTGGTTTCATCTGTCCACAGAATATGTTGCCAGTAGTGCAGTGGAACATCCAGGTGCTCTTTTGCAAACTTCAAACGTGCAGCAATGTTTTTTCTGGACAGCAGTGGCTTCCTCCGTGGTGTCCTCCCATGAACTCCATTCTTGTTCAGTGTTTTACGTATTGTAGATTCGTCAATAGAGATGTTAGCATGTGCCAGAGATTTCTTTAAGTCTCTAGCTGACACTCTAGGATTCTTCTTCACCTCATTGAGCATTCTGCGCTGTGCTCTTGCAGTCGTCTTTACAGGACGGCCACTCCTAGGGAGAGTAGCAACAGTGCTGAACTTTCTCCATTTATAGACAATGTGTCTTACCGTGGACTGATGAACATCAAGGCTTTTAGAGATACTTTTGTAACCCTTTCCAGCTTTATGCAAGTCCACAATTCTTAATCGTAGGTCTTCTGAGAGCTCTTTTGTGCGAGGCATGGTTCACATCTGGCAATGCTTCTTAAGAATAGCAAATTCAAAACTGGTGTGTATTTTTTATAGGGCAGGGCAGCTTTAACCAACACCTCCAATCTGGTCTCACTGATTGGACTCCAGGTTGGCTGACTCCTGACTCCAATTAGCTCTTGAAGAAGTCTTTAGCCTAGGGGTTCACATACTTTTTCCACCCTGCACTGTGAATGTTTACATGGTGTGTTCAATATAATTGTTTGTGTGGTATTAGTTAAGCAGACTGTGTTTGTCTATTGTTGTGACTTAGATGAAGATCAGAACACATTTTATGACCAACTTATGCAGAAATCCAGGTAATTCCAAAGGGTTCACATACTTTTTCTTGCAACTGTATAAATGTATTTTTAGATGGTCTTCAACATGTAATAGAAGGAAAAGTAATGGGTGTATTGGTACGGGTTAGATAACTGTGGCAGGTGTGCAAAAAAAAGCATCACTGTGCATAAAAAGGAGTGTCGACGAATCCAAGAATGTTGTTATTTGTACAAGTATCATGCATATTACATTAACGCAGCGTCCACACGGCAGCGTGCGTTGAAGCTTGCCGGTGAGCTTGTCTGAAACTTGACCAACAACCAATCACATGAATCTCCCGCCCCGGACACACAAGCACGCGGTTTGATTGGCTAGAGCTTGTACTGGCATATGATGTGATTGGCTGACGCTTCCGTCGAAGCTTCAAAATGTGAACATTGCTCAACTTTTGAAGCGAGCAAAGCGAAGCAACGCTCCCACAATGCAGTTCGGCAAAGCGTGACGTCACCCCATTCAAAGTGAATGGGCAGAAGACTTGAAGCTTCAACGCACGCCGCCGTGTGGACGGGCCGTAGCAGAGACAGAAGATTTGAATTTGGTAAACGTACTTATAAATGCTTTTTGTATAATTTAAGAATCAATCGTTTTTCTTTACCTTATGTTACCTTTTAAAAAATTGAAATTGCTTTCATTTATTTACATTTCAGTGTCTGCCGTCTTATTAAGCAAATCAAAATATCTCAAAACGTTATCAATATCTAGTTAACATACCTTGTTGCGAGCCATTTGGCTAACATTTTTTAGGCTTTAAAAAAGAGATCTGGACCAAATCAGCCGTTTCAAAAACTGCTGTCCCCAGTGTAAATGCACAAACTCATCTAGGTACACACTGAAGCAGAAAGCATGAAACTCAGCTCTAACCTCGAACAACATGTGTATGGATGGGGTGAGTTTGATTCGCTCGCTGTTGGCCATACAGAGCATCTTGTTGTCGTCCAGCACCGTGTTCATGTTCTCGATCCACAGGGCGTCCACCGGGCCGTCGCAGATCACCCACTTGTGGTCGTCGGTGGTGTCGTTTACCGCGTGGCGGACACTCAGCGCCATCAGTCCGTCACGCCACTCCATTGTTAACGTGTTAACCTGAGAAGTTGAGGAAAATAATGAACGTGTAAGAAGGGAACCGGAGGAAAATAAGAATACTTTATTTTTATCGGGGGACATTGGGTTTTCGTCGCAGATGCTCCATTTTAGAATAAATACATTAATACACAAATAAATAAATAGCAGTGTTTAAATAAAATAGGAACGTTTATTAAAATTGAAAACAATACTTTATGGATTGGACATACAGTAGGTAGTTAAACCAATAATGCGCAACAAAAAATTGAGAACAACGAAGAGTAAAATGTCCATATAAAGATTAAATAAAATCGAATAAAGATATTCATATAAAGATCAAGAATGTCATAAAAGGCTCAAATACAAAAATATATATAAACAAAGTAAAATGTTCAATAAAACATAAAATAAAAATAAAATGAAGAAAAATATGTATATAAAGTTTAATTAAGAATGCACAATTGTAAGATACATACATATAAAAATAGAATAACATATGTATATCAACACAAGGCGTTAAAGTTCAATGTGCACATATAGACAATAAATAACATGTCATGACTTCCTGTGGCGCATCTTGGTGGAATGAGTGCCTGAGCAGAGTGTTGTGGAGTGGTGTGGAAACAGGAAGCTGATGTGTATCTGATTCTCCTGTCCTACAGTACCTCTCCGTAGAGCTCTCCCATGGTGACAGATTTGGGGTTGAGGATGTAGGTCTTGACATGCTGAAAGAAGGGGTTGTTAGCCTTGTGCCCCGTGGCCTGGAGGGTCTCCAGTGTGTCTGCCAGGATTCTGTACACCGTGGTCTTACCTCCACCTGTAGGCCCAACCAACATGACACCATGACGCACTAACATGGTCTCATACAGCTGGATCACCTGGTTGAATGGAAAGAAGAAGTAGAAAGTTTTGAGAATGGACCGAGTTTCCAAAACAAAATAAATGTATTCAAGCCTACAACTTATTAAAGTGGAACAAACACGAAGCATCTGAATTATATTTGTTTATTCTTGTTGTATTTTTGATATTTTGGGTGAACAAACCTTAAAACTGTACACAGTAAATAGAAAACACCGTCCACAGATGCAAAACAAAAGAATTCTGAACTCAAATAAATGTTTTGTAAATTTAAAACGGATCTGCAAATCAAACAAATTCCACAAATAATGTAAACTGATTCCCAACCAAATGAAAAGCATTCCTGAATATCTTCCACTTTTTATTTATGAATCCGGTTTTTAAATTGCAAATTCAAATTGAATTTGTGGATCTCAATTCTACACAGACCGAGCTTCGAGACATATTATCAACCAGTCTGAAGGAAAATCAACTCTTCCCACTCAGCCATTTTCAGGTAGCTCGCGATGGCCTGCTGATGACATGGCTTCTGCATTTCAAAGACTGAAGGTGATGATTTGTTTTAAACAACCAGTCGCAGCATTCATTATTTGTATTATGTAAATGTAGGTAAGTATTATGGGTTTATTGGTTTCATATTTATAATAGAGCACAACATTGAAATGATTATTACTTTGGTTGGCAACTTGTAGTCCCAGGGACACCAAACTACTTATCTTCTATGTATATATCCGTTCAGGTGGTAATAGTCACAACACACTATCTCGATACAAATCTAAGTCTTGTTATTATATGTTAATGTTACATCTAAATTGGAATATGAGATTTACATTTTAAATCTAAGTGTAGAATTCAAAATTGTAAGGAAAATTAGCCAAATACAGAAAATAAACTCTTTCATAAGGAAAACATTTAAAAAATAAAGGAAGACACATTACTTCCCCCTCTCTTGTACCTTCTTGGTCATGCCAGCCAGCGGCTGTAGGTTTCGCTTCACCAGAGACTCCAGGATGGTGGTGTGTAGCACGCCGTAGTCATGGTCAGGAATACTCACACCGGGGAACAGGTCCGATAGGATACCACTGGGAAAGAGGGGGGGGGGGGGTATAATACATAAACACATACAGTACACACACACAATATACAATGTTCTGTTTCTACAGAAATAAACAAATCACAGTTTTTTCTCATTAAAACTTATCTTAAGTGTGATCCCTTGTAATAAACTAGTGGTATTTTAGGTGTGTGTACAGTCGTTGCACCAGGAAAGCGTTGTGCTTTTTTCCAAAAGGTCTAAGAGGCTTACCCAAACAGCATAGAATCATCAGTGAGGAACTTTGGCAGGTTGGAGTCCCTCAGGGCTCTGATGAGGACCACATCCTCACTGAGGTGGGGGTTTTCTCTCTTCAAAGACCTAAAACACACACATTATTATTATTATACATCTGCTCCCTGATCTCACAGCGAATTGTAAGTGGCTACTGCCTGAGATCGCATAATGTGGTTTTATTAAATGTGCCAACTGCTAGGACTGTCTTAGGGGAGACAGCTTTTAGATGCGCAGCTCCTCTATCTTGGAATAGTCTGCTAATTAAATGGAAACTGAGCAATCTGGTGCCACTAAATGTTTTTAAAGCTTGGTTGGATGCTACTCAATTGGATGCTGTTGGTACCTGTTCATGTGGATAGTCATTTAGTGGGAATGCTGACACAGCATTCCCACTATCTGTTATGCTACGCACTAAATTCTTTATTATTCCGCCGGGTTATTTTGCGCTGCTTCTTCTCCAACATTGAACATCGCAGAAACTCCGTTCAAACATCAAAACGTTCAGCTCGGTCGGGAATCAATGGCTATTACTTTTATCATTCATAACTTTCATAATTCCAGAGATACATCCCATAATACATCCCATTTTTAACATGGAAGTCAATGGAGAACTCTTCACACTTCAACAATCTTCATGCAACTTCAACTGCTAACTTCTCCTTCATCAACTGCTAACTGCTCCATCATACTTCAGACACCTCATTCCCACAAAATGTCACACATCTTTCTGACATTATTCGTGTAAAACAACTTTTAAATCTGATTCTTACTTTTACAGATATTAAACATTGTTCAGACCTTGGTAAAGAGGCCTTCTTCAGATTTTAGTGGAGGACAGATTTAATTTTGCCTTCATATTTTCTTTTAAACCTGCCATAATTCCCAAACCCTACATTCCTGAGACATCATTTTTCATGACAAACGTAGGAAAACATCTCGTAGCTTGAAGGATAAAAAAAAATTAAGCAAAATAATGAAACAAAATGCCTCTTGAGGGCATGAAGTGACAACAACGTTCAACATGTCTCCATTAAACTCCATTGTAAGTTAAGCCTCATCTTTCCCCACCACAGCAGCCGCACACCTTTAGTTAATCTGCCAAAAAGGCCACATTATTAACCCGAAAGTACACAAAAACTACACTTCAGACGCTCAAGTTCCTTGACATGCTTCACGCTTTGAAATGTCACCGATATCTGTTACGGTTCTTCAACAAAACGTTCACATGTAACAGGTTTATCTCTCATTCAGAACAATGAAAATGCTCTCCTCTCACTGATCACCATGGAAACCTTTGATCTCTGGACACGTCGTTAGCTCAAATATAAACACCTGTGTCATGGAACACGATGATGTCATAACTCCAATTGACATAGTTAGAGCAGCAGACTAATGACGTGGTCCCTGGAGTTTAACAGACTGTCAGCCTATTATTTTCCGTCCGATGGAGACTTCATACTGACTTCAACATGTTCCACATATATTAGACATTATTGGTGACGTATGCTTTTAGTTCTAAAGTTTTCAGTTCAAATATTCTGCTGCTTTTTCATGCATTTAGACTTTTATTTTCTTGTTCTTATTTCACATTCAAGTCCCCTCTATTCATGAACCGTTTAAAGTACTCAGCAACACCACTTATATACCAGGTGCGACTGTTGCTATGTCAGTTAATCTTTCAAATACAAGGTTGCTTGTTTGATTCAAGCTCTTGTAGTCAATATGTCAAGGTATGTATCCCTAACATTTTATCAGCTAACTAATGACACACACTCAGAGGACCTTTATAAACGTTTTAAGTATTGCACATCTTTAAACATGACTCTTATAAATCACTTTTAAAACCAACGATGCACTACAGTGTCAGCTTTTCTAAAATAGAAACTTCAATGTTCACATCTTTCTAAATGATTCTACTTTTCAATGACCTACAAATAATCCTAATAATAATCCCATTTTCAATTTTCCAACTGTTCATATGTTTTGGTCAATAAAAGGTGGGGTAGGTAATTTTGGAGAAACCAGTTCGAGTGCGCTAGAATTTGAAAATACACAGCCGGAAAAAATCTGCCACTTCCTTACAGAGCCCCTCCTCCAACACACACGAACGTGCACATGACCAATGAGGGCACGAGATACATTTGTGCACGGATGGAAGGCTGACAGGCAGGTAGGCCATCCAGTTATTTTAGCCGGGCCGGCTAAAATGATTGGTCGTGCTTTTTACAGTACTACGGCTTCCACAGATGACGTTTTTTAATGGATTTTTTGTCAAAGCACTTAAGAAATTCATTGCTATCGGGATGTTAAGAGCATTCCATGGAATATAACAAAAAGTGTTTCTCGAGCCGGTTTCTCAAACTTACCTACCCCACCTTTAACAAACGTGTTGTTCAACAAATTTGAGCCTTTGCCACATGTATTTGATCACCATGGAAACCTTTGATCTCCGGACACATTGTTAGCTCAAATATAAACACCTGTGTCATGGAACACGATGATGTCATAACTCCAACTGACATGCTCAGAGCAGCAGACTTCAGATAATGGTTAATGGTCCTGCCCTCAACAGCTCTACGTCAATTATGGGGTGTCATCATATGCTGTTTCCATGGAAACGCATCCCTCGCCATAAAACACGATGTCGCTGTAGCTCCAATGGACACGGTCCGGTCGTCCCACAATCTTCACCTGTATATCACCTCTCCATGCCTCAACAGCTCTACGTCAAATCTGACATCTCACCATATGCCGTTTCCATGGAAACGCATCCCTCGCCATAAAACACGATGTTGTCGTAACGCCTATGAAAAGGGTCAAAACAGCACCACACTTCAGATAGTGGTTAACGGTCCAGCCCTCAACAGCTCTACGTCAATTATGGGGTTTCATCATATGCCGTTTCCATCCCTCGCCATAAAAGACGATGTCGCAATAACTCCTATGAAAATGTTCAAAAAGTGATCAAAATTCACATGTGTGCTAACAGTCCAGCCGTGAAGACATCTACGGGACCGTTTTGAGATTTCTTCAAATGCCGTTGCCATGGCAACACAATGCTCGCCATGAAACACGGTTTTCTCATAACTTCAGTGAAAATGCTCCAAACGCCACAAAACTTCACAGGTTTGGTAACGATGCAGCCATCAACACATCTAAGCGTATTATGGGATGTCATCAAATGCCGTTGGCATGGCGACAGATAATTAACCATCAAGTTAGTTCAAAAGTTTGCAGTTCAAATATTCTGCTGCTTTTCCAAGCCTTTATACTTTCTTTTCTTCTCTCATCACACATTCAAGCCCCCAGTGTTCATGTATCATTTCAATCTAAATGCTTCACTTTCTTCTTGCACATTACATTTCAGCATAGCAGTTTAGCGTCAGCTTTTCAGCATAAAGCATTCCCACTAGCAATTTCTTCAGGAATTGCATTCTCTAGTTGCAAATTGTAATCCCTGTAATGATGCTGTATGATGTCCCTTTTGTTGTTCTGTTGTTTTATATGGAACCTACTTGAGCAGGTCTCCTTTGAAAAAGAGATCAATGATCTCAAGTGATACACCTGGGTAAATAAAGGCTTGAAATGAAATGATTCAAATAAATGACATGCATTTCATGTAAGGGTTGTTACTGTATACATCCAGCATTTTCAGGGTCTTCTTCAGAGTCATTGCCAGATATAACACAGCTTAATTGAATACACCATTCTGGTTAACATGAATATTGAGGGGTCTTCTCTTTTCTCTTTCGATAGCAGGCGGCTGCTGAGGATACTGCTATGCTTTGATCAAGGAACTATGTGCAGTCATATCAATCCGAAGAAAGAACTCTGGTTAACGTCACCTGCTGCCAAAAAAACATATCACTGTACTTCCATCAGAAAACACAGTGGGATCCTTTTTGAATATCATTTTTTGAATATTTTTGGAGAGCACAACACTTTGGGTTTGTGAATGGCACATTATCCCTTACTTAACACATATTTGACGATTTGGATAGCTATTTTCAATAAATAGTTTATAATCTTCAGCTGTAGCAACAAAATGATGTAATTGATCTGTTTCCTTAATTTCTAACTATGTTTTGGTCAACCAACAAAACAATCTTCTATCTGTTATTCACTCCCAGCTATCAACCAGCTAATAATTTTTAATTAAAAATGCATTAACATATCATAGGAAAAAGAAAAATCCAATAATACTTTTCATTTGACATCATAAGTGTCAACACAGGCAAAGATGTTGGTGCATTTCGTTCAGATAAATATCAATAATATGGGGAGATTGATGTTATAACGGGCATATTTGTCAGTGGAAAATATAGAGTTGTTACAAATGGAGATGTAATGAAGATAATAAGCAGTCCATGTATGTTGATGATTTGATATTGCACAGCATGATCCTGAAGACAAGTTGGCTCTGCTGGAGTATAAAAAAATGTAATGAAAAAACCATTATAGTGGGAGATAATGAGCGTGTGCTTAGCCCGAAACAAGCAGTCAAGGAGTAATTTGTAGGCAGAGACAGACAATGAATATCAAGTTAATTACAGTTCCCCGAGCTTCGGTTAATAACCAACTGGAAAAAAGCAGGACTTTCACCGCAAATGGTCGAAAAGATCCATTCAACTCGGGCTGAATCCAGGTTCTCCGCACATCTTCCAGCATGCAGATTCAGGTGCTACTTAGATCTTGGAGAGCAAATCTCTGAGGGGAATCGGAGCGCACTGATAGATTTGCAGCCGTGCAAACATCACGACAGTGCTGTGTCTTCATCGGAGTGAACATTTGTCGTTTTCATTCTTATCAGCGGCGGAAAATCTATGAACTCTGTTTTTCTTTCAAAAGAAATCAATTTAAATGTATGTATGCGCCCACGCACACTAGGATCAACAGTTTCTGCCATCTGCAAATTCTTCTGTTGTGGTTTTTTTGCCTACTCTTTTCTTTCATCTATTTACGAGTTTCACCTTTCATTCAACTTATGTTGAATATGCCTAAGTGAGCAATACCACACGCAACGAAAGTGATTGTTTTCTGTTTTCAAGCTAGTCATACCAAGAAAGAAAAGGATAACATCTGTGAAATATATAGTTTTACCTTTTTACTGCTGTTATTACTAGCTACTACTTCCTTGATCTTCATTTTATTAACGTATGCTTGCCTCTTTATTTGAGGCAATTATGCTGCCCTCTTGGCCAGGTCGCTCTTGAAAAAGAGATTTTGATGAGACTTTTACCTGGTTAAAGGTAGGGTAGGTAAGAATGGAGAAACCAGCTTGAGTGTGCTAGAATTTGAAAGTACGCAACCGAAAAAAATCTGCCCCTTCCTTCAGACTTCCTCACAGAGCCCCTCCTCCAACACACACGAACACGCACATGACCAATGAGGGCACGAGGTAAGTTTGTGCACGAGATGGAAGGCTGACAGGCAGATCGGCCATCCAGTTATTTTAGCCGAGCCGGGGCCACTCTTTACAGCGCCACGGCTTCCACAGATGACATTTTTTAATGTATTTATTGTCAAAGCATTTAATATATTCATTGCTATCGGGATGTTAAGAGCATTCCATGGAATATAACACAGAGTGTTTCTGAAGTGAATTACCTACCATACCTTTAAATAAAGGATATATATTTAAAATGTCAGTCTGCTCTTGTAGTCTGTGTTTCATCTCCACTGTCCTCTTTGCTGAACAAAGTGCCAGTCTTTCACAATAAAACAAAAACGTCCTGCTACCAATTAATACATCTTGATAATATTAGCAGATTAAGATGCTAAAACAGCGCTCCATAATGTTCATTTTGGAGAAAAACAAACATGCTAGTTCTCAGCTGCTGCCTGCCTGCATTTAGATCATTTTTACTTGAGATACATTTTGTTTGTACCTGTTACCTAACTGATATGAGTAATCACCTGTGCAGAATTAAATATTGAAGCTAAATATATGAAGGTTCAGTGCAAAGCATGACCTTTAAGCTCACTAAGGATGACTGCCTCTGCAACAAACTACTAATGACAACTGTGCTGTTTAGAATACATATCAGCATTCTGTTAATGTTTGCTAAATATACTTTGTGTATTTATGCATGTGTGAGCGCCACGGTAACAATGGTCCTTCTGGGACATGCCTGAAAAGGTAAATGTCTCTGTATGAGTGCACAGACGTGTTATTGTGTATGCATGAGTGGATGGCCTGACCCCGCCATGACCAGGACGGACTTGACGGCTCTCATGCCAAAGTCGTAGTGGTCCTGCTGAGACAGCTGCTCCGAGCACAGCTTGTACATTTGGGTCATTTTCCTCGCCAGGGTCTTACTGGACTCGAATCCCTCGGAGTACAAACTCACCTGCAGAGAGCGGAGAAACTAAGGAGTGAGTGACAATTGAAAGAGAAAATAAACCAGCATAATTCAATCAAGCAGGGTTTACCTCAGCAATCAGGGCATAGTTGGGCACCATCATGGCGATAGGTCTGAAGAGAGCTTTGAGGTTGTCGGGGAGCTCTGTTCTCCCGGCGTAGCCCGGGTTCATGGTGATGAACGCAGCACACGTCATCACCAGCTTGATCTCCCGGCCCTCAAAATGAAACTTGGACAGCTGCGTGGAACAGTAGAGGGAAATGTTTATGTGTGAGTGTGACGTCCTAAACAAGCGAGGAAAGTCTGATTGCGTGTGGCAGCAATTTATGGACCTGAATCAATTCTAATTGATGGAATCTGTGCTGGCTCCGAATCTGATGGTCTCCATGGGAATAAACAGTAATGCTACACTAGATCACGGAATGCCGTTCAGTTGGACTTTTAGCATATAGCGGATATGGTGCAGGAATAAGGACTAAAACTAAATGGGTTAGCATTTTACCATTTCTGGTTCCCTCGTCTCGAAGTCAAAGTTATTTAGAAAATGTTAAGATTAGATGCCTAAAATAAGATCTCTGGTTTATACAAACTTAAGGCATTTTCTTAACATAAAATACGTCAAAAAAGACCCCACCTGCAAACACTTGAACACTTGAATCAAAGCATAGTAGAGCGTAGTAATTATTCGTAATTCTTTTGAACATTGCAATAAAGGTGTGTGTTTGTGTGTTTAGATGTACCTTATCAGCTTTGGCGTTCCGTATAGTTATAAGCTGCTGAGCGATGACAGACAACACTTCAATGTCGATTCGGTTGAATTCATCAAAACAGCACCAAGCACCGGACATAGCAAGCCCACTGAAGAAGCGCCCCATCATCTGGAGGACAGAAGTGTGACAACACAAAACAGAAATATTATTAGTCAGATAATAAAAGGTTTATGTTGTCATTTCGACTTCTATTTTGTTTAAAGATGAATGTGGGCCACCGGTGCCTTTATTCAAGTGAAAGAGCTGCCATATACTGTAGCTCTCTGAATATTAATTTTAACGTAAAAGAAAATTAAAAGAGATGTGATTTAGGTTTTTCAATGTTTTCTATGCAGAATGCTGCCATGTCTAAAACATTTTCTATATACACAAAATAACCATTTCTCTCAAATATTGTTCATAAATCTGAAAAAAATCTGTGATAGTGAGCACTTCTCCTTTGCCGAGATAATCCATCCCACCTCACAGGTGTGGCATATCAAGATGCTGATTAGACTGCATGATTATTGCACAGGTGTGCCTTAGGCTGGCCACAATAAAAGGCCACTCTAAAATGTTCAGTTTTATCACACAGCACAATGCCACAGATGTCGCAAGTTTTGAGGGAGCGTGCAATTGGCATGCTGACAGCAGGAATGTCCACCAGAGCTGTTGCCCGTGAATTGAATGTTCATTTCTCTACCATAAGCCGTCTCCAAAGGCGTTTCAGAGAATTTGGTAGTACATCCAACCGGCCTCACAACCGCAGACCACGTGTAACCACACCAGCCCAGGACCTCCACATCCAGCATGTTCACCTCCAAGATCGTCTGAGACCAGCCACTCGGACAGCTGCTGCAACAATCGTTTTTTACATAACCAAAGAATGTCTGCACAAACTGTCAGAAACCGTCTCAGGGAAGCTCATCTGCATGCTCGTCGTCCTCATCGGGGTCTCGACCTGACTCCGGTTCGTCGTCGTAACCGACTTGAGTGGGCAAATGCTCACATTCGATGGCGTCTGGCACGTTGGAGAGGTGTTCTCTTCATGGATGAATCCCGGTTTTCACTGTTCAGGGCAGATGGCAGACAGCGTGTGTGGCGTCGTGTGGGTGAGCGGTTTTCTGATGTCAATGTTGTGAATCGAGTGGCCCATGGTGGTGGTGGGGTTATGGTATGGGCAGGCGTATGTTATGGACGACGAACACAGGTGCATTTTATTGATGGCATTGTGAATGCACAGAGATACCCTGACGAGATCCTGAGGCCCATTGTTGTGCCATTCATCCACGACCATCACCTCATGTTGCAGCATGATAATGCACGGCCCCATGTTGCAAGGATCTGTACACAATTCCTGGAGGCTGAAAACATCCCAGTTCTTGAATGGCCAGCATACTCACCGGACATGTCACCCATTGAGCATGATTGGGATGCTCTGGATCGGCGTATACGACAGCGTGTTCCAGTTCCTGCCAATATCCAGCAACTTCGCACAGCCATTGAAGAGGAGTGGACCAACATTCCACAGGCCACAATCAACAACCTGATCAACTCTATGCGAAGGAGATGTGTTGCACTGCGTGAGGCAAATGGTGGTCACACCAGATACTGACTGGTTTTCGGACCCCCCCAATAAAGTAAAACTGCACGTTTCAGAGTGGCCTTTTATTGTGGCCAGCCTAAGGCACACCTGTGCAATAATCATGCTGTCTAATCAGCATCTTGATATGCCACACCTGTGAGGTGGGATGGATTATCTCGGCAAAGGAGAAGTGCTAACTATCACAGATTTTTTCAGATTTGTGAATAATATTTGAGAGAAATGGTTATTTTGTGTATATAGAAAATGTTTTAGATCTTTGAGTTCATCTCATGAAAAATGGGAGCAAAAACAAAAGTGTTGCATTTATATTTTTGTTCAGTGTATGTTTGCATGAACAGGAGACAGGTAGTGTTAGTATATTTCATACTTGGGTTCTGTAACTTCATCCAATGGGTGAAACTAATGAATTAATAAAACACAGCATCTAGAGTTATTCATATCTCATGGACAGCCAAATTAAATATTACAGTTTAATGTTGCTAAGCCACAGTGGAGCAGAGCTGAAAAAAACTAACACATAAACGAGAGAGTGCTAAATCAAAGCCCTGTCCCACTGCAGCACACGCTAACGCTAATGCTCACCCTAATGCTAAAGCTAATGCTAACTACAGCAGACAGAGAGAATGGTTTTTCCAGATCCAACTTCACTGCAAGATAAATCACTGTTTAATATCACATCGAAAAGATGAGAGTGTCTCAAGGTTAAAGCCCCACTTTCATGTTTTGGGGCTTATAAAAGAGTGATTTATTCTTATGCAAAATTGAAGATTATTACACTGAAAATCAGCACTGTGGTTCTTTTTGACTGTTGGAAACATATTTTAAAAAAAGGATGACCAAGATAAAGATGCTCTACAGCTTTATATAGATCTATGAAAATATAAGTTTATTTATCTTTTGCCTGTTGATATGTGCATATTTATTGTAGATTTTGTTGGTGTTTTTATTATTTTTCACTCACGTGTAATGTCTTTTAAAAATGCTGCTGTATCAATTTGGTTGTGGAAAATATAATTAAAGATCATAGAGGAAAGGAAAAATAAATGTGCGTTAAGGAAATGTTTCAGAAGCACAACACAATGTAAACCTGTCACTGGCACGTCACTGCTATTGCAATAGTGCCATCTAGTGGTATTTCCCAGTAGGCACAGGGAGAATGAGAGTTATTTGATTAATATATTTATTTTTGTTTAAATACAAAGAAAATATGAACAGTATATGAAACTGATAATGATATTAATATTGAAATAAGACTGTATTTACCCCATGGGGGAAATTCCGAATCTTCCAAGCTTTGTATGAAGAAGAATATTAAATACATAACATTTAAAATTAGCCATCTGCAATATTAAAGTTGTATACACATACCGGTACATTAATTCATAATACAATAGTAAGTATAGTGGCTATATCTGACTTCAAATGTTGGTACTTTATTCCTCTTTTGATGATTTCATGTAACAGTGTCTTTTTACATGTATTATCTCTTAGATTTACACACGGCATCTATTGCACGTCTGTCCGTCCTGGGAGAGGGATCCCTCCTCTGTTGCTCTCCCTGAGGTTTCTCCCATGTTTTCCCTTTAAACTGTGGGTTTTCTCTGGAAGTTTTTCCTTGTACGATGTGAGGGTCTAAGGCAGTGGTTCTCAACTGGTGGGTCGCGACCCAAAAGTGGGTCGCGGACTCAATAAAACATCTTGCTGATGTTTTTTCGAGTCTTCTGGCCTTTGATCAGAATCAAGATTGTTGCCGGAAGTCCCCACGGAAAATAACTTTGCGGTAAAACTATTCTTTATACATCCATGGGTACAACTTCAGATAGAAATGAACACATAATGAAATATGACCCCCAGTTTGATGATTGACAGGTCACAGAACAATGGGGGCTATCTACCCTTACCCACAATTTAAAGTAATTCACACAGACTCTCTCCTCTTTGCTCTTCTCTCTGTGAGGAGCAGCAAGATGTCAGAACAAAGTGAAAAACAAACAATGGCATAAAATATTATTAATATGTCGGGTAGTAATATATTTATTTATTTTCTTCTCAGAGTGTACCAGAATGGGTAGTTTATATGTTAGTATTTCAAAAAATCTCCTGGGGGAGAATCCCCCCAGACCCCCCTTCTGGGGTTGGGTTTTCAGCATGTGGGCCTTTTTATGTTATACAGTTCAGCTTTGATTCCATCATCTCATTAAACCTTATTTAAAAGCATACTTTAGTTCTGTGAAGGGATATATCCAGGGGTGCACATCACTTTTTTGCCCTGGTTCTCAAAGGAGCACCTGGAGATGTTGCTTGGTGCTCATCCTTAAAATGAAATAAACTGTAACTTTTGAGGGGGTCTTGACTTTATTTGCCAGACACACGGCACTGAACACACATGCAGAGGTGAACACAGAACACACATGCAGAGGTGAACACTGAACACACATGCAGAGGTGAACACAGAACACACATGCAGAGGTGAACACAGAACACACATGCAGAGGTGAACACTGAACACACATGCAGAGGTGAACACAGAACACACATGCAGAGGTGAACACAAGACAACATAAGCACGAGCAGTAATCCTACAAACTGTCATCACTACCCTCCTGACTGTTCTCCTCACTGTCTTCCTCTCTGTCAGACATGGTAGCTGATGATGTAGGCCTACTTCTTCCTCTCTGGTTGAGTCTGTGATTAGCTGCTTGCATCCACAAGTCAACAGCTGGTTTTGGGTCGAAAGTCTCTGTTGTCATCTTAGACAAGTGGATGTAATCAAATAAGTATATGAACATAACCAATAGCCTACCATAGCCAATAACAAATGAATGTAACTTATTTTATTTATGTTGTTCATATCTTATTTTACCTTAACATTTATTTATGTATGCATTTTTTTGTATCTCTCCAGTTTAAAAGGATATTTTTGGTTACTGTCCTATAGTATACATTGGAATGATTTCAAACCTGTTTATCCCAATAATTATAAAGGAGTGCCTTGGAAATATGTGTTTACATAAATTGTGACCAAAGTGTTTGAACTTAGACTAAAGTGAACTATCTAAACACTCAGAGTCCTTTACCTCACTGAGCTGTAGTATCAGCCTCTCAGTCTGACTGGAGAGGACTCTCCCTCCACATCATTGTAGAAACATCTTCTTCTTATATCCGTTAGAGCAGCTAGCACCAGATTCTAATAACAACAGCGCTGGTACCGGTGCACCCTCCCTCTCTCCCTCGCATTTTGGCTGTGAGCTGCGGGCGCCAGATAAGCCAACATCCCCCATTTTCATCACTTACAGCGCCCATCGTACAGGGCAAATGAAACGTGTAACCGGGGTGAAAAGGGTGTTACATTTACTTAATTATGAATATTGTTACATCAAGGCCGAAAATTAGGATGAGCCCCAACAGTCAAAAATGGTTTTTTTCCCTCCCAGAGCTGGCAGCGCAGCACCTCCCCAGATCTGGCGCCCTAGGCGAACATCTGGCCAGTGCTACGGGCCGACCCTGAGTTCATATCATGGTTCATATGCAACTCGCAAATATCTTTCTCTCTCTATCTCTTCTCTCTCTCTCTCATCTATCCTCTATTTTCTCTTTTCTCTTTCCCCTTCTCTCTCTCTCTCTCTCCCTCTCTCCCTCTCTCAATGTTGGTACGCAAATGCGCTTTGTTTCAAATGACCCGGTGCTCTTTTTTTGGCAGAGGTGCGCATGCGCACCTGCGCACCAGTTATGTGCAGCCCTGGATATAAGGGATATATGCACTGTACTTCACTTTAATGAATAATGTATGCTGAAAAGAGTATATTTTACTGTACGATTTTGTGTTGAATAGATTTGAGTGGTTCAAAATTTCGGGTCGCGATTTATTGACTAAGTAAAAAGTGGGTCCCGAGGCCTGACCAGTTGAGAACCACTGGTCTAAGGATAGAGGGTGTCGTTTTTCTCATACTCATATTCTGAACAATCTGTGCTGTTGTATTTGCTGTAAAGTGTCTCTACTGTAGGCTATTTTTATTATATGTACAGCACTTTGGCTCGACCAAAAATCGTTTATAAATGTGCTATATAAATAAAACTTGATTTGATTTGATACTGGGATATGACTAGTATTACTTAAATAAAATATCCAAGTACTTCCTAATCCATTGGTTCACGTATAAATAAGTGCGGGGGATGGCAAAAAAGGAGGTACAAATTCCCGAATGAAAGGGTGTGGGTTATAGATGAATATGGTTTGTCGTGGCTGACCTTGTAGTCGAGTCCGTCAGAGCAGTTGAAGACCACACACTGAATAGCCATAGCTTTAGCCAGGTCCTTGGTGGTCTCTGTTTTGCCCGTCCCCGCTGGCCCAGCTGGAGCCCCTCCCAGGTCCAGCTGTAGAGCTCCCATCAGACACAGGTAGCAACGGTCCTGGGGAAGGGGGGAGAAAGGACAGTTTGACTAACAGTGATACAAACTATGATACAGATATATATACGTTTAGCTGCTGCAGCACAATTATTTATTAATGTTTGTCATGTACAGACAAATGTAAGGAGGGTCAAAAGGGGGTAGTTTGCAACCATTTACACTGCAATAAAGTGTTTCTAGACCACCATCCATCTACAACCGCTCATCTGGAGTCGGGTTGGCTCCAGAAGGGGACCCTGGGCTTCCCTCTGGGCCAGGTAACTTCCCTTCTTTCTCCATCTTTCATGGGGTTTTTTCTTGAACCATTCTTAGTCAGGCCCCTTGTCTGAGAGACATTTGCCATGAGAGACCGTACCAGGAACACAAGGCTCCAGACAACACTGCACCGCCTCATATGGACACACAAAGCTCTCCACCACCATAAGCTGATGTTCCCCGGAGAGATTCCTTTTAAATCTAAAAGCATACAGTACGTTCTTGAACAGTGCAACATTTACATATTTACTGCATGCCCTAACTGCCCACTTGTTGTGTTATGTGTTAACCTATGAATAAATATATGTATAAAAATGCAGAAAGGCCACTTATTGACTTCTGGTCATGGCCTAAGCGCCCACTGAAAAGATGAAATAGCAACATTTTCTTAAATCTTATATTGAGATGTAAAAATGGTGACAGGCAGAAATGGTCAAATATGTGTTTTGTTCCACACTATATAGTGGTTTGGTAGCTAGGAGTGTTTACAGGGGGTTGATTAATGTTGGGAGTGGCTTAGGCATCTACAGTATACTGTAGGTCTGCTTGTGTCTCAGTACCATTACCCATGTGTATTAATGTGCTACTTACAGTGAGTGGTGTGATAACCAGTCTAGGACAGGCTCCCAGGTATTCATAGCCGTAGATGTAAGTGGACAGAGCCATTTTGGCGACACAGGTGTCCTGGTCCAGGTCCCAGTAGTAGCGTAGCTGCCGCTGCCACTCAAAGTTAGACCTGGAGTCCACCTGAAGAAGAATGATGGAGATACTTTAATGTGGCAAGTTATAAAAGCTATTTTACCAAATGACGGCTGCTCCATCTCCCCATCTCCTGAAGCCTGCAACCTGGGTGTCATCCTCGACTCCACCCTTTCCTTCCATTCCCACGTCATGTCTGTGACCAAATCTGCCTTTTTCCATCTGAGGAACATTGCCAGACTCCGACCGTCACTCTCGGAGTCGGTTGCCGAAACCCTAGTCCATGCGTTTGTCGCCTCCCGCTTGGACTACTGCAATGGTGTCCTGTTCGGGGTTCCCAACAAAACCCTGGACAGGCTCCAGTATGTCCAAAACTGTGCTGCTAGGGTACTCACGCACACAAAGCCGTGGCAGCACATCACTCCCACCCTCATCCACCTCCACTGGTTGCCGCATAACCTAAAAGTCCTCCTCCTCACCTACAAGTCCCTCCATGCCCTTGCCCCCCAGTACCTATCGGACATCCTTCGCCCACATGCCCCTCCCCGGAACCTGCGGTCCTCAGACTCTGGCCTGCTTACCACCCCCCGCACCAAACTGCGAACCTTCGGGGACAGAGCCTTCAGCGTGGCAGCCCCCACCCTCTGGAACGATCTCCCTGCGGAGATCCGCAACGTCCCCACGCTTGACGCCTTCAAAAGGGCCCTCAAGTCCCATCTGTTTACTAAGGCCTTCGGCCCCTAATCTATTTGTTGTGTTGTCTGTCTGACTGGTTGTCTGACTGCCTTTTGTTTTTGTTTGTTTTTACTCCTGTTTTTCTTTGTAAAGCGACCTTGGGTCCCATGAAAGGCGCTATATAAATCCAAGCTATTCTTATTATTATTAAAAAGTGCGCATTAAGTTTAGCGGTGGTGACACGCAAATGTTATTTAGTTTGTTTAAAGCCTAATGTTAAGTATTAAGCATTTATGCCTTAACTAGAAAAAAGTGGTGTTAATATGTAGAGACTATCTTGCTGTAGAAAACGTGTCGTCACATAAATCATAAATGTTTGTTTTCTGTGTATCTTTTCCGCAATTATTCAAATTCCAATGGGAAAATCCCATTGCTTTTAGTTGTGCTAGCCCTTGGGGCTCTATCTTCGAGGTCGGCGTACACAAAGACATCACCACTGCACCAGTCTATTATCAGCTTCTCTTGCTATACATGTGGGAAATTGCTTACTGCTGACTATTAAGTTCAAAAACCATACAAATGTGCTGCTTTGCCCTATCTAACCTAATTCGATCTTTTGCATCTTATCTCGTATTAGGGCCAATGTAGGGTAAGATACAAAAAAGAGGAGGAGTACAATTGTGATTAATAATACAAGACTTAAGTTGAAAATGTACCAAAAAAAACATTGATATTATCTGAGATAAATAAAAAATAAATGTACTATAAAAAATGGGTTTTCAAGGTTTTTTCTTTTAATTTATAATTACATTTTAATTGTAATCTCATTATTTTTCTTGCCTATTTATGACTTGAGTGACTTTATTTGGCTTTGTACAAAACTGCGACACTCTATACCAAACCAAAGACAGACATCCATATAAGCTGCTTCATGGTGTCTGCATGTGTTTTGCACACAACACTATTTTACCTTCTGCTGGATGAGGTCTGTTACAATATCCCTGGCGTGGACGTCGGTGGTGATGAGGGCAGTGATGATGTTACGGTGTAAAGCAGGCAGCTCTCCTCGTACCAACGCTGCCAGGGCAATCAGCCTCTGGAATACACACAAACACAATCACACAATCAGCTTTTAAGAGTAAAAGTTCCAAAGGAAAAAAAAACACCAGTTGTGGAAAATGTACTCAGATTTAAGTAGCAATACTACATATTGAAACGGCTTATTAAGTATAGAATATTTGTCATATTTAGTTATATTTACCTGTACACCGTTTCTCACATATTTATATTTGATCTAAACATTGTCTATTTTTTTTAATTCAGTGAAAAGTGAGAAGTAGTTTAATAAGGTGTATTACATCAATGTTAATGAGTTCAAATTCCTGCAGGGCAGCAAAGTGGTCATGGTCTCCCTCCAGGCAGGCGTCCATGTCCCTGCACCACATCAACTGGGAGATGGTCAGCACCACCTGGTGGACACACACACACACACACACACACACACACACACACACACACACACACACACACACACACACACACACACACACACACACACACACACACACACACACACACACACACACACACACACACACACACACACACACACACACACACACACACACACACACACACACACACACACACACACACACACACACACACACACACACACACACACACTTTATTAAGTGGTTACATTTAGTCTCGGTCTAAACAATCAAGAGAGTTGCAAAGATAAGAGTTAGTTTGGAAAATAGAATAAGAGAAATTGACTAGGAAATATGTCTAACAATGTCTTGTATTTCATATTGGCAATGCAAGGCCGATAAGTTTGTATTATAATAAAGTATTGTATTTACCGTAACTTGGCCAAAATTGAGAACTTTAGATTCAAACCCTGCTATTATAAAATGTCTGACTCCATTCTGTAATGGCTGTGTAATAATGCATTAGGGTTTTATTGGGTTTAAATAGGAATATGTTGTCTTGAAGTGTCTAAGGGGTCGTCTATACTTAGCAGTACAGTTTTTTATTAACTGATTAAAGGAGCTAAGATTGAAAAAAACAAACTCAAACCAGTTCCAAAATGTATGCCTTTTGCATTAAAGCTGACAAATTGATAACAAATGTTTACATTGACAATGTTTTTGGATGCATTATGTTTGCGTGTATGTACCTGCGATGCATGTCCAGCCATCACCCACTCCTCTCTGGATTTGATCTGGTAGTCAGCGATGGCGGCCTTGCTGAGGCGGCGCAGCGAGTTGAACATGGCCTCCTCCACCTTACAGAGCCAGTCCTCCACATTACCCTGCGCCTTCAGACCTTTAGTCAAAGCCACCTGCACTTACACACAGAAAGGCAGGATCAGTTACAGTGAAGGACGTGCTTTAATAAAGGTTTGCGGTGAATCCTCTGGGTCAATTCTCCTTAGATTTGCCCTTTTGTGATCAAAGCGGGACAAGTAAGGGATAATGTGCAGCGAGGCGATCATTAGTGAAAAAAGAACACAAGAGGATAGAGTAGGTGTAAAGGTGACTCATAGCTGACCTTCTCTCCTTCAGGAGAAACCATGCTCAGGATGTCTTTGCTGTAGATGGACTCCTGGTTGGACTCACTTCCTGCCATAGCCCCAGGAGATTGTTCGGCCAGCAAGGCAAAGTCGAGCCTTATAATGGCATCGAAACACTTCCTGAGATGGGGCTGCACCGCCTGCGGGTTTCTTGTCTGAGCCAGGATCTTTAGCAGCTCATCGTTAGATAAGAAGCAGAACCTGGGAGACAGATAGACAGAGGAATTATCAGGCTGCTTATCATCAGCAGCCACAACACCATGTTAATGACTCACCGGAGAGAGAGGTTTATCAAGCTCTCAGAGGGACACTATGTATATTGGAGGCTTTAAAAAAGGACCCTATTTGGTTAGCTGGCCGGCTCTGTTGTGATTGGTCAATCGCTAGTGATATTCCACCTATTAGCAGGTTAAATGTGTTGGATCAGTAGTCAACAGTAGTTACATAGTGATGTCATTATGTTACAGAAGAAAACAAAGGAGTTCAGTGGAGGCATTTCAGGCCGGGGGGGGGGGGGGAGTGTGGGAGAGAAACTCTCCGTGGAGGGTCACCCAAAAAGCATATTAGGCCCCTTTCAGTAAATGCTTCTGTGATACATCTGGGGGAAATTATTATTATTATTTTTCTTTTTCTTTTTTTGGACAAATGAAGTGACTGAGCCCCAGTACATGGGCTTCAAGCTCTACCAAGCAAGCTACCCAACGGCCCAACATTTCCGTAGCTAGATTTGATTGGATTTACTTTATTGACTTCAATTTGAACCATTTCCCAACATTAGGATTAAATAAATAAATCTAAACTAATCAAATCTAACATCGCAAAGTGAAAGGATATCGTTTCTTTAAAAATATATGATAATAATTAACACCATAGACGCCACTAGCCCTGCACTAGTCTGCACTGGATGACTCGCACATTCATGACTTTAAGATGTCATACAATGTATATTTGTTTCTATTAAATCCACCATTTTATTCTCAGATAATATTACCCTTCTACACCGACTTCGTTTTTTACATTTCTTTGTGTAACCTACAATGGACCTGAAATGCTGTTGTAGAAAAAATAAATAAGGCAAAGTATAATAGAAAATGTTATCCTTTGCTTTTGTATATAATATGTAAAAAGCCAAGTGTGCGTATACCTGGGGAAAATGACTCTCTTGGACTCCAGGTAGTCTTCCAGACACTTCTGTATCTCATCCAAAAGTTCGTTGTTGTGCTGGAAAGTCTCCAGCAGGTCTGTGTAAGATAAAACAAGAGCCTGAGTGAAGCAAAGGTAACTGGATTCCTTAACAGTGACATCATTAAAGACACAATCAGATAACTGGTATATTAAAACAATTATTATGATTATTTATCAGGACTACAATATCAAAACGATGTATTACAAAGCACAAGTGCACACATCTCAACATATCACAAGTCCCAAATCTAATCTTCATCATGATGACCTCAAGTTCACATTTGTTTTAACAGGTTGGAAATGTCGCCCTCTTTCTTTGTGTAATCTCTCAATGCGGCATCTATGGAATAAAGAATGTGCAGGGGATGACATGAGCCTTCTGTAGGTATGTAACACACAACATTAAAGGCAAAAGAAAACAGGAAATAATTATAAGGCATCTTTAAATCTTCGTAAGATGAATCTGGAAAAAGGCAGCTATTGGCTAGGTTGTATTCCTACATAGTACACGTGTGTTTATTTGCAGTGGATTTCATACGGAGGCTATCAAAAGTAATCAGGTCAAATTATCCTTCTTTTGTGATACTTATATTAGGTTTACATCCTTTTCCAGATAATTTGTAAATGTAATATATTTCAGAGATACAGGGTCCCACGATATAATGAGGTTCATATAAAGCACTCAATCAAAGTCAAATCCCTGGTCAAATGTATGCTACGGGTATTTCTCTCCATCACAGCTACCTACCAGGCTGCGTGGCTGCTTTCATGGCATTGGGAAACATATTGACTTTTGCCATGATCGCCTTCCAGGACTTGTCCACCTTGAGAAACATCTTGGACTCGGCAGGCAGCTGCCTCTTGATGTCCGGGGCCAGGAAGATACTCTCCAGGTAAAGCCAGTTCCTTTGACACGTGAGCCACTCATCCTGGCAAAGGAAGGGGACATATAGGATGGGGAGGAGAAATAAATGATGCAATACTGTCTGTCTTTCCTGCCTCACTGCCTCAATAAACACTAATAAGCAGGATGTATTAGGAAAGGTCTTGATGGCAGTCACTAGGGGGAGCTAATGTGTTACATTTGAGGCCAAATCCAAAGTCCAAAAAATGCATTTAAGTCGAGAAGACTTTGTTATAGAAGTGTGGCTTTTCTTCATTTGTATTCGACAGAAGTGCTTCAGGGTTGAGTTGGATCATTTGAGAGTTAATGAATGAATCCTTTTGTTAGTGATGAAGTGATTGCAGGACAGTTGAAAACAAGGTTCACATATACAGATAGGAGGAGTGACTCTTTTGTTCCGAGCCTTTACCAGTGTTTGGTTGAAGAGGGTCAGCTGTCTCAGCAGTTTGTCCACCCGGGGCTTTATGGGAGCCACGTAGCGAGAAGACGCCACCGTGCCCACGTTGATAATGCCGTCATCCAGGAGCACCTTCACAGCATACGAACACAATAAGATGAACTGATAAAGGATATTAGGATGTTACCAGCTTGTGTACAACGGCTTTTTTTGATCATTGTAGGTAAAAAAAAGAAATAGAGAGCCGGCAGAGGGGAGTTATATTCCAAGAAGAAACTCAGACACCATGATGACTTTTGAATGCTAAAGAGATTAATAGCAAATACATTCAAGTTAATTAACTAGAAAGAAAACACTCAAGTACATTTAACAAACAAGTCTGATTGTTACAAATATTGAGCAAAAAACTTGGAAAACTAGGACATTTTATGTCAATTTGTGATCAATTACCGATTGAAACTCTGAAAATATCCATGTTTTTTTCTAGTAAATTAACAACTTTTATCTATGAATATTCCCCCTCCCCTTTTTCTTTTCTTGAAATGGCCCTAACCGGCTAACACACTGCCATGAAGACATCTTTTTGAAGTTCCAATACAAAAAATATCAGCACAGGGCTACGGATTTATGAGAGTATATTTTGAGAAGCTCATCATATCATAAGAATCATGTATCCAACATCTGTTAGATTTATGGGTACCACTTTACAATAAGACTACCCTTTAAAGGGTTTATAATTAGGTTATGAATTAGGTTGTAAACACTTTATTAATCATTAAGAACCATTTATAAACCAGTTCTATACACAGGCTCACTATTTGGCAAGATGACTAAGCCTTACATTGGCTACTTAGCGAGAATCAACTCAGTGAAGCCTAACAGATACCAAGGATGCTGGGTGATGAAGAAGACAAAGTAAGCTAAGTAGCCAATATAAGGCTTAGCAGTACAGATACATGTGGGCTCACTATTTGGCAAGCAACCGGTCACAGTTGCCCTGTTTATCTCATGTCTTCACAAGTGTTCACAACCTAATTAATGAATTACAAACTATTGGTAAACCCTTTAAGGGTAGTCTTATTGTTAAGTGGTACCGACATATCTAAGACGTTATTGTTAATCCGTTTTTTTTCTTTTACTCTTTTCGTCTCTTTTTAAGTTTTTCTTTTGATTTATGGATGATCATTAAGTTATTTAATGTATATTAGTTTTGACTGTATCTCACTTCTTTATACTGTAACCAAAAAGAAGAGGAAAAGAAAGAAGATAAGCTCATAATGAAGCTCGTAATGAGGATGCCAAAAAGGGAACTGTATTTCCTAAAAGTTACATAAAGAAAATAAGTAATGAGACTATTGGTACATTTTTGAACAATGGGGATGATGAGCAGAACCTTACGGGCCTAAAACCACCATGTGGAACACACTACTAGTATGATCAAAGACAGTGTGTGAGGTGCATGGTACCACCTGGATGTCATCAGTGCCTCCCAGGATGAAGACGTCTTTGGAGTCACTGTGAGCCAGCACAGTGAACTCTGCGGTCCTCCACATGTCCTCCACCTGCACGGCTCATTGAGAGGGCAGATGTTAAAGTTTAAAGTATCACATCTGGAGCTGCAACTATTAGGTCTAGTTTCAAACGGATCCATACACCCTCTCACTCTTTGCCAGAGTTAACTCCTTCTGTAGTCAAACTGACAGCCCGGGAGGCGCTTAGCTTAAATTAGCATAACGAAGGCAAGCTAACGGCTAGCCTGGCTGCAGAGTGGAAAGAAATCCCCTATCCAAACCATTACAACTCATAACATATAATGAACATATTGTATCTTGTTTATTTATTCTGTAAACAAGGTAGGCTGATTTATGTTTCCCCGGCTCTCAGAGACAGACCCTGACTGTAGCTTCATTGTTAACAGAAATCTAATAGCGTCACATTTCAAAATATATGATTTTAGCTTGATCTGATGCAACTGAGCATCTTTGCATATATTATTTTATTAATGAATTAATAATGACAAATCTCTGTAAACATTGAAATACTTGCTAAGTCATCAAGACATCAATATGTGATTAAAATCAACTTATATTGGACATACAGGAAGGAAGAGTACACGTCAATTGCAGTTTCTTCATTAGATAAAGAAAGAAATGATCTGAATACCTGTAGTAGATCTATTTCCACACACCTTTGTAATAATGGTCTCCACTGATGCCTCTCCTGAAGCCTGTCCAGAGACCTAGAAGGAAATACATGGTTCATAAGGCCATTGTAAGTAAACAAAATGTTTAATGAAATATAAAAGAATACAATTACGGAGCCAGGGGAGGGGGAGATAAACATTGGTGGTAAAATTCAGTCATACATTTTCAGAAATAAATATGAGACTGAAGTTACCATGGAAACACTAGTTGTCAAGTTATGATTTCGTTTTTCGGAAATGTTTAAGATTTGTAATTAAAGACTTTAATGACTTGGGATCCCAGAAGTTTTAAAATGTTAACTCATCCCCGGGTTGAGGACTCATTCCTGCACCACTCTACGTTGCCAAAGGTATATTTATGTGTCACCTCCTGTATCTCCGTGCCATACGAGAAGACGTTGAGCGTCTCCAAAGCAGCCACCGTCAGCTGCTCCCCGCTCAGGGCGGTCCCCGCGACCGACTCCAGCGTCCTCCAGTGCTCTGCTTTCATACACGGGTTACGCAGGTCAGTGATCAAAGGCAGCTGAAGGGGGAAAAAACATAGATAAGGTTTTGATACAGTCACAAAGCTGTAGAACCAACCATGCAATTCTAAACATCTAAATATGCATCAAATCTAATGTTTGAATATTTAATATTTACATGTAAATAGACTCCTGCATTTACTTGTTCACTTACAACATTCTCTGCAACATTTAGTTTATTGTATTTGTTTGATTTTTTACATTGATATGTTTAACTTGTATCATTTAAATTGGTCACATTTTCACTGTTTCTTTTTGCGCTATTTTACTGTTTTCTAAATGTCTTTCTAATGTTTTATGTGTTATATATATTCATGTTTCATTGATGGAGTAGCATGGGCCTTGAACTTTTCACTGTAGCTACTTTGCATATGATAAAGCCTTTGAATCTTTGAATGTATGTATAATTAAGTGTTAGGGTCAGCTAGGAATTAGCTAATAAACTACGGCAATTATTGACACACACATCAGTCACTACAGGACACTTTGTCCCACTCACCCTCTGCTTCATGAGCTCCACCTTGTCCTTGAGACTTGGCACTACGTTGTTGCGTGGCAGACCCTTCTCCAGCTGGTTGACATATTTGCTGTATTTAGTGACCTGCGAGCTGAACTGATCCAGGTCCAGTTGCTCCAGTGTGCTCTGGGGATGGGAGAGCATGGAAGGACACTTTGAAGAGAAGAAGAGTGTACATGTTGCCAAAGGCATTCGCGTAAAAAATGTTAAGTACGCCTCACCTGCCTCCACCCTTCTGATAGAGAGTCCCATTCCTCCATAGAGTCCCACAGCAGCTTTGTCAGCCTGAACTCTGCAGTTAGCTCCTCCAAGGCGTCAAACTTGGTGACCTCCACCTTTTTTCATCAGAAGGAGAAGTGGTTATAAAATGAGATGTTCTGCTTTGGTTGCAGCTCTACAAAGCAATATGAAATTGTAATGACTTTACTTTACAAACCGTATTGGAATACTGAAGGATACAGTACCTTGAATCTTTTCTGGTAGGAGATGTAGGCGGACGCCTTGGCCTGCAGCTCGTCTATGGAAATCTGAACCCCCCCCAGCAGCAGACGCACTTGCGAAGGGTCTGAATTGATGTCAAGGTTTTGAGGATTCTACAAAAAAAAATTTAAGCAAGGAAATATAGAGAGCACGATTATTTTGAGAAACTAGAAAGAAAAAAAGGAGAGAGAAATAGTGTCCTAAACGGGAACTAAATTAAAAACGATATATATATATAATTCAGGAAAATATTAATTTTGAAAATTATATAAACAGAATTAAGAGAAATGAGTTAAAATAAATATATAGTTAACAGAAACAAAAACTAAATATATATATATTTATTACTTAGAAAAATTAAAAAAAAAATCTAATTTCTTATAATATGAATAGTGCTAAAATTAAGTCACATTATTTAGGTTTCATTTTCAAAATGAAAAACAAAAATAAACTATGAAAATATTGGCCCAAACAGAAACTAAATAAAAAAGACTATGCTTCAGTTAAATCTTAAACAAAAACATGATTTTTCGGGAAATTCGGATAAATGAAATAAATGTAATTCCTCCATGTGGTAGCGTGCTAGTGAAAGAGTACTCAAGTTTATTCACAAATCAAAACATGTAATCACTATGGCCTTAAAAGTGTTTAAATATTAGTGCTGTGTAATGGCGGTAATCTGTCCATAGCATAATGATAAAGGGGTTACTATTCAATGTATGTGACACTGAATAAAAAAAATATTGCAATTCCTTCAATCTACCGGTAATTATATTAAACGGCCAAAACTAAAACTAGAAAACAAACACAAAACTAACAGAAACTACTAAAAAGTTTAAAAATCCCATTGCCTCTGGTCAAAGTAGCCCTCACGATGATGACCTACACAGATGTCATCCCTGCACCTTTCTGAAAGCTCTCCACGTACCTGTGCCTTCAGCGTGACCTGTGTGACCTCACGGTTCAGCTCCATTATGTCCTTGTGCATGGAGCTGCCCAGCTTCCCCATGCTGGCCTCCCTCTCCAGCGCGGCCCCGTCGATGATGCTGTGCAGTGAGCTGATGGTGGGTTGCAAGGTGGCGAAAACAAACAGATCCTCAGGTGGCGTGGGAACTGAGTACGTGTTAATCAGATTGTACAGCTGACACACCGTCTCCTGCTCCTCTTCTAGCACCGTGATCTGGTGAGAGGGACACAGGGAAGTGTAGAGAAGTAGGTTTACTTAATGATAGCGCATTCATGTAAACACAGTAAGAGGAATTAGGTTGTAAAAAGGAGCAACTATCAAACTATTACATGAATTAAAACATTAAAAACGAAATCTTAAAATGTAAAAAATTCAATGAAATGTTAACTTGTAAGTTACAATAAATAAAACATGCACTTATGTACATAAGTATATACATATTTAATAAGAAGTAACACAAATAATTATATGAATGTATATTATTGTATTGTGTATATATATTCCATATTATATCAATTATTTACAGGCAGTATAAGTCAAATAATGAAACAGGTAACTACCGGGTTTAGGTGAAAAAATGAATAACAACAACAACAACAAGAACAACAGTAATAATAATAAGAATACATTTTTTAATTAATTAAAAGTAATTTAAACAAATGCAGAAACATACAATATAATTGACAAGGTTTTCAGTGTTTTGGAAGAGGAATGGCTCACTTAAAGCACAATTATGTAACCCATAGTGTCTTTGGGAGGGGTCAAAAGTCTGTGTCAGTGGGGGTCCTGGGCTGATGTGGCCAATTACTGATGGAACTGTAAGAAACTGTTTTTGTGCTGCGAGGGAAGCGGTTGACATCTAATAAATGACTTGCCTTTTTTGGGTTTGTTAAAAACACTTTTGATTTAAAAAGAAACCTGCTTTTAATGTTCGTCTCACCCTTTCCTGTATCTCGTCCAGGGTTATGAGGGACTCGGCTAACTCCTCTGTGGTGGATGGGGTGCCCTCCAGTTTATACTGAGCTTTACAAGCTTCGGCGATGACAGCGTCCAGCTTCTTCTTAGCCAGCTGGGTAACTACCTCGTTGATGACCTGCAGCAGAGAAAATGTGTTTTACTTTTGGAAATGTCACTTTGAAATGCTGAAGAGAATGCGGTGAATAGAAGGCAAAACATAGTCATGGTCCTCCTCTGGTCAGAGCAAATCAATAAGAATGATTCTTACTTATTCCTTGAGTAGCAAAAAGACATACAGGAAACTGGTAAAAACATAAAAACTGAATTCATTCGGAATGGAAGAGTCTGGTAAATTAAATGTATGGAATAGAAAGCATAACTTTGAGAATGAGTTAAAGTCTTTGATACAAGATATAGGTGGGATAAAGATTACACAAAACATAACTAATGTGGTAAGTTGTGACAATGAATGTAGGTATGAGTTTTAATTATGTATTTGTTAGCTTTATCATATATATATATATATAGCTTTTTTTGTTTGTTTGTTTTCTCTTTTTTGATTTGTGTATTGTTATTTTTTTAATTCATGAATGTTATTGTAATTGTATCTCATTTCGTTATCAAGGCACTTTTAGAAGAAAACAAATCTTAAAATGCATATAAATGAAAATGATTTTGAAATTGATGAAGCTGTTGTTGTATATTTGGTTGTTCTATCAGTCCACTGAACTCTCAGGTCGCGTCTGCTTTCCATCCCCGTTAAACTAAACTGGTAGAAGCAGTATTAAATGATTATGCCCCATATATCTGGATTAACTGGCAAAACAAATAGTCTGCTGCAACTCTCACTTCTTGTATTTGTATAGCTGTCTTAGTCCGTTCTAGCTTGTTTATTTGTATTATCTTGGCTTTTCATGACAGTTTTAATGTCATTTAGTGGGAATGCTGACACAGCATTCCCACTATCTGTTATGCTACGCACGAAATTCTTTATTATTCCGCCGGGTTATTTTGCGCTGCTTCTTCTCCAACATTGAACATCGCAGAAACTCCGTTCAAACATCAAAACGTTCAGCTCGGTCGGGAATCAATGGCTATTACTTTTATCATTCATAACTTTCATAATTCCAGAGATACATCCCATAATACATCCCATTTTTAACATGGAAGTCAATGGAGAACTCTTCAGACTTCAACAATCTTCATGCAACTTCAACTGCTAACTGTTCCTTCATACTTTCACTCAGAAACCTCATTCCAACTTTAAAATGTTACACATCTTTCTGATATTATTCGTGTAAAACAACTTTTAAATCTGATTCTTACTTTTAGAGATATTAAACATTGTTCGGACCTTGGTAAAGAGGCCTTCTTCAGATTTTAGAGTGAGTGATGTCACAGCTAGAGTGGAGGACAGATTTAATTGTGCCTTCATATTTTCTTTTAAACCTGCCATAATTCCCAAACCCTACATTCCTGAGACATCATCTATCATGAGAAACGTAGGAAAACATCTCGTAGCTTGAAAGATAAAAAAAATTAAGCAAAATAATGAAACAAAATGCCTCTTGAGGGCATGAAATGACAAAAACTTTCAACATGTCTCCATTAAACTCCATTGTAAATGAAGCCTCATCTTTCCCCACCACAGCAGCCGCACACCTTTAGTTAATCTGCCAAAAAGGCCACATTATTAACCCGAAAGTACACAAAAAGTACACTTCAGACGCTCAAGTTCCTTGACATGCTTCACGCTTTGAAATTTCACAGATATCTGTTACGGTTCTTCAACAAAAGGTTCACATGTAACAGGTTTATCTCTCATTCAGAACAATGCAAATGCTCTCCTCTCACTGATCACCATGGAAACCTTTGATCTCTGGACACGTCGTTAGCTCAAATATAAACACCTGTGTCATGGAACACGATGATGTCATAACTCCAATTGCCATAATTAGAGCAGCAGACTAATGACGTGGTCACTGGAGTTTAACAGACTGTCTCAGCCTATTCTTTTCCGTCTGATGGAGACTTCATACTTTACATTACATTACATTACATTAAGGCAAGGCAGGTCACTCCACAGAAACTGCCCTCCTTGCTGTCACTGAGGAACTGCACACTGCTAAAGCAGCCTCCCTCTCCTCTGTCATCATCCTGTTGGACCTGTCTGCTGCATTCGACACGGTGAATCATCAGATCCTCCTTCGCACTCTCCAAAAACTTGGAGTTTCAGGCTCTGCACTTTCCCTCCTCACCTCATACCTGAAAGACCGTACCTACAGGGTGACTTGGAGAGGGTCTGAGTCCGACCCTTGTCAATTAACTACAGGGGTCCCTCAGGGCTCTGTTCTTGGTCCCCTCCTCTTCTCCTTGTACACAAACTCGCTCGGATCAGTCATTAGCCCGCATGGTTTTTCTTACCACTGCTACGCTGACGACACCCAATTAATTCTGTCCTTTCCCCGCTCAGAGACCCAGGTCGTCGCACGCATCTCTGCTTGTCTAGCTGACATCTCTCAGTGGATGTCTGCTCACCACCTCAAGCTCAACCTTGACAAGACTGAACTGCTCTTCCTTCCGGGAAAAGATTGTCCCACTCTTGACCTAACAATCAACATCGGCACCTCAGTTGTTTCCCCGACTCAGACTGCAAGGAATCTGGGTGTGATCCTAGATAACAACCTGTCCTTCACTGAAAACATCGCTGCTACAACCCGTTGCTGCAGATACACGCTTTACAACATCAGGAAGATACGTCCCCAGCTGTCACAGAAAGCGACTCAGGTTCTGGTCCAGGCTCTCGTCATCTCACGCCTAGACTACTGCAACTCCCTCCTGGCTGGTCTACCTGCATGTGCCATCCGACCTCTGCAGCTCACCCAGAATGCAGCGGCTCGTCTGGTCTTCAACCTTCCTAAATTTTCCCACACCACTCCGCTCCTACGCTCCCTTCACTGGCTTCCGGTAACTGCTAGAATCCACTTCAAGACACTGGTACTTGCTTACCGTGCTGCGAATGGATTTGGCCCTTTCTACATCCAGGACATGGTTAAACCGTACACCCCAGCGCGTGCACTCCGCTCTGCATCAACCAAACGGCTCGCTGCGCCCTCGCTGCGAGGGGGACCCAAGTTCCCATCAGCAAAAACACGTGGGTTTGCTGTCCTGGCTCCAGGATGGTGGAATGAGCTCCCCATTGACATCAGGACGGCAGAAAGCTTACACACCTTCCGGCGCAGACTGAAAACTCATCTCTTTCGACTCCACTTCGAGCGATAGAACTATTAACGAAGCACTTTTATACTAATAAAGGGCTGGCTTACCTAAAGCCAGTTGAGTAGCACTTGAAATGTTTTTGCTCTATGAAACCTGATGTACTTATATGATTCTGTTTTCTTCAAGGTTGTATTTTGTTGGTCGAACGCACTTATTGTAAGTCGCTTTGGATAAAAGCATCAGCTAAATGCAATGTAATGTAATGTAATGTAACTTCATACTGACTTCAACATGTTCCACATATTTTAGACATTATTGGTGACGTATGCTTTTAGTTCTAAAGTTTTCAGTTCAAATATTCTGCTGCTTTTTCATGCATTTAGACTTTTATTTTCTTGTTCTTATTTAGTGGGAATGCTGATACAGTTTTGAGATTTCTTCAAATGCCGTTGCCATGGCAACACAATGCTCGCCATGAAAAACGGTTTTCTCATAACTTCAGTGAAAATGCTCCAAACAGCCCAAAACTTCACAGGTTTGGTAACGATGCAGCCATCAACATATCTAAGCGTATTTTGGGGTGTCATCAAATACCGTTGATACTAGTTTTATAATATGTTTCTTTTTAACTATGTCTGACTGCTTTTAATATATTTTTTTATAAGCACTTGGAATTGCCTTGTTCATGAAATATGCTATATATATATACAGTATATATACACTTTTGTGTATTCTAAGCTTCTGGTGAAATAACGGAATGCAGGTTAAAAGGTCTGTTGTCAGATTTGATAAGGTCATCATCACCCTAAAAAAAAATATATATATATATATATATTCTTTTATATATCCACAAAAAAAAACTTTTGAATTTGAAACAAAACGATTCATTATATGGAATTACTCGATTATACATTAGGAAAAAGATGTTGTGAATTTTGGGAATGATTACATCTGACTAAAGCTGAGCTATTCGTTTTTCTTTGTATCACACAAGTCAGTATACGTTCTAGGCATTCCCAACTGGAATCTTCTTCTTCAAAACCAATATTTTTGGTCAAGCCTAATCTTTCTCTTGAACTATGCAGAAATACCTAGGTTCAAAAAGAAAAATGGACATGCATTTGAGTGGTAATTGTGAATGTGATGGCACATGGCTCCTCCTCACCTCCAGGCAGCGGAGCGGGGAAGACACAAGCTTATCTTTGAGCTTTGTTTTGTCCACCAGCAGTAATCCAAGATGTGTTTTCTGTTGGATGGCTGCGGCCTCTTTATGCTGACTGTGGTGTAACTCCAGCGCTTTCCCAAAGAAGGACAAACCTGTGAGACGAAGCAGTCAACATCATCAGTCATAAATCCCTATATTATTGCACAGGCTTTAATTTCTGCTGAGAACTTGTGTATGTTTGCTTATTTTAAGACTAAAACACAATGTTATAGAATACATAGGTTATTGGGTCATTAGGAGTTGTTGACAACTTGTAGCACTATGAGGAGGTTTTCACCAATTGGCCAATTGGTTTGTTTGTACTGGGCATGCGCATGCAGTGTCAGGATAGTGACATTATGTGTATGTAACACTTGCGCTTCTATTGGCTATCGCTTCAACACATTGTACGTGATAATCGGCTAAGGGGAGGGACATCTCTCAGCAGTTGACCAATCACAACAGAGCCGGCCAGCTAACCAATCAGAGGGTTTCAGACAGAGGGGGAAAAGAGGTGCTGCGGCACAGGCAGAATGAGAACAATAAAGCACTTTTTGAACATAAGCATGTCAAATGTCACAGAAGAGGCACAAAATACAAATATGAGCATGAAAATGAGCCTCTTAAAAAAAGAAATTATTTCAATTTTTTAAGACATAGTTTTAAAAGGGAAAGATAGATGAGATGATAAGAGTAAATGGCCAACAGGCCTTATTTGCACCTGTGTCAGCCATAGCAAGCTGGCCAGCTACCAGGTGAGCTATGCAGCCAGCGTTATGCATAATCTTGCTGATAGTTTTATGCCATCCATTTTGCATGACAGGATAGGTAGCAATGGGCCAACAACGACAGTGAAGAAAACTGAAGGCTAGCAAACAATACATCTAAACAATGCAGGATCTATAGTCTTATATGACCTCTATTCTCAACTGAACTGCTCTTTGTATTATTAATGGATTACTAAAATGATTAATGTTAATATATTAATATAGTACATCACCATTATCCTGTTGCCGCATTGCATCCAGATCCAGAGCCTCGTTCTCTTTGTAGAACAGCTGAAAATGCTCAAATGTGCGTGAGTACACTTTTGCCGTGTCAAAGGCAAACTGGAGCAACTCCTGAAGAAAAAGAAAGCAGGTAAATACTTATACATATGGAAGAGTACACTTTTCAAACACCCTCCAGAGAAAGAAGGTTAAGCAAACTGACCTCGATGTTCTGAATGACGCTTTGAAGGTTGTCATCGCTCTCAATGATGGATTCTACACACTGGTCATCCACATATATATGCTGAAATTTCAATAAAAAACAGATACAAAAACTATATAAATCACCAATTGATATTTAGAACAACTACATTTCCCTGAATATACGCGTGGTGATTTTGTATCCTACCTCGTCAGCTCTGGCCTCTGTCATTGAATCAAAATCGGGATCTGCCGTGAGCACATTGACCGACTTCACAGTTTTCTCAAACCACCCGATGACCTCTTTGATAGTCTCCTATAGGAATGAACAAAAGGTATAATATAAATGGGTGTACAATAGGTAATATACATGTTACAATTTGGAAAACTAACCTGGAAGTTCTCCTCAGAGGGTTTGTAGGTCAACGTGTTAGGCTCCAGGATCAGCTCAGTGATGAACATAGGTTGGACACGGCCAGGCTTGGTGAGGAAAGGATTAACATGAAACGGGATTACTTAACCAGGATACAAAAAAAGTTAACTGTATTCACTCACAGTTACATGAACAAATACATAATCAGATTACTAATACATTTCTGAAAATGGTGGATAAGTGAGATCACAACGTAACAAGAAATTAGAGAAAGAGCATATTGTGTTTGTTGTAAAAGCAGCGGATTTCATTTCTAACACGTTTTGTATCCCAAATATCTTGGTTTCTTCTTTTCTATAGTTATATTTTTCTTTTATCTAACATAATACACTTAAGTAAAAAACATCTGATTGATATTTATTTTCTTATTTCTATGGAAATGAATCAGGGTACATTACTTTCATATTTACGTACTCAGATTAGTTAACTGATTACATTCTTTTTACAGGTCTCTAGTCATTGTAACAGAATACATTCTGAAAGAAATCCTCCCAACCCTGAACACGGCAAGTTCCTGACTAATAAAAACACACTACAACCAACAGAAACACATGTGTGACTCAATCTGGGTGGAGTGGAGCCCACAATCACCAAGCATCCATACATCTTAGCAAAATCTTTAAGATGTGACTTTGACCATTATTGATAATACAATTATTACATTACATTGCATTTAGCTGACACTTTTGTCCAAAGCGACTTACAATAAGTACATTCGACCAGGAAGACACAACCTTGAAGAAAACAGAATCATATAAGTACATCAGGTTTCATAGAGCCAAACATTTCAAGTGCTACTCAACTGGCTTTAGGTAAGCCAGTCCTTTATTAGTATAACATTAAATTATTTATTATTATAAATTATAATAAGAGTAAAACTATGCCCTACCTTCTTATCCATCTCTTCCTTTGTGGTGTCCGTGGCAACCTCACAGTGCTGGCTCCAGCTCTGAATAACATCATGGCTGGGCGTTTGCTGTACCTGCTCCTTGAGCACAGATAGCAGTTTGGCCACTGCATTGGCCACTAAGATATACAAGGTGTCGACGACTAAAAAGTCAACAAGACGTATGAAGCTGGGTAGGTGAGGACAGAGAAGGACTGGGTTAATGTGATAGATGTGCCTGATTGAGGATATACAGTATAAGGTATTTTCACAGCAAATATTTTGACAAGTCATTAAGGAGAACAGGTTTTAGGAATACCAGTAACAGTGGCTTTGTTTTCTGGACTCATACAGTAATTCCAGATAGTTTCCCTATCGAGGGACGGGAAAGGCAGAGAAGAGAGGCATTCATATGCAGCAAAGTGCAAGTTTTCACTTTTTATGTTTATGATATCAATATTTGTATTCTGTTTTATCGATATTTTATTGTACATTTTACTTGAACTTATTATGTTTGTATAAATACCTTTATTCTATTTTGTTGTATCCTTAATAGGTCATTTTACTTTAAATGATTATGTTTATATAAATATGTATCCATATACATTTTGTTTTAACTTGTGATTTGTTTTAGTTTATATCTGAAATAATTATCCAAACTTAAAAAACAATAATATCCAGACTCAGTTCCCGAGCAGAGGACCCAGGTTTGAATCCATGTCATCCCCTCTGTCTCCCCCTTTCAACACTGTCACTCTCCAATAAAGAGAGCATTGAAGACTCCTAAAGTTGGGAAACTCAATATGTAATTGTGTCAGTAAGCCATATCAGGCTAAGCAGAATTTAGCCATCTCTTATAGGGCTGTGCAATTAATCGTATTTGAATCGCAATTACGATTTTGGCCTGCCACAATTACGAAAACAACATAATCGAAAAAAACGATTATTTTGCTTTGCTTGGTTGTGACAGTGCACTGCAACATATTTGATCTAATTTATTTTAGTCTAATTTATTTGTATTTATCATATTTACATATGTTTAGTAGCTTGTTGAAGTGCGCTCCAAAAATATTTGTTGATCTTGTTTATTGGTATTTATAATTTTGATACTATTTAATTAAATGTAAATATAAATGTATCATTTATTTTAGTATTGGTTTTTCAGTTGAATTATACGTTCAGGGTAATCAACAGTTAAAAAGATACTGTTGAAATTATTATTTGTATTTGTTTTAAAGTTCAATAAATGGATGTTTTCAAAGTCAATGAATAATCGTATTTAATAATCGTGATATGAATTATTGACCAACATAATCGTGATTATGATTTTTGCCATAATCGCACAGCTCTAATCTCTTATCTCATCGTACATGCCTGTATTTTCTGATTGAGTATTTAAACTTAACAGAAGTCTGGCACACCGGTAAAGATAGAAAGCGTAAAGAATGACATAAGAAAATGACCCACCAGATGACACGGGTGGAGTGAAAAGTCTTGTTGATCCCGGCAAGAAATTCATTGTCATCTGTGGCAAACAAGGGAAAATTGTTAACGTTGTGGTCAGTGTATGTCAGTGGCGATCCGTCAGGGGCTGAGGGCCTAAGATATTCTAACAAATAATATTTGAAAACATTAAAAAAAAAAGTTTCTTCAATATTTTTCATTAGTTTTACCAAAATAACTTCATTTAATTGTATTTAAAATAACATTTCCAAAGAAATAAATCCTTCGAATCTGCCTGTTCAGTTTCTGTTTGAATGTGAAGGGTTAAATGAAAGAAGCTCCTTGACCCGTCTCTGTGAGTTATGTGAAGACAGCAGTGGCGACTGGTCATTAGGGGCAGGTGGGGCACAGCCCCATAGTGTCAGCAGAAAGTTCAAATAAGAATTCCCAAAAAATGCAAATAAATGCAAAAAAAATACATCTTAAAATATATTTTAAGATCATGTTTAATCATCTGATTCGTCTGTACATTGCTGTTTTAGTCTGTGTTCTTCTAATTAGTGTCTACAGTGTGTGCCTATTGAGCCGTTTTGAGCGACGTGGGTCAAGCCCCGATCCAGCCCCTCTCTCTCACTGTTAAGTGAATGGGTACTGTAAAAACTACACTGCGCATGATCAGAGTATTTTTCTATTCAATGTGTGCGGCAAACCATAGGGGCACTGTGCTGGAATACCTACCAAACGTCATCTCATAATTAAGAGAGCTGATTGGCTGTAAGTACGTGTGCCGCAAAAAGTTTAGATATGAAGAGGAGACGAGAGAGAGCAGTATAGCGATTAAAATCAGTAAAACGGAAAGAAAATGAATGAAGTTGACCATCTACTTCAGCTTTGGTAAGTTCATTTTATGTCATATATTTTGTTGATCTTCTGTGTTTGGCCTATAGGCTATAGCTCTGCTGGATCGATTGATATTGTGACCTCAGTGATCATCAGTGTCTGTGTTTTCCTTTTGCCTAAGTCATTTTCAATGTGGGCCGCCGTGCCGACTTAATTCATTTGTAATTGCTACTTGGCTGTGGGTGCCCTGTCATGATAGGTGTTTATATAAATGGTGTTGTTTTGTGTGGTAGAGGCATTGATGAGTTTTGCACCCCGGGTCGTTGTTTTGATATTCCGCTGAAGAATACGCTGTGACGTAATAACTCTTCTTTTTTCTTCGAGGGAAGGGGGGATCAGAGGTCCTAGGTATAAAAGTCACGGCTCGCCACTGGTGTATGTAGATTCAAGTGTCTCCATAGGGTGTGCACACACCTTCATCTTCCTCTTTGGGTATGCACTTCAAGTAGTTGCGACACGCACAAATCGTCACTTCCTTCACCAGGTCCTGAAACTTCTCCAAGTCATTCTTCACCTGACAATAATTAAGAAAATTAGGGCAATGATCTACACACAATTAAACCATTTTTGTATCGTATATAACAATAAATCAAAATGTTACCTCTTGCAGTTGTTGGAACTGGAATTCCCGGAACTCCTGCAGTGTGTAAATGTGTTCTTTCTCTATGTGGCACAAGCCCGTATCACTGATCTGGTAACACATTTTCTTTATGTCTATCAGTGCAGGACCTAGACACTGGAAGAGATATACAAATGTTGATAACAACTTAATATCCACAATTCTCACATTAAGTTAAGGGGTCCTATTTACTTTTTGGGGTTTTCTCTTTCCTTAAGTGTGTAATAAGCATATCAAATGTATGCAAAGGCTTAAATCCCAAAGATCCCTCCAGAGGGAGTCATAAATAATGAGTTTAAATAACTTCCATACATGTAATAAGACACAGTGAATGAGGAAATAATATGTTGATCATAGACATCTCTATGGAATTTCCCCAGTTAGTTTTTTTCCAATAAGATAATTATTTTCATATGATACATTTCAGATTCATATTTTGAGCCTATACTGTGACATGTTTACCTGCTTTAATGTTTAAAAAGTGCTTTTGTCCAACTGCCTGTGCTGCTTTTCACCCTCTGTCTGAAACCAGAGCCCAGTCTGCTATGACTCGTTAGTTGGCCTGCTCTGTTGTTGGTAATGTCCCGCCCCTTAGCCTATCACTTACAATGTGTTGAAGCCCTATCCAATAAAAGCGCAAGTGTTTTATAGTGATGTCACTAGGTTAAGGAAGAAAACAAAGGAGCCCAATCGTGGTGTTTCAGGCAGGGGGGGGGAGCGTGTGAAGTGAACTTTAGGATGTTAGCTATTGCACACCATTAACATGCACAAAAACCTATATAATGCACGAGAGGGAAGGGAAAACCTAAAAAGCATAATAGGGCACCTTTAAATATGCAAATTGGGTATTTTGTAATGCTAAATCCTGGTGAATTTAGAAAAAGATACAGACCATATTTGTCAAATAAACACCTAATCTGTATGCTGGATGTTATCTCGCCAACAGTCTTAATTAAATAAATTATTGAAGTAAAATAGCAAGGAAATAAAAGAATGGGTAGAGTCTCGTATTACACAGATTAAAATAAAATCCAATTCATACACCCTGTGACATACCTCATTGACAATACATAATCTTCTTTGGAGGGACTCCTTGACCGAGTGAATCTTTTTGGCCTGTACTTTGCTGTGCCACACGTAGAAAGGTTTCCACAGATTAAAGCGGATGAAGAAGGGGATCCGGATGAGCTTGCAGTGGTAGTTATACTCTTCTTCCCAGCGTTCGGTGGTTATGAAGTCGACCTTGTTCTCGTAAATTGTTACCACACCTTCAGGACTTAACATCAGAAAGTCCTCCTTACTGTACTCATAGACTACATTGGTGTGAGTGTCCATAATTCCAGTGCTCTTGATGGAAAAAGGCCTTTTGGGGGGAGTAGGGATTAACTCCGTTTTTGGTGCCATCTAAAAATTGGTTGAGAAACACAATCAAAGGGTAATTACATTCTGCATGAAGCGCATTCAAGGAAATAAACAATGAATTGTAACAAAAGCTTTGTCTGATGTGCCAGATTTTGAAACCACACTACATGTTTAAAATACCACAGTTTAACAGTAGCCATGATAAAAGCATTGGTTTTTTTAGAATAATGAAATCGTGGAGTGGTGCTGTGGTGACGTTTTCTTGAAGGCCGACCATGGAAGTTAGCATCCCAAAGCTCTCTCGATAAAAAGCAACAGGGTTTTAACATTGGATTTTGCTATATTCCAAAAAAGAGAAACTAACTACATCATGATGGCATTGGCTGCGTGTCACCACCAATAAGCTAAAGGCGGCTAATGTACAGCATATTTGCGTCTAGGAGTCCGATATAGTCACTCGTTATCATCTGCCGTTTTTATGAGACATATAAGCTTCGGAAATTCACGAATGGGGTGTTTTATTTAAGTATTTTTGTCGTAGAAAGTAACATAAACATATCTTAATCTTGTGTTAACTACAGACATTATTTCAGGCATCCAACCAGAAAGCGGTTGACTCCGAGACGAAGGAACCAGAAGTAGAGAAATGCTAACTCAATCCCGGCTTTAAGGACTCATTCCTGCACGATTCTATTTCGATTCATATAATAAATAAATGCTGTAAAAATGCTCAAAGGTTGTCATCCCTTTGAGAAACTATCAATAAGCCGACAACAATAACTTATTGCGAAGCAGCAGTCAATCCTAAAATGTAATAAAGAGATCAATCCCAGATCAAATTTGACCTTGGAATTATTGTCTTTAGCGATGGTTATATCATGGTAAATGTTATGTTAAATGTCTGTTCCCTTTTTGATGTTGCAAATGAAGCCGTTGAAAAAATGCAACTTGATCTGGCAATAACATTTGATAATATTCTCGAACATGTCTGTCACTGACCTTAGTCCTGGATTTCAGAGGAGGGAGATGGACAGGCATTTTTTGTCTAGGCCTTTGTGGCTGTTCTGGTTGCGGTTGATAAGGCGTCTGAGTGTTCCAGCCAGGAAAATACATCCGCTTCATGTCTTTTATGTGTTGGAGGCTGGGTTCTTTCCTTTTAACACGTCTTTTCAGTACAGCCTAGAATCAGGGGAAGAAACAGACAGATACATAAGATCTACACACTGTACCACTTTGTGACTGAGCCACTGGTCATATTTAAATAGCATGGGAAGTAGTGTATTGGGTGTAGAGTAGAAAGTATGCCACATCTCACCAGGGGGTCTTGAACCACCGGAGGTCTTGGTTGGATGTTGGTGGAGCTCGGGATTTCAGGAAGCTTGTGCAGCCGCTCTGGGACAGGATGTAAAGTGGAGTGTAAGGTTAGTATTGAATTAAAGACGTGACAAATCAAGGTTTGTTGGCAGGGCTGGAAGAATTACTCACATCGTTATATTTGTATACTACACAATGGTAAAATACTCTGCCAAAAGTAAAGTCCTGCATTCAAAACTGTACTTAAGGAAAAGTACACAAGTATTGAACTCAAAATAGACCAAAAGTACTCGTTATGCGCGATATCCTGTTTCAGAATCATTTATATATGAAATGACTGGATTCTGATTATTGATACCTTAAAAGTGTCTCACACAGCTGGTAAAAGTGGCGCTAATTTGAATCACTTTAGATTCTGCTTCTGGATATTCTGAACTATATTTACATGTCAATGTTTATTTTTCTGTTGATTGGTATTTTCTATTATCTGTGAAATGTACAATATTGGCTTCCAGAATTGAGTGGAGTAGAAGTTTAGAGTAGCATTAAGTAAAATACCAAGTTAAAGTATTAACAATTCTACTTAAGTACAGTACATGAGTGACATGCCAACACTGTTAGTTGGTTATACAGCGGTGGAAAAAGTATTTTGATTATTTACTTGGTTGAAAGTACTAATACCACACTTGGAAAAAAGCTACATTTAGAGTAAAAGTACTGCATCAAGAATGGTACTTAAGTAAAAGAATAATTAGGAAAATGTACTGAAAGTATTAGGAGTTAAAGTACTCAAAAGAACAGAAAAAACAAATGTATAAATATTTGTAAAATATTTGAAAGCAAAAGCAGCCAATCTTAACATTTAAGTAACTGGGACAGTGACATATTTTTAAACAGATAACTTTCCTCGCAAAATTGCCTGCCAATTAATTTTCTGGTAACCACAATTGGTTTTATTAACTTAAATATAATGTTGGATGGTTAAACTATAGGTAATAATCATAATTACAAAGTGTTTCCAAAGTGTTGTGTGTCAAAATCTGAATGTATAAAGTAACTACTAAATAAAACTGTAAAATAAATATGGCGGAGTAAAAAGTACACATTTGCCTTCCAAAATGTAGAGTACTTGAGTACATGTACTTAGTTACCTTCCACCACTGGTTATACAGATAAACAGGTACGACATAAACCAGAGGTGGGAAAAGTACTCAGATCTCGTACCTAAGTAAGAGTATAAGTACCAGAGTGTAGGAATACTCTGTTACAAGTAAAAGTCCTGCAATCAAAATGTACAAAAGTATATACAAAAAATATATATATTTCATGTTTTGATTATTGATGATTAATGTGTTTATCACAGCTGGTAAAGGTGGAGCTATAACCACTTTATTTACTGTCTGCAGGGTCACTTTGACTCCAGGTGTAACTGAAGTCTTATTTAAGTGTTGAATATATTTCACATTATTAATAAAAATCTGCAAAGTATAAATGTAGTGGAGTTAAAGTACACAATGTAACTCTGAATTGTAGCGCGGTAGAAGTACAATGTAGCGAAACACTGAATACTCAAGTAAAGTCCAAGTCTCTCAAAATGGTACTTGAGTAAATGTACTTAGTTAATTTACACCAATGGAATCAATTATTCAAGTAAAGTACAAGTACCTCAACATTGATTTAAGTACAGTACTTGAGTACATCTACTTGTTTAAAGTACACCACTGTAATTAACACATTTTGAAATATCTAAAAGGGCCAATAGCAGCCTACCTCTGGACCCATGTTCCCGACCTGTACCGGGGGGGCTCGGCAGAAAGGAACGGGGAGAAGCAGAGCCCGAGGCCATGGTGTGTGACCCTCTCGGCTGTACAACAGTGGAAGGACATCCGGAAAGAGGAGGCACATTGTCATTTCGTACATTTTCTTACGATAAACAGCCGTAATAATACAACTGTTTGTTACTTACGACTACAATAATTATTGCATTATAAAGAGATAACAGCGTCCATATTTTTAATTACTAGGACTTTGAATGTTGTTCAAAGTGTAGCTAAAGGTAAATAAGCAACTTAAAATGTTATTCACACGTTAGCTAACGGCAAATTAGCTACTTACATGTTTCTTCAAACGGTGGCGTAGCCTACGTTAAACTAGAATACATTTTGATATTCTTAATCTTCGAGTATATTCAAACATGCTTACCGTGTTAAATATTGAGCTTCGACAAAATGTCAAAAAGTCGTAACGCAACCTACCGTTATATACTTTATAAAATGTGCAACGCTTCGCTGTGTAAGAGTTGCTGACCAAAAGCTGAGGTTTACCGTTTCCTTAGCAACAGACCGCTCTCCCAGAATGAAACGCAGCAAAACAAAACCACGTTGTTTCCGCTTCTTGGCAGTTTGACAAATGTAAAGGAGCTCATCAAATACAGCATGTACATCTTCTTAACCACAAAGAATAGGGTGTGTTTTTGAATAATGTTTATTTATTGTAACAAAGTTTATTTTTACATACTACACATGACACATCATACCCTTATAAATAACATTTACAAAATGTGGTATATTAGTGCACAAAACATGTTGCCATTTCACAAGGGCACAGACAACACAATTGCTGTCTTATGACTTTTGCACAAATGGTAATATCATATCTACAAATAGTGCAAATAAGCCCTAAAATCACACATGGTTATTTTCCTTGAGCAAAGGAACAGTTGCTGTTATAGAGTGTCTGGATCCACCATGGCTGTCTTTCTTCGCTGTGACACCAACATACTCAGCTGTTAAAAGACATCATTATTATAGAACAGTATTCAATAGATAACAAAGAGACTGAAAAAAAACAGATGTGTCTACGTTAGAGTCAAGAGGGAGAGGTAGAGTAAGTATTGCAATCTTTTACTTTTTTGTTACTTGAGTAAAAGTATACTAAAACAAATACTTAGTTACAAGTAAAAGTCCTGCATTCTAAATTGTACTCAAGTAAAAGAACAAAAGTATCAACATAAGTACTTAAAGTACTCATTATGTATATGTAGTATGGCCCATTACAGCATTATATATAAATACAAATGTCATTTTTGTAATGATTTGTTTATCTCTTGATGAGGGGTTTATTTGAATTATATAATTTACTGCTGGGTACCTTACATATGTAATAATATAATCATTACATATGTAATAATATAATCATATGTCCAAATGTATTACTTGATTTACATTTCGTACAATTTATCAAAATCTGCAAAGTATCTGAGGCTGAAAAATAAATGTAGTGGAATATAAAAGTACAACAATAAGTAATTAAGGAAATGTACTTAGTTGCAAGAGTTCCCATACCTGTTGTGTAGCAGTGGTGGCCTTTTGTTCAGATTGTGTCAGTCTTCTCTGGAGACGACTCGCCTTCTCTTGACACTCTGCTAGCTGCCTCTCATACTACACACACACACACACACACACACACACACACACACACACACACACACACACACACCACACACAATCACACACACACACACACACCACACACACACACACACAACACCACACACACACACACACACACACACCACACACAGCACACACACACACACACACACACCACACACACACACACACACACACACACACACACACACACCACACACACACACACACACACACACACACACACCACACACACACAACACACAACGTAACTGTGGGGCTTCTTTGGGAGTTTTCCCTGAGACAAATGTGTAATTTGTGATTTTATAAATTCTATTTTATTGATTGATTGATGACCAAAAACATGACTCACAGTACTATGCCAATGCAACTTCCTATCGTCCACACCACCCTGATTTCAAATATGTCTCATTCAAAAATAAATGTTTGACTGTTCAATCATCTGCTGAACTCCATAGCACCGACAACTTACATTTAAACTTTTCCCGACCGCCTTTCTTATGCTGCATGACACTTCCGATTATAAAAATAGTTTCTAGTCAAAAACATGAAGACGTAGCCTACGGGGATGGACACACATCTTAAATGTCCTTAAATATGTAAGAACTTCTCATCCTTCATGTCCCTTTACACCAAACTCTGGAAATCAGGCTGCAGGGTAGTGTATGTATTACCTCAGCAACAGTATTATGGTCTTTATCCAGCTGCATCTCCAGCTCATGTGAACGCTGCTTCTGCCGATTCAGCTCGCCTCTGAAATAGAGAGGAACAAAGAGTTGAAACCCTCTCACATCCATGGAAAAAAAATGTTCAATACATCTCAGGTAGTACAGTTGGTGCTGAGGGCGAATCAACTTTAAGTGGTAAGTCAATTTTGGTTTCAACTCCGATCAAAATCTTTATTGCTCCACTTTAGCTGTTGCTCGTTCTTTGATCCTGTGTTTGTGATCAAACTGATGAAGAACAGTCCTTGGGCAGTATCAGAACAAAGTACTGTATTGCACCTAAAAGAGTATTTTATTACATATTCTTTATTATATCAAACTGTATCATATAAAAAGGCATCAGAATAATTTGGCAGCCTGTCAGTTACCCGCCAGTTTCCAGTAGACTGCCTATCTTAGCATGCTTCAGTTTGTCTGGTTTCTTTGACGAGACACATTTTTCGGAGCACAATGGATCACATTATCTACACCCTGCAAAGTCACACTGACTGATAATGTTAGAGAAGGTTTTTTTCCCATCTATGTTCCCTTTACATTTTTGACCAGGAAGCCGGTGTTCTAGGCCTGACATTAGTGTCTTTCAACAGTAGCAGCAGACTGCGTTGAAAAGCAACAGGGAAGGCAGTGGTATACAAAACTGGATAACAGTCTTACCATGTCAGGATATTTTGTCAGAAAGGAAGCAAAATCTAAAATGAATTATTGATTTTGGTTTAGTAGTGTAGTGTCCGTTTACAGGAACTGCGCTATATATTGATGGCATTCAGCTTTGCCATGTATATTGATTGACAACAAAGGTTGTTTTTGTTTGCAGTCTTTTGAACAGAAGTGCCATTAGAACCCAGAAATGTTCAAATGTCAAACGTTTTTGATACTTAAGCACAGCATTGTTTCTATGGTGTTCCTTAAGGTCTTGTTGTCTTACTGTAGTATTTTAGAGGGATATTTGACAATGCATGTTATTGATTCTCTAACTGACAATTATTTTTACAATTATGACCAAAATATGTGTAACTAATTATATCAAACCAAAACACAATGTTTCATTGCAGGTTCTTGACTAGAACAACCGTTCCTCTCTGGATTTACCTTGACTTCAAAATACTAATGTTGGTTTATAAAGCACTGTATGGTTTCAGGCCAAAATACATTTCTGATCTTCTGCAACATTATGTACCATCCAGAACTCTCAGGTTGTCTGGGAAGGATCCGCTTTCTGTCCCTAGACGCAAAACCAGACATGGAGAAGCAGCGTTCAGTTATAACGCTCCGTACATCTGGGGAAAACGACCAGAAAACTCTGTGCCTTGCTTTACATCAATCGTAACAAGTCCTTACTTGAAGCCTGTCATTTTAGTCTCGAAGGCCTGAACAAGGTTCTTGGCCTCCTCCTTCCAGCGCTGGGTGCTTTTCTGCTGCGCCGCGAGGAGGCGCGTCAGGTCAGCGCAGGAGCTCCGGCTGCTATCTTCCAGCTCCTGCACGCGTGCGTCCAATCCCAGCTCCTTCAGGCTGTACTCCTGCTCCATCTGTACCAGCTGGGGGGGGGGGGGGGGGCAGCAGAGACACACAACTAGTTGTCAACTGCCATAGAGCTTGAAATAACTCCATGTAAAATAATATCATAAATGGCTATCAGAAAGACTAGCAAACTGTAGGCATTGAGTTATAAAACATGTGGGCATTTGCCAGAAAGTGATGGTCTAATTGAAATGATAGGAGTTGAATTAAGGGCATTGTAAGATCTAGGGGTTTTAAAACTTGAACAATACTCAAAACTACGGATATATCTGCTTCTACCGCATTCATTTTCTTTTAGCCATGAGGCTTGATGGATGCCAATGTTGGTCTGTTTGGTCCAGATTGAAATATGTAAAACTAGACTGACGGACGTGGACATTTTTCCCATACAGTCATGTTCTTGAGAGGATGAACCCTATTGACTGACATGATCTTCTGAATATCCTGTAACACAACTCGTGGATTAATATTCTCACTTATCCAACAAAAATCTATATTAAGTGTGTTTATGATATTTGGACTGATTGCCATTTATTACAGCCATTCATGTTCCCCAGAGGATACATTCTATTGACGTATGTGGTCCTCTGAATTATCCTGTGGCACCAACAGCAGGTCAATATTTTCACTTATCCCATAAAAATATATATATTTGGAATATTTACAGTTTTCACTCGCAGTCAGACAGCCCTTTCCAACAGCCTCCCAGAATCAATCAATCAAACACTGTTTATTTATATAGCCCAATGTCACAAATGTTACATTTGCCTCAGTGGACTTCACAGTTTGTACAGAATATCAGTATGACAATACGACACCCTCTGTCCTTAGACTCCAGATTTGCTTCTACATTGCCTCAAGCGGTTCGTTTTTCTTGTTTGATGGTGTGACATTGGTCCTCTTAAAGACCAAAGTCACACAATAAAAAAAGAACTGTTGTTTGGCAATGGAGTCTGGTGGCTTTGAGGGAGCCCCAATACGTTTCCTGTCATAGAATTCTGCAGACAGCATGGTAAAGCAGTGAAGTATAGCATACTCTAAAAATGATAGATTATTTTGTGCTGGCTCTCTCTTTTAGTTTGCTGCTGCCTTGTGTGTGGGAGGAAAATGACAAGTGCTTTACCGTAGAAGACTTACACCTTTTTTAACTTATTGTGAGTGTCTGAAGTTCACCATATTACACATTGAAGACTTTCAGTCCGTTTTAATTCTGTTTCTAGCAAGTACCCCTCTTCAAGCACTTTATTGAAGAGCCATAGTATATCGCTGGTATTCCCCAAAGCAGGCTCCATCCTCCACTCCGCTTATGTCCCTTCCACTCGCTTCATACTTCTTACATCCTCTGTAACAGGTAATCCATGTTCAACAATCTAATGGGCTAGCACTATTTTGACTTATTGCCCTGCAGATTTATTTCATAACCTTTCTGGTTTTCTTTACCAAAAGACCTAGCTTGACTCGTATTTATCTTTCATAAGTGTGAAGGCTGAAATTACAAGCACAATTAAAAAAAAAACATGTTTTAAGAATGTTATTGCGTTAATCTCTATAGTCCATGATTAATAGTGTTTAATGGCAAGTTTTAACAATAGCATTTGACTTGTATTCGTGG